GTAAAAAATATATTATCACAATTTAAATTATCAAATTTGCAAAAGAGAAACAGATAAACATGTATTAATGTGAATCTATTTTATAGTAAAACCTCTGTTTCAAATTAATTAAGACTGTGGAATCACATGTGATATGCATACAATAGAAATTTATCAACAATTTTTTAAAAAATTGGAAAATATGACTTTACCTTGTCAATGAATATATTTCTGCTTCAAGATTTTTATGGTAATATATCTAGAATGCGGGATCGCGAAACGCGCCTAGTTGTCACATTGTATCAAACGCGACTTTCATTCACGCGACGCGAATTCACGCTCGATAGATTCCATTGGCGGGAGATTGGCCGATAGAGTGCATCGAGCTGATTGAATAAGGCACTGCGATACGACTCGTCGAGATCTGGGAGACTGTGTCCCACTTACAGCAGACTGAATAACGTCACTCGGCCGGCGCCCTCAGGATCCTAAATAGACCCTTTAAAGACTCGTGCTTTCCTCGTTGCGAACAGTGTTAAGTCTCATTTACAGCGACCGTTACCTTCACGCGAGCTCAACAATGTTTTACTTTTCGGAAGCTATCAAACAAACGCATTTTATGCATCCAAAATAATTGCTTTAATTTTAATCGCGCATAAATTTGAAAATGTGTGCATGAAGATAAAACAAAGAAGATAGACTGTTAAATTGCGCCGATGCTGAGACTTAGTACCGCAATAAGCAAAGTTTGTAATATATAATTTAATGCCTAAGAAAGTTAATATCCAAGTTACGAGATATTTACGATACCCCGTTATATAGTACTTAATTTTCCCGACATTGAATGGCGTTAAACTTCTTCACCCTTTTTCGCTTTAAATTTACTTTATGATATTAATCTTCTTCTCTTTCATTTTCTCAAGGAAAAAGAATATTGACAAAAGTGCAAGTATTTATTTAATCATATATACTGCTCACTTTAAATCCCACAGATTAAACTGCAAAATATTATAATTTTTGATTGATATAGATATATACATAAAAAAATTTATCTATATCGTATAATGCACAAAAATATATTATATATCATACATGCAAAATAAAAAAATAGTTAAAAAGAATTTTTAATGAACAAACCGTCTGACGATAAATTCTCAGCACTGACCACAGGCGCATGTTAAATTAAATGCGCTCGCTTTGCCATATGCCACACATGAATTTCCCACGATTCCCCGTCCCAAATTTTCTCTCGCCAGCTGCTCAACACTTCTGCATTATAACGTCTATCATTGGATTCGCACGCATGTGTATAATGTGCGGGTAAGATGAACGCGCGACGAGTTATTCCACTAAAAATAAACGCGGGTAAATAGCGCTTAATGCATAAATTATGCGACCGGCTACTCGAGAATCGCACCTTGCCGGTGATGCACGCGATGCTCGTTTCCGAGAGAGGTCGAATAAATTTCCACACGGCATACAGGTCGAAGCGATATATGAAACGGCGAAAATTCAACAATTCTGGGAACTCCATGATTTAGTTAAACGTGACCGCTATCTTCTTATGGCCGTTTTTATTGCCACCTCAAAATGTTGACCCGTTTATTAGTTTAACACGGTTTATGAAGCTTGGTCTATATTGGAACGTACTTCTCGAAAAAGAAAGAGAACATTATTTTATAGGTTATAGCAATCATGAGGGAAACTATAGAAATATTTGTATAAAATTCTATTCCTGTTCACGAGAGATAGGCGTACTTATTTTTATTTATAGATTTATTGTATAATCAATACTAAACTTGTGCTATTTCCAATTTACACGCGTTGTAAAATTATACGATGCATTCAAATTTATTCAAATCATTGTAAGTATAAATATTTTCTAGGAAGATAGTATAAAGTGTTAATGAAAAATTAATTCATGTAATTTTTTAGATTATAAAAATTATTTTAATTTGTTTTTCAGTTAATTCGATCGTGCTTCGCATACGCATAAGATCGTATTCATACTTTCAGCTAAAATAGACTTGCATGATAGAGAGTTAAAAGTATAGTTGAATTGCGGCGTTTCGTTTCAATATACGAAGCACGTAACCCCTATGATAAGCGAAAAGTTTCGCGAAATTAATCCCGCACATGCTTTTATTTGGAAAAATTCTCCCATAGTTTTTGACATCGCAATATTTTCTCCTTTTTTAACCCAGGTCCACATAAACCTCGATCAAAGTTAATTCGTATCGGCAGATCCTATTCGGTCGGTGTAGATTAAAAAAGGATCACTAGCAGTGCAACTAGACGAACCCTCGAGGCACCTGTTGATCCTTCTCGTTAAAGTTTGAAGGAAGTGACCTGTCCTGGTCCTGCCGACACGCAAGGCAAATTCTGACGTACGAAAAAGTAGCAGGTAGCGCGATACAGTGTCGGCTTTGCCAACAAATCAGATTTTTCCTTGGCCTGACATGAATATTTACAAAGGAACATTACATTATCCATTAAATCCGAATCTATGTCGAGATTATCTTTAGCACTATTTTACGAGCTTTGCACGCATCCAGTACAAGAAAACCTTGACGTTCTATGGAATTTAGCGCTCACACGTCATCTGTATGAGAAGACAAGATCGTTTTGTATATAATTTACATGTAATTTACATACAAAGTATCTTTTGACTGCGTCCTTTTATTTAAATTCTGAAGACTAAGCTAAGAATAAGTAGTTGCCATATTGAGACAGCTGTATATGTATACCCTAGCAAATAAAGTATCAAAGTTTTAAAATAAATAAAATAATAAAATAATAAATCATTCTTTGATTAGTTTAAAAAAAATAAATTTTAAATCAAATTAAATACATTATTTGTAAAAAATTTAAATAATTTACACGTTCTTAATACTGAAAATTATATCAAATTAATACGATTTTAATCCTAGCATTATTTTTTCACAAAAATTCTTTCTATTATCATTTTAAAAAATAATAAAAGTATAGAAAATGCTTTCGTATTATAAGTTAATTTTTTCGGATTAAAGATTATTTCTTCTATTTTTAACAATTTTAAATTTTAAATCAAGTTTTATGAAAGATTTATCTTTAAAAAAACAATATAGCCTACATCTGGCCAATTCAACAACCATCATTGTCGAATTCATTGATTTTTCTTATCAGTGCTCACATTCGATGATTGATACGAACCACACAGTTGAACTTTCCAATTTCCCGTATAGCATTTTCGAAAAAGCCTGGACGTTGTCCAGTATTTGACAACAATGTATAAATACATTGAAAGAAAAAGCGCTGTCGACAAAGCACAGGCTAGATAAACCTGTTCAAAATTTCGCGACTGGTAACAAGTAGGTGCAACTACCAGGCGGTTCCCGATGACTCGGATTACAGCATGATTGTCAGCTGTCCGAGCGAAAACGCAACAAAAATACATTGGCATAGATTCGGTCGGACAAAAATAGCAGTCGTGTCGTGAAATAGAAGACAACCGGCGCTTCCGAGGTATCACTCGCAGGAGCGGGAGAAAACATCCGAAATTTTCTCGAATCCGTTATCGGGTCTCGAAAGTAAGAAAGAAAACGTTTAACGAACGCAGCGAGATTTTATGAGGCATTAAATTCCACGCGAATATGTATTTTTAGATTATCCTAATATTTTCGCACGGAATTTATCACACTCGTTATCCGATAGATTGGATAATTATTAGATTTAGATAAAGAAAAGGAGTTTTACTATCGTGTATCATACATAAGCATTGTTGTACAATGAATATTTTTGTTTTAGATTAACTTTTCCAAAAATATGATAAAAATTATAATTCAGCAAGTGTCTAATTTATAAAAAAATTAAATTTTGTGCACCATATATAATAAACGACATATTACATTCATATTAAATTCTATATTTATATATGTGTGTCCATATATAATTTTATATAAGTAATATGTAAATTATTTTAAGATCGCGTAAAAATTGTGTACCAGTGCCATAAAAAAAAAGAATGCAAAACTAGAGAGTATAAATAATTTCAAGTTTCTTATAAATCTAAAAATCTTAAATGAAGAAAATCTTTTGAAGAATTTTAAAATTTATAAATTACCCAAGTGCCTCCAAAACAATAATAATCCGAGAAAAGAAAAAGCTCATAGAGTTTAATTTATCGAAATAATTCAAAGCAAAATACAAAGTGTCGAAAGTTTCGCGCAAAAAGCTACAGAGAAACAAGGGATTAGAACGATCTCGTTAAAAAGTTATAGTGACACTAAAGTTGGTCGCCAGATTGTATCGAGCACTCGAATTCTCATGTGCTTCGATGGACAACTCACGTACGCCATATACATATAACTCATCGTATTATAAATACATTGTATGCTATACCTTATTGTGTTGAAAGAGTTGTAAAGTAAAATTTGCATGAGAGCCGATTTATCAAACATTATTTTCATACGAATGACTTTTGAAATTCAACATTTAAATATCCCTGACAATGTTCTTCGTTTTGCAATAAGTTTCAAGATGTATTTTTAAGGTGAAAATATATCTTGTTTCTTATTTTTTTAAATGACATAAGTGTATTTAAGTAACATTATAAATGTAATATTAAATATAAATTATAAATATTGAGATCAATCATACGTATATTGACATGCAGAAAAAGAAAAAAACGTGGAAGAAGCATTGCAATTGCAATGCTAGAACGCAATTTCTAATGGGCGTACGAGATTTACTATGATTCGCCCTTAGAAAAAAAACATAATGATAAATTTATAATTATTCCAACGTTGATGGTTGTCAAATTTTTACATCAATTTAAATAATAAAATAATAATAATAATAATAATAATAATAATAATAAACAATAATTATAATTATAATTATAATTATTATTTATTATTTATTATTTATTATATAAACAATAATAAATATATATATTTGTAGCAATATGATTTTTGCAATTGATATATAAGGGATTCGTTACGATCTATCTCTACAAAAATCAATCAGAAAGTAGTACTTACCCCAGCGTAGTCATCGTAACGATGGTGTACCAGAAGGCGGATGGTATCGAGGTGAAGTTAGTGCCGTCGACGTTCTTCTCCGCGTAGAACATGACGGTGGCGAAGATGATGATGGCCATCGCAAGCGAGAACACGAGGAAACCCAGCTCGGATGCGCAGGACTTTAGGGTGTAGCCCAGAATCCGTAGTCCCTGTGAATGGCGCGAGAACTTGAAGATACGGAACACGCGGAACACGCGTAACGTCACGAACGCCCCCGATACGTCGTCGTTGTCGGTGATTCCGAGCCCGATGTAATAGGGCAATATCGCGACCACGTCGATGATCGACATCACGGAGCGCGCGAACTTGCACCGGCTGGGTGCGGCGAACAGCCTGAGCAGGTACTCGGCCGTGAAGATCATCACGCACGCGGTATCGAGGCAGAAGAACACGATTTTGTAGCGTTCGCCGCACGAGAGGGTGCCGGCGCGACCCGGACGATTCCCGCACGGCACGGTCTCCACCACGTTCGCCAATACGCTCACAGCGATGAAGAACCCGGTAACATAGTAGAAGACTAACGCGGCGGTGGAGATGTGCGGATTCTGGAATGCCCGCCACATCTTCTCCCGGATGTCAAGCAGCTGCTGGAGGGTGTGATCGCCGTTCTCGCTCAGCTTGTCGTCCATCAGCCGCTCGGCGTTCTCGCGCTTGCGATCCCGATAGTCCTCGTAGCAACAGTCACCGATCACGTCCGGCAGGATGCCGAAGAACGCCAGCTCCTCGTCGTAGCTCGTCAGACATTCGTGCTTCGGGTAGTGCAATTTGCCGGTCCGGTAATAATTGAGAATGTGCCGGAAAATGTCCGGATCTCGGTCGAAGAAGTACTCCTTGCTATCTTCGTCGTAGAAGAACTCCCGCTCGTTCGAGCCGAGCAGCGTATCCGGATACTTCTCTAGGGTGTTACGCCACGTTTCGAAGCGACGGCCGCTCACGTTGATCAGCAGTTTCTCGTCGTCGGCCTTTCGTCGATCCTTGGGGATCGGCGGCGGTGGCAGTGGATGTGTGGCAATCGGCACCCAGCCGATCGCCGCCGCTCGGGCGAATGGCAACCACGCTGCCACCGAGGCCATGCTTGATGGTGGAATCTTTCTTCAGGGTAGCGGAAGAGCCAGTGTCGATTTTACTCCAAGTGTCGGTGGCACGCTCTACTCTCGACCTTCGTCGAGTCGATGTGACAGGATCGTTGCTCTCTCTCTTCAGAGACTGGCGATCTAGAGCTACGACAAGTCTAATATCCACGATTCGACCCGCATCGAGCTTCCTATCGCGAGTAATGTTTTCGACGAAGGAGATTCTTGAAAATATATGTTTTTTCGCCGGCTCGGCATTTACGAATTGAAATTTATAACACCGTTGAAATGTTCGTTAATACGTCGTGGCGATGTTCTCTAGATATCTTTTCTGCAACGAACTTAAAACGATTTTTTTTTTGCATCCGCGACTGGCAGCTCTCCAAAGATTTCCTTCTCTAAGTTCAGATGCAATAAAATTAAAGACCTTCTCTATGCAATTTGTGGCGTGGAACACGTCACTTCTTGCCTCGGCTCTTCTTAGGTCAGCTTGAACTGACGTTCGTTTGATTCATGCTTCTTCAAGTTCACCGCGCGATTACTAGTATAACTATTAGTCTACATCTCTCAAAGAACGTTTTCACGCCGCTAATCTCTATTTTTAATTCAAGTTCTTCTCAGCTTTTAAAACGTTTTTCTAATCCGATCTTAACTGTCTTATATTTGAGAACTCTACTTGCTACACGTCTCCCGCGCAATCGGCAGCCGCTCTATTTCCACCTATTTGTTCTTATTTATCTACGTATCTATTTATTTATCTACTCGTGATAGTTATATTTAATCGTTTCAACGAAGCTTTTCCCCTTCCGGGAACAAATTTCCAGTTTTTTTCCAAAATTTCTTATCGTTCTTGCTCCTCAAGAATATCGAAACTGAGACTTGCCCCACTTTGCCGTATTCGTCATATAAATTTCGCGCGTTGCAATGACACCCCGGAGAGACGCATTAATAATTGGCGAAGTGATATTTGCCTCTCTGCGACGACGGCTTAGGCGTTGGCGGCCTAAGATCGGGCATCAGCCCGAAATTCGTCATTTCGCGCCTGGCATTCCTCGAGGAATTTCTCTCCCTTCTTACTTGGTTCTCGAGAAAAAAAAAGAAATGAAACTTAACGAAATGATGTAGTAGCAAAGCACGAGCCGAGCGGAGACGCGCGCCGGACAAACCAATCGCGTTCTGGCAACGTGCCTTCCACCATCATCGATAGTCGCACGATAGCTCTTCGTGATGCTCTTCAGGATATCGCGCCGGAAATCTTCCACCTGTTTCGGCTCGCTTGGCCACCGTGACAGTCTGAGCTTGAGTCTCCGCCAGCAAGCACCTACTAGAACACTACATTCTCGAGCTTGCGAGCTCTTCGTCCGATCCCTACGTAAGTTTCTCGAGTGCACTTCTCGAAAAGGCGATTATCGACGACATCATATTCATTGACTGGACTCGATACGCGCTCCTATCGAGTCGGGAAAGTTTTTTTAGCGATAACAAGTAACAAAAGCTTTCCTTTTATTCGCGACGAGAAGGCTCGTTTCGAAGGCTGAAGGCGATTACAACGCGACAATAAATTCAGAATTGCGAAAAGACTATAGCTTTTTCTCGAAAATTTCTCTTCAGGTAATGCTCATGTATATATACATATATGTATATATATATAGAGAGAGAGAGCTATTTACAAAATATTATTTAAGACACTATGTATCGAGACGTCAGCTTTTTCTTCTTCAAAGTGCTGAAGTTTCTCCACTCGTGAATGCCAGCTGGCTGAAGACGAGGAGAATTTCTTTCTACGAAGCTTTTTGTATATTACCCGGGCGGACAATCGTAAACTCGCTCACGCGGAGCCGAAATTCGGAAATAAAGCCTCGCCGAAGCCGCTTTTAGAATAGAGGAGAAAATGCTTACGAGCAGACACCAAACAGTCAACGAAAGAGGAGCGTCCGCAGCTTCCCGGCGTGCTTTCTTAAAGTTTCGCCGTGCTTCGCGTCCGAACAGAAAGAGAGGCGATTGTCACTCGCTCGTAGCCAAACGTCGAGCGAGATTCGTTCATCGGGCACTTTGACAGCGCGGCGTCTATCTTCGTGTGGTCCCAGACTTCCTCCTCGTGGCTCCCCTGCCGATCGCCGGAGCGCGACCACCCAAGCTCTCTTACGCAAGCGACGCGCGTGCTTCTCCCGCGACGCATCCAATCTGTCAGACTCTACACGTACATTCCTCGCGACGAGTCGACTCGCCGATCCCGGAGGCTCCGGGGGAACGCTCCGGGTGATCGAAAGCCTCCGCGATCACCCCGAGGAAGAGTAGCGCGTCTCCGCAAGCTCCGTCACTCCGAGCTCGCACGTCGATCTTCCCCCTCAGCCGTCCGTCTCGATTATTCTCCGCAAGCTTGCGCGCACCACCATCTGCCCACGAGCCCGACTGACGCTACTTCGCACGAGTACACGGCTCTCTCGCGTCCCTAAAGCTCCTCCGTCGCTTCGCCCGCTGCGGGATGCGACGCGTCGCACGCGCGAGCAGTGCGTACGCGCGCGTGGCTGCGCGCGCGCGGACACCCTCGTGTCTATACGTGGCGGCCGTGTACGTGTGTGTATATATGTATTATGTATATGTGCGCGTGTGTGTAGGTGTGTGTGTGTGCGTGTGTGTAATGCGCCTTTGCGCGCGCTGCACCGTCGCAAGCACCCACGCTGAAGCACCCGCTCGATGAGTTGGCCGCTCGCGACTGCCAGAGCTTAGTCCCCGGCACCGAGTTTATGTGATTCGCGGTGGTGGTGCGGTGGTGGTAGCCCGGCACCTCCGGAGAAGCGTGGCGAGGCTCTCGTCTCGCGCCTCGCAGGAGAGAGAGCGGAGCGACCGCGTCGCAGCAGCGCCGAGAGAGCGCGGAGCGGTCACCTAGCCAAGGTCTAAATTGATTTTTACGGCGGTGGCGGTGGTGGCGACGCGCGTCGGCGTCCCGACGTGGCGAACGTTTCCCGTTGCCCGGGCAACCCCTCAACGATGACGTCATAGTTCCCACCACCCCCGGTCGTCGTCTCCTTCCGCCTCCGGTCTGCCGCCGCTGGTCCCCGTATTTCCACTTTAGCCTACTTACGCTTTGAGGAACTCTGGCTTTCAGCTTCGCCCGCTCGCTCCATTCGCGCGGTTCTCTTAATGAGAGGAAAAGAGAGAGAGAGAGAGAGTGTGTGTGAGAGAGTTATTCCGCCGAGTCTTCTTCTCGCTTTTCACGCGAATCCTCGTATTTATCGTCCTGTTGCGGTTTCTCGTATATTTGCATTCATTCATTCTTTTGCTTTTTGTTCTCATTGTCGGTGTTGGTTACGATTCTCCATAGATCCGAAGATAAAGTCTTCATGCCGTCGACAAAAATCCTCTTGTCATTTTGCGCGATCCATCTTTCAACACGAATTATCTACTCTACTTATTTTTCAAAAAATTCCACTCATCATTTGCGCGTTTTAATATAAAACGTCCGACTTATTCCGGTTTATTCTACTATTTTCTCGTATAAACTACATCGTAACCATTGTAAGCGCTTGCTCCGGATTTATTCTCAGTTACAACCGGTTAAGTCTATCCCTCTCAATTAACTCTCACGTTGGCATTTTTATAATACATTTTTATTATAAACTAAAAGACAGAGAAATAAGTATCTCTTGTGTAACTTTTACTCAGACATTAATTTAAAGAGAACTCAATCATTATTTTCTATCTGTCTAATTCGCGCGCGTATAATAAATGTGGTTAATAAAGCAAAAATAGTTGTTGGTTTTTATGTTGCTTCGATATCTCGCGCTCATTAACGCTGGAAGTAATTAAAGAATTAAATCCGGTCCTATTATCTCCTTATTTCTTTTTCTCCTTCCGTTTCGAACAATTCCGCGGCGAACAATGCTTTCCCAGTCTATCTGTTCCTTTCGTTACTTACTCCATCTGCACGTACGCGTATTATTCGCGAAGCCTAATCTCATTTTCTTCAAAGTTCTTTTCGTTATATCTTCCTTATATTTCCCTGGTTCCTTCAATCAGCATCAATCATCATACTTATGTCCTGTTCTCTCATATTTTCTCCTCGTGCTAATTTCATTTGTTTCATCTTTTCTTATCAATTTGTCCTCTCTACCTCCGCCACTTCATTCATCTTTTACTTTTGCATCTCTCATCCTTTCGATGTATCTCTAATTTTATTATTCGACTTCAATTTTATTTTAAAAAAAACACTTAAAATCGTGTGACGATATTACTTTTTTAACTAATGATTTTCAGGTGCTTTCAATTTCTCGTCGCTTTTCCACTATATTCCGCTACATCTCTCATTTTCTACTCGTTATCATCGGACTCACTCTGATCTCCATTTTTTCGAGCTTTTTTTCATCTGACAAACACGCCAATCAGAAATAAAAGATCTTCTTTCCTTTTTTTCATACTACTCCTCACTTCTGTTTGGTTTCATTATTGTAGGTCTCACACGTCTCCCTTGCTCATCCGCTAAGAGTGTTGCGTTATTTTTCAGTTTCTACTGGTAGTGAGACAGACGCTTCGTTTAAGCTCCCATTCATCCGTCTTCAACAGAATAACGCGCAGATGGCTTCACGTTTCTCTTCCTTGTTGTCAGGCAGTCTGAGTCCATCGTTGAGGTAAAATAATGCACAGCAGGTTTTCATTCGTCACTATTGATGAGATTCAGCATAATGTTTGAAAGTACACAATTTAATATCAATTTAAAAATAAAAAACACAATATTCATTGTATTACATACCATATATGATTATTAAAAAGATAAATGCCAAACTAAATTTCTTAAATTTTAATTAAATGTATTGACTCTTACTTATTATTTTTATGAATTTTATTTTGCTGAGAATATTTATTATTTATTTAAAAAATTCTCTTCTAATTACAAGCGTAGAATAAGAGACAGACAGTAAAGAGAAACGAAAAAAGATACAAGAAAGAGAAATACTAGTACTGCGCCGTCAAGTAAATTCTCGACTTTAATGAACGTGCAAAAGAATGCATCTTGAAAATGAAAGTATACATTCTCTAGTTTGGGTCAGTAACTTGCTCCGCGTTTATTTCATAAAATGTATCTTTTATAAAAAATTCATGGAATATCCGACAAATAGTCATAAAAACTTTCCTATATGCAACGTTTAAAAACAATATGATGGATTAAAATATAAATATTGTATTTCAAGATTTTATTTCAAAATAGCTATTATTCTAAGATATTATTTTTCAATGATAAATAAATAAAATTGCAAGAAATTGCGGAAGTTAAAAATATGATAAATATAAATATGTCATCATTTTTAAATTATGCATAATAGTGTTTGTTGATAAATTTCGAGTACAGTAAAAAGATGTAACAAAATATTTTTACTTAAAAATAAGAGAGAATATTATTATTAATTTAATATGATGATATATATTTTACTTTTTATTTTCTAAAACGAAATTTAGTTTAAAACGTAACGCACTTTTATATATCATTTTCACATATTTTAAAATTAATTACACACACACAATAATAATTTTAGATAATTTACCGTCATCAAAAAAAATTCTAAAAAATCGCTAGCAAAAAGGTAGATTAAATATGAGAAGTAAACTAAAAGTTTGAACACAAAGCGGCGGAAATAGCAATGCGCCGCAATATAGCCTTCTTCCGGTGGATTTTGCAAACACAATTCTTCGGATCTGCGGCCGCGTATTTTTCCGAGTATTTCCCGCAAACAAAGATCCATGTCTTTTTTCTATATTTTTCTCTCTTCCCCCTTTTCTTTTTTCATACAAACGGAACTTTTCAATTAACATCGTGTTTTCCTATGTAATCGACAATGTTTTTTGTCGAAAGTTTTTTGCCATCGTTATTACAATAAAAAAGACAAAGAAAAAACTTGCATCGATTGCATAGATATTATTGCACTGTGAATTAAAACGATTGCGCTGTAAAACAGTTTTCAGCAATAAATAAAATACGCTTTTATTAAGTAAATTTTACGATTGAAATGCATTTTTTATCTATTTATTCAACAATTATTTATTCACTATCAATATTCCCTTTATTCACTATCAATATCCCATTGCTAAGTAATAATAATTGAAATAATTGAAAAAATTTACATTAATATACACATAAAATTATTAATGTATGTATTTCGTGTATGCATATGCATAAAGTCATGTTATTCATAGGAAATGTTATTTTCGTTTGTGTAAAATATATATTTATTTAGCAAAAGCAACGAAAAATAAAAAAAAAGATTTATATTTATATGAAATATTTCTGTTATACATAAAATGTAAAGATATATGTTTTTGTATTAAAAGAATCATTGTTTATAAATATGTAATATATATTAGAAGATTTTCTATAAAATAATATAGAGAAATATATTTTTGCAATTTGATTTGATTGAGATTTTTTTCGTGAAATTTTTCCAAAAATAAAATGCAGCATAAAAAAATATTTGCTCTCGCAGCTAACGAATCTGGAATCTTTGATCCTTAAAGATCAACAGAAATTAAGAACGCAAAATTATCCGACCAAGAACAAGGCCAAGCTGCCATTGAAGCTGTGAAATGTCCGGTAATTACACCAAGTCCACAGTTAAGCTGTTCGTTAAAAATTTCAAATCTTTTCCTTCTTTTTTTAATCCGCAAAACTACTGGAGACAAAAGTTTCAAAATTTAATATAGTGCAAATTTATTGATTGATTATTAATTAATGTTATTAATTAGTTCTATGAATTCTTTTTTTAATTTTAATACTGCGCTTATTATAGCAAAAATTTATTCTCAGTTTATTACTTTTATATAATTAAAAATTTATTTTTTGTGAATATATAAAATTTATTTATTATTTTTATTTAAAAATATTTATTAATTAAAAAATATATAAAAAAATATTTTTAACAATAAGTCAAAATAGTTGAATATATTATAAAGACAAATTTTATGAAAATATTTTTGTATTGTCGTTAGGTATGATAGAATCAGCTAATGAGAAGCTTGAAATTTGATGAAATGAAAGATTAACAGAGTCAAATTAATAAATTTTTTAAACCTTAATAAATCATATGTCTTTTTATAATAGGTAGTTTTTACAATTTCTTGCACAAAATAAAAAAAATTTCCATTATTGAATATCAAACTTTTGAATAAATTTTTACTTCTTACTCAAGTAAAGAATTAATTCAAGCAAACATTGTAAATAATATATCATAAATAGTGATTAGCATGCTAGATGCAAGCTTCGAAACTTAATAAATCTTATAAGAGAATTATTCAAGAACATATCGAAGACATGCAGAAGTATTGAAGATACAAAAGCCTTTAAGAATCGCATGCTTTTGCGGAGGCAATTCTACGTGTCCATCGCAGTTTCCCAAGAGTTTCGATTCTATCAAAAGTTGTATCGCTATCTCCCTATGTGGCCGTTTACTTTGTCAAAAGTTATAGCTTCAAGTAACGAGTAAGATAGTTCTTCTTTGAGAAGTTATGCCGTCGCATGAGAAATGCCTGCGGTTTCGTTCCACAATTCATTATCTCTTATCAGATCTTTTATCAGATTGAAACGCAAGAATACAGAAAATGTGAGAATATAGAAAATCACGCTTCTCATTAATTATAGACTGTCGAACTTATAAGTATTAATTAGTTTGTTTGGAAATAAAATGATATATAATTAGATTAAGATAATATAAATAATAAGTTTTCGCGCAAAGTACCAATTATTAATAAAAAAAATTAAGTTTTGCAATTTTATTTATTAAAATAATATAAAAATTTAATATATATTTTAAAATATCATTTTATTTTTATATTGTTTTCATAATAAAAATATTCATTATTGTAATGTAAATGTCATAGTATTAATAATTAGAAAATTAAACATTTAATATTAATATTTAAACATTTAAAAATATAAAGGAAATATGATTTGCATAATTTTATATTCTTGAAGTGTTAGATATATTACACACTTCTAGATTTTAATCACAAATTAGATTAAAATCAAGTTATCTAAATATATAATAAATATATCGCAGAACTATGTACGTGTAAGTTCAAATAAATTTTATCTCCTTTATCACCATTTAATTTAGATATATGAAGAAAGAACAAAACGCATGTAAAAAATATAATACATTAAATAGAAGAATAAACAACGAAACAATGAATTAGAATAAACAATGCAGATAATTGAAAATTATGCAAATATATAATTTACTATATAATTTAAATATATAATTTATTTAATTTTTATATAGAATTTACTTACCAAATACTGATCTACAGCATTGCCATGTCATCAAATGCTGCAAAAAAGAATTTGCACAATTAGTTTCTCTTAAAGCAAAAGAATATAAAAATATGTAATATATAAGAAAGAATCTTTATACATTTATTTTAATATAATATGTGTATATATATTAACAATAATAATAATATTCGAGCTATTAATTTTTTTCTACTTTAATATTGTTTTTATATTAATTATAGTAATCTTCATTTAACTAAATATAATATTAAATATAATATATATAATAATATTAATAATTAATTTAAATAAAAATCTAAAATTAAATTTAATTATAAAAATATGGTTAAAAGGATAGCAAAATGCGACTATTAAAACAATAAAATTAACATATATACAATAAGTTATATATAGCTAATAATCATAAAGATACAATTAAAATGATAGCAAAATATAAATATTAAATTAATAAAATTTGATATAATCAAAATTTTATTATATATAATATTTTTTGTGTTTAACAAGATATATTCAACATACAGGAATAGTACAATAATAAAAAAAGAAAAAGATAGACATAGACACAAAGAAAGAGATAAAGAGAGAAGAACAGAAACCAAACAGGCGTAAAGAAAAAAAGAGAGAAAAAAAAACAGAGAATAATAATAATTAAACATTTTATTAAATACTAAAATATTAATACTACTTTTTTCTTATTCGAAATTTATGAAAAGATGAAAAAGCGTGTTGCATTTCTCAAAATATACAATTAGTCTAAGATAATAATAATAGATAATAATTAAATAATTAAATAATAATAATAATATATAATAATTAAAATAATAATGTAATAATAATAAATAATTAAATTTCTTTACCAGTCGCTGCTTTATCTGTTTTCTAACTGCACACTTCCGATGGAATTTCACAGAAAAGTCAACGATATAATGCGTTATTTTACCAGGTATCCTTCAACATTTTTATTCACCTGAAAAATAGAATAAAGAACACAAATTATTTCAACATCTCGCACTATACATCTTCATCGTAAATCGAATTAACTTCGCATACCTTAATTCGTATAAATGTAACTTATATACATTGTAATTTTAGCTTAGCACTTTCCATAAGATTCCGATATTTCGCGGATGAAAGAAGATATTTTCAAAGCAAATTAATGAACAGTTAACGAACCATTGCCGAGTTAATGGATGATTCGCATCGAACAAAATGAAAAATAATGATTGAAAAACAGTTAATCGCGCACTTCAAATTATACACGTTACATTACACGCTCGGTATTTTTCGATACTCACTCCCGATTCATTTATTTAAACGCGGAATATTGTTTTCTCGACGAATAAAACGAGCTTGCAACGCGGACATGTTTCGCGCACTTAATGCGACGCAGGAAATGGCGGGAAAGCGCGGAAAGACGCACCAACAAACATGGCGACCGGTTTGAACGTAGCCCTGCGTCTCGGCGATGTGACGTCACATGACGTCACGTCTCACCCGCAGCGAAAAAAAATCAGATAAAAAATCAAAGCATCCTTTGTCTTTCTCTTTTCCTCTTAAATTCATTTCAGACAATTAATTCTCCCCAATTAATTCGCAGACATTCAAAGACAAAATTCCACTCTATCATGTATTTTACTACGTAATATATTCTATTATATGCTATATATTTTGATACCGTGTGCGTATTAATATAGTAAAATTATAAATAATTATCAAAGATATAAGTTATGTAAATTTTATTGAGAAAATTCTCTCTTTCGATAATTTATATTTCAAACTTGCAGATTTTAAAATTACACACAGCATCGCGCCCTTTATTTATTTACTCACTTTTAGGTATGAATTATAAATAAACAAACCTCTCGACGTAGTCGATGATAGTGAACATTTTTTTCTTTGACTTGTCGAAATGTCGATTTAAAATACATCATCGGGCTGTTTGTAAAATTCCTCAGGACAAACGATGATTTACGTGATCTAAACATATACAGTACTTATCACGAAAAAAATCAGATAAAAAATCAAAGCATCCTTTGTCTTTCTCTTTTTCTCTTAAATTCATTTCAGACAATTAATTCTCCCCAATTAATTCGCAGACATTCGAAGACAAAATTCCAACACTCTATCATGTATTTTATTATGTAATATATTCTATTATATGCTATATATTTTGATATCGTGTGCGTATTAATATATAGCAAAATTATAAATAATTATCAAAGATATAAGTTATGTAAATTTTATTGAGAAAATTCTCTCTTTCGAGATAATTTATATTTCAAACTTGCAGATTTTAAAATTATACACACAGCATCGCGCCCTTTATTTATTTATTCACTTTATTTAAGTATGAATTAAGTAAACAAACCTCTCGACGTAGTCGACGATAGTGAACATTTTTTTCTTTGACTTGTCGAAATGTCGATTTAAAACACATCATCGGGCTGTTTGTAAAATTCCTCAGGACAAACGGTGATTTACGTGATCGAACATATACAGTACACAAACATATCACACGAAACAAATACACATCGAAGACAGTACCGAGAAATGGTAACTAAATAATTTCTCTAGGAATGAGTTCGAAAATTCTACTCGTGAAATAGAGTAGCTTCGAATCCTCCAATCAAAATGAAGAAATCTTTGCTCCTTTCGTCGCTTTGCTCCACGGATCGAATGTCCGAACGCACTCTGAAAGTCGACCGAGGGCGCTGTTGTTGTCACGCGTGTGACGTCACGTGACGTCACATCGCGTGACGCACAACTACGTTCAAAACGATCGCCACTTTAAATGCGCACTTCCATGCTTTCGCCAACTTTCTGTGTCGTTGCTCCCTCAAAATCTGTACGCGAAACATCTGTGTGAAACATCTCTGTTGTATATTCGTTTTATTTGTCGAAAATAAATTCCGCGGTTAAATAACTATCGAGAATATTACGAAAACATCGTGTCCTCGCTCTTGTTTCCGGAAAAGTGTGCAAAAATGCTGTGTCTACTGTCCGATGCGTAAACTACGACTTTAAATGTCGTAAATGTGAAAAAGTTAAATAAAATAAATAAATAATAAAATAAAATAAAACGAACTTGATATTTAAATGGAAAAATTATCGAATTGCGTAGTAAATTTATCACAGTGTGTATAAACGATAATTGAGGCCGAAGCCGCGAAGAAAATCGAGATATCTCGATTGGACTCTCGTGTCCGGGGATCGATAAAGTTGAGTCAATCGCGAGTCGCGTCAGGTCATCTGTCAGTCGCGTCGCGTGTGATTCCTGGTGATTCCGATCAGCAGATATCGACATGTCAGCGACGATGACAGCCAAGCTGCAGGATGACATGAATAGCATACCCCTCGCAGATGATGATCCGCAAGGTGAGTATTTGGAATTACCTAATTCGGTGACGTTTCTTTGGCAGCTGTTGCCATCCTCTATCGATGACTTATAACCTCAAGCTAGTTTGTTGCGAACTTACTTTGCACGTCGAGCCCTTATCCGAATCCTAATCTTTAATTAGTGCCATTTATTTGATTTCGTTCGCTTAATCCACCTGGCCTCCATCCATCCAAGTTGACATTGCATTTGTTGATTGACAGAATGAAAATTAGATCAGCCATATTTAACACCCTGAATGTGTACTAAATAGCAATATGTCTTCTTTATTTCTTAGAATCTGATTCTAAGATATAAAAACGCACTAAATAATAGCTGGGCCTCAATATTATCGTTTTCTTTTATATTTATCGATTGTATTTGTTGCTTGCGAATCCTTGGGAATGCTGAATAATTTGCATGTTCCTTGCATAATGCAGTTTGTCCTGTGACAATTGTAGCACTTTGATTTTTATTGTGGAGTGATAGTTTGTTAAAGTTATTTCTCACACATTCGTAGTAATAATACCAGAGGAAGAAATCTTGGACAATGCTTCGCATATATCTGATGCGCTAGGAAGAGGACGTAGTATGGATTCTATCCCATCGACATTTACTAACGGAAGCTGTAGTCCAAATAGTAAGCGATATTATTATTGACCTCTTACAATATGTGTCACAGAAAAAAAGGATATAGCTGGTTTTTACATTTTATACTTAATTTAAATGAATATAGTATCTAATATTAATTAAACAGAATCCTTGTTCCTATATCTAAATTTCTTGTCTAATTTTATTATGTAAATTTTATTTAAAAATTATAACAATTCCAATCTCTTTGATTTTATAAAGTTATAGCATAGACAAATTAATAACAGTATGTAAAAAGATTGAAATTCATTATAGGTTTAGATCCAGATATCAGCCCAGATGAACAGGAAGAGAAAGCTAGACTGATTGCGCAAGTTCTCGAATTGCAGAATACTTTAGATGGTGCGTGTGTATTTTAGAAAAATTTTGTTGCAGATGGATATATGTATTGATATTTTCTGATATGCAAATATATGTGCTTTATTTAGATCTATCACAAAGGGTGGATAGTGTGAAGGAAGAAAATTTGAAGCTGAGAAGTGAGAATCAGGTTCTGAGTCAATACATTGAGAATTTAATGTCAGCATCTAGCGTGTTTCAGTCAACAAGTCCTAATACTAAGAAGAAGTAAATAACCAAATTAATTAAATAAATTAGATTAAATTATTAAATAAATTTACGAGCCAGCTACAGAATCTTGAAATAATTATGATTGTTTTGACTTCTTCAAAAGTATGTGTTTAGTCATGCATTTAATTTTTTCATTTAACAAAGGATAATATAAAGCTTTTAAAAATATTGTGTCCAGTATACGTAGTATTTTCAATTCATCTTTGTTAATTTGTATACATTTTTTAAAAAAAGCTAAGTATTTCTGATCAAATAATCTACTTTTATCAGTCAAGTATAATGAAATATCCTTTTAAAATAATTAAGACTATTTATAATGCATTCACTGTGACTGTGACTTGAAAAACACGCTTATAATTATGATTATGTGCACCAAAGAATCTTGCATTTTTACAATTTTTACAAAACATCAATGCTTTGCAAATTTTTAAATAAACTTGCTAAATAGTTAATTTATATACAATACACAAATTTAAAAAAATTTTTTTTATATTTAGGATTAATTAATTTATCTGAAACTAGTGCATAATATAATATTAATAATATATTTGTTATAATTTATTGTGTGTGTGTGTTTGAAGTAAATAATATGTAAAATCAAAAAAAATTTTAAATTTAACAATTATATTTTTTATTATGTTATTTATATATAATATATGCGCTGTCAACTTGAATTAGTACTTCAATTTTATATACGACTGATGTATTTCATTCATACATACATTTGCTTTTTGCATTTATATACATTTTTAAAAGTTTATCCAATATGCACACTTTACATTTGCAAAGCTGAACATTAAAAAACTTAAAGCTACATATACATTTCGTCGAAATATCTTTTGTTTTAATACAAACTCTTGCTTGAAAGTTTTGACATATTATATATATATGCATTGTATGTAGATGTACAAAAGAGATAATATTGTAATAATTATATACAATTACAATACGCTGTAATCGATGACATACTATGAAAAATTGATATGCTACATATATAGTATACGTTACGAGCAAGATGCGAGCTAGTTTGCTATTTATGACGAAAAGTTGATTTTAGACGAGTTAATGCATGTGCAATCATCTTGCTTGTAAGCGTATCGAGTCGACACGATTGATGCATAATAATATATATTTACTGCAAATGAAAAACTGCGACTTGCGATCGAGTTTCAGTTTGAGGGCACAAGCAGAATGCACAATTCCAAATTATCCCATTGTTGAGTGAAACACAGTGTTATAATAAACATTATATTCTATTGGAACGTGTTGTATTCGATCAATGCCTCATTCGAATGAATTTTTTTATCTAGCAGAACCATCTTTTTTCTCATGAAACACTCATTCATCACTGTCTTTGATTCCTCTTCTGACCAGTTAATTTATAAATGAGTAAAATAAAAAGTATATCTGTGTGTTTTTCCTCGATTAATCCTCTTGGATAGCCGAAAATTGTATTGCTTTTTGCCCCCAAGATGTTTTCGGTCCCGGCTTTGCTCGTCCATTCTTCTTTATTCCTATCCACCATCCATAATGCACGTATTTGCGCGATCGAAATGCATCATAGGAACCAATAGTCCATTGTTCCCATTCAGTATTATCGTTGCTCATATTTACCTGAAATCATTTATAAGAGATAAGTCGTATACAAATCTATGATTTTAATCATTTTCAAATTTTCATTAATAAATATTTGGAAAATCAATTTATCAATTACATAAATTGCGTTTAAATAATTTTCACTACCTTTAACAAACTTAAGTAATTTCTTTAAATAATTTTATAACTATTAAATTAATAATTATGCTGATTATTATATTTTTATTATTAAATATAGAATTAGTTTTGTTATCAAAATTGTGAGGTTGAATAATTGAAATTAGGTTGAATAAAGTCATTGAAATAATCTTATAGAATTGTGTAGAATTTTTTTACTCACGGTACAATAGAATGCTACATATAAAATTTGCGGATATAGATCGTGCTGCACAATATGTTATGCTCCATTTTTCTTGGTAATAAAAACCTTTTTCATGTAGCAATCCGTACAAAAGGCTTATACTACATTTTTATATAGGCAATATACTTTTCTCTCCATATTTTATATTCATATCTTACCTCTCCGTATAATCGTCCTTTTTTATTAAATGCCAGATAGAGCCTCGTTTCGATACTTTGTATTCTAATAACACCGAAAGATACCGGTGTTACGTGAAGCAGAGCTGCACAAATATAAATTCTTACAAAAATAATAATTTATATAAATAATAATTTATAATAATTAAATATAATTTATTAATGTTAATAATAATAATGAGAATAATAGTTATGGCTATAAAAATAGTATTATGACATATCTGAAGTCTTTATTTTACGTTTTTATTCCGATTAACATGTCATGATAAATAAAAATACCGTGCGACTCTTTGTTGTCAGATAATCCTCGGACTCGTCCCGATGGTGTAATTGCCAGATGATACCCTGTTCGACAGTACAGTTTTATTATCCCACAATTATAGACAGGATTTTTCGCTGGCTGTCGGGGATCCCATATTACGTACGGCGTATATTTATGTGGTTTGGAGTTGCGTTCCATGTTACGCGGGGTTCTATAATTACAATTAGATAATGACCCATAAATACCTACGTATAGTTACATGTTACGTAACAGAAAGAGAAACAGAGAAAGAATGCTTATGTTTTATGCAAAAGGAGTTACGTTACATAAAAATTATTATACATTCAAATTAATATGATAAAAAATAATAGTAAAACAAAGATAGTAAAAAAATAAAAAAATTGCATAAATAAATAAAAAGAACAGGATATATATATTTATTTGTAAATGTGTTTATCATCACATACATACGATAAAAAACACATACATAAAAAAAAAGTATATGAGAACTAATAAAGATTATGTTAATTAAGGACACATTTGCAGTATGACAAATTAGTTTTGTAATTACGGCAAGCATGAAACAAAATTACTTGAAAGATAAAAATTTATCGCGTTTTCAGAAGAGGACTCTTAAGAATAATAATATAGAAAATAGAAAATTGTAATAACATGTTACTTGTAATTAACAGAATTCGCGTGAAATATGAATATAATAGTACTAAATTAATACTTCGTTGTATGTGATATTTTTTTCGAGCCTTTAAGTATATTGTGTCGTGTACGCTGTCAGTTGATGGAATTGTCTTTGCCTTCATGAAGGGTGTTCACACCGTTATATAGATGCTGGAAAATATATAGGTCGGCCGATTTTTCAGGTCAGCAAGCCTCGTGAATGAAGCGCATCACGCTCTGTACTGTAAACGCTCGCGCACTTCGTTAATTTTAAACCGATTCTCGAAGGGAGGAAACGAAATGTCAATAGGCTTTGTGCGAGAGTTACGCGAATAGTTAGGCCGCCGTCATCAGAAAGATAAAGCATTAAAGCGGTTAATTTTACATGGCTTCGTATATAAGCCGTGCCCAATAAACCTTTTGTGCAAACAAAATATACTCTCACGCGAAAATAAACGTTATATTCACAAACGAAGCTACATGTATTTTTATTTTATTTATTGGTAAATGTAATTTATGATTAATGTATAAACTTTTATTCGTACAAAGAAAGAATGAATTTTTGTTGAAATTCTGTTTTTCCTTTTTAAAGAAATTTCACAAGTAATTGCAAAAAAGGCATATTTAATCTATTAACTTCTATTTAATGGCATATTTTGTATTTATTTATTGCTTATATCACTCCTATTTATTACTATAATTACTTAATATTTTTCAAGGTATCAAATTAAAAGAGATATTATCCATATTAAAACATACTATATTAAGTCATACTATATAAATACTATATTTCTAACAAATTAAAGTTTATTAATTATTTTCTTGACTATTATAGGTATTCTAAAAACTTTTTTTATGCAATGCAAAATTTTTTCTCTAATGGAATAATAAAAAAAAGAAAAGAATAATTCCTTTTTGTATTTGCGAGAGGGATGAAATTCCATTTCTATTCGAGCGGTGCAAATTGCATCTCGCCAGATTCGTCAGAATGTCGATCATAATTTCGCACGTCATGTTATAGCGGGAATATTGCTGAATTCACGGGAAATTGTAGTCGCGATACCACGTACGACACTATGCTCGTTTGATACCGTTAATAACACAAACTACACCTAATGCATCTGCTGACCCTGTGGCGATATGGAGCAGAAAGTTAATCGAGTCAAGTGATCAATGAATGTACATTATAACGTTGGAGGGCGACTAGGTAGACAAACGTATTTACCGTGTATCCAGTGTCGGCGAGACATTTTACCTTGTCCCATTAATTATGCTAATCCGTTCATTTACGCGAATTACACATTTCTAGGAGATTCGCAGATGAAATAAGGGAGGTGCATTTCATCAGAGGAAGCTAACTATTATTATTTTTCGCTGAGCAGACGTTAATTTCTATATTTTACATTGGGATATTTTTTTAATTACACTCTTAAATATGCAAAGTATTTAATTGTATGTGTGTGACGCGTATATTTTCGACTTAATTAGATATCTAGATGATATTATTACCCGTTCCCGTCAAAGGTGACGGTCGTGGTCGAAGGTCTTTTGGTTTCCCTCTTCTTCCGAACATCGCGAGCGATTTTCTTCCCATTTTCTACTACATCGTCGTCTTCCTGAAGAGATAATTCCGTGTCGTAGCTATCGTCACTGCAACTATCGTCGATATCGCTGCACTCCTCGTCGCATGTTGGTGCTTCCAAATTCTCGTGAATCCAGCGCAAACTCATTTTCGGTTTCCTTGCTGCTGCATAAATTCACAGACACATATTTACACCGCACATTTGATATTAAATGTGGCCATTTGATTTACTTCTAACACTAAAACCGCATTCGATGCGGTTATCATTGACCAAGAATTATCATAGTCACATTTGCGGCTAAGTGTGAGATGTAACTATGGATCATAATATAGGTATGTATATTTATGATCTGCTAGATTATACATCGACTGTAATAAAGAAATGTAAAAAAATTTGACGTCAGGTCTAACGTATAAATTTACGCATTTTTGATGTCAAGTTGTCAAGAACGATCATATGTTAAAAAAAAAAAAAACTTTCTTAATTACATCAAATTACATCAATCGTTATATTACACCAGGGAATTAAATCTATATAATGATTTGTATACTAAATTAATATATTATAAAATTAATGTATTGATTTATCAATAAAATCGTATTTAATTTCATTTTTTTCAATTTACCCAATAATATGAATATTTCTATTACAATTTCATTACGAATTTTATTATTTGTATTTTTTTATTTGTCTGACAGCTATTAATTAAAATGCTACAATTGAAATTTGTAGAAATTTCTCGTTTTTTTTTGTTATTTTATAATTTGTTTCTTATATGAATCTTTTTGAAATTAATCTCTCTTTATGAATATTTTGATGAAAGTAACTTAAATATGCGCTACTATTATTTTTTATCAGTAAAATCAAGGTTTTAACACTCTGAAAATGTTATATTCGAGAAAAAAGATCTATGAGATAGTAAATGAAATTTCTCTCTCTCTCTCTCTCTCTCTCTCTCTTTCTCTCTTTCTCTGAATGTTGGGAAGCACCCACGCGTGTGAAATATTTTTTATTCAGAGCAGGAGCAAGCATTATAGTGTCCGAGATTTAACGGTGGTCTCGGTCTACTAGTGACCATGCGTATCGAGTGTGCAGATAATTGCGCATCGAGACGTACTTACGCATCAATAACTAATTCAATAAGAGCAGAAATACGTCAGCCGAATTAAGCACAACGAATTCAAAAAGCGCAATTATCCAGAAATATACGTACTGCAATTATATTAATATAAGTCTTCTTCGAACTTGACACATTGATAACAGCATACGCACTATAATTATTTACAGCAGACACAAGTTACATCGCATTATTTGCAAGAGAAGCACTAAATATCGAATATATTACAATATTTTTTTCACACGTACACCTACACGTATCGTATAAAAGACTTAGAAAAATTAGATGGAGATAAGACTGGAGGATAAATTCTGTCGAACTTTGTTCACATAATCGAGAGCAGAGTAGAGAGTGAATTTTTTTTCGATCACACGACACTTTAGATAGATCCGACGAAAGAAGCTGATCTTTTTCGCGCGCACGAGGATGCGTCAAGCTTTGATGATCGTGCAGGCATCCACCTACCTGGAAGTTCCACGTTTATTACGCGACTGAGCCCGATTCTCTAGTGGCTCGTCGAATAATAGCAGACATGACGCCGGCCTACTGACAGTCACCGCCGTCGGCGTCGGCGGTCTGCAGATTCCTGGTGGAACGATTTAAAAATGGAGCACGCCTTCGAGCGCATGCACACACGTCTTTTTTAAAACCCTCTTTAGAGAGCCACCATTAATCATTAGTTCTAGAGATATTATTTTAATAATGTTCCTCGTTGAGAAATCTTTGATCTTTTAATCATAAATTCCGCGTCACTCATGATTTAGCTTTGAATAAAAGTACTGATAAGTTGAGATTCGAATTTTTTAATAATTCTTTTTTTACAATTTATCATATTATCATATCATTAAATTTTGCTACAGTAAACAAATTTATCTGTGCATTTTTATATATAAAAATATATGGGATATATAGTATATTATGACATTATACAGGATATATAGTGTATTATGATATTAATTTGTTTGAAATTCTCTCTCTCTCTCTTTTTCTCTATACATATATATATATATTTTTCATGTATATAAAATGCACAGATTAATCTGTTTATTGCAACAAGATTTAATGATTTTAATAATATGATAAATTGGAAAAAAATAATATTCAAAAATTTCAATCAATTTATCAATACTTTCTATCTATATATATTGTTTTATTTGATATATAAATGGGGGGAGAGAATATATCTATAAATGTATAAATTTGTAATTTATATAATACCTATGCAAAAAATTGCAGTATTCTAATTTACCAGCAGCATTTTGAGTATAAAATATTGGTAACATTTTTTCGTATATATTGGAAATATTAAATATGTGTTAAATTTGAAATATGTAACAATAGTATAATTTTTTCAATAATTGCAAATTTGTATCATTATTAGATATTTTCTTTGCATATTTTCTATTGATATATACAGATGGCGAAGCAGGTATAACCGCAATTCTATAGTATGATGAAAAATAAAGATCTGAAGCTGAATTTAATCGATTGACAACATTTTTATGATACAATAAATATCTTCAGTTATGTACTATTTTCTTTATATAATTAATATTAAAATATTTGATACTGAAACTTTAAAAATTTTTTAAATATATGGATATATTGTACGTATATTATTTACATATTATTTCTTTCTATACTTTTTATTTTATGTAATTTTTATTATCTGTAATATAAATAAGAAGAATTAATACTAAAGATTTAATACAAAAATCCTTTTAAACATTAATTTAATCCTAAAATCCTTTTGAACATTAAATTTTGGTTAAATTGAAACTAAAAAAAAAGAAAAAATAATTTTTAAGACATAATATTTTAGTTCATTGAGAATTTTTTTAAAGTTCATGCAACTATTGACATATATTAAAATCAAAATAATAACCCAAGAAATTTTATTTCTAGTTGACATATGACATGTAAAACATAAGCATGATTCTAATACCTCTGCTTACGCTGTTTTAATCAATGATAAGGTCGTCGTTCCCTCAGAGTTCACTCTATTCATAGTTATATCTGCAGGGATTGTTATGGCTATCGATCGAATGCAGGGCACTTCGATACACTATTTGTACAATTAATAACGACCAAGCACAACATACGACATTATTGCATCACAGCAGGATAATAAACTACGTGTGGTGTATTAATCCTTTATAGAGTGTTGCAATTTTCACTGTAGACAAGAAGTAGTTAGGTATCAGTTTTAGTAGACTCATAGGTCACGCAATATTTACATAAAACGGTTGATCAATTTTTGAACATTTGCAATCGTCAAAATAATGATAACACATACAACTCGCAAAAGTTTTCACACAGTTTCATTCAACCTATAAAATTATTCACAATTGTATACGTTACGTTCGCATATATCGCCATTGTATGTGATATATTTCAATATAGAGACTGTCTTTATTATTATTATTATTGTAGAATCTATAATAATAATACAGGATCTATAATATAGAGCATAAATTATGCAATAAAGAGGTTAATATAACATTTGCTATAAATTAATAAAAAAATTTTCAAATATTTATGGGAAAGAATATAAAATATTTTTTAAGCTTATTGTTTAATTTACAAATTAAATATTAAAAATATGAAATAAATTATGGATTTTTTAATATTTTATGCATGCTATAAGATATGCTTCAAATATGAATATATGAATTTATAATATATATATATATATATGATGTGCAACATCCTTCTTTATATACATAAATTAGCAAAAGTTATTATAAAAGAGATATTATTAAATAAATATATAAATATATATATATTGTATATATTATATGTATATAAATATACTATAACGCATCTTCCTCCGTGTAAATTATGCTTGCAAGAATGCATAAATTCGTCGAAGCGTTGAATCAAGCGGCGTCCACAAAGAGAGCAACTCCATGACAGTGTCTATCATTACCATACTGTCGATGGATAGCTCTCTTCATAGCGAGCGCTCCATCCCTCGGTTTTGAATTTCTTTCCATTTCTATTTCATTAATATTTCCTTGATAGCATAGAAAGATTATAACATATATGACAAATAGATATATTAAATAGAAAATAGAAAAACTAGATAGAAAAAATATTTACATAAAATTTTTTAAATATTCAAATGGAGTTACATATTTTATATTAATTGCATTATATAGACAGAGAGAGAATTATACTTAGAATATTACTCACTTCTTATGTAACATACTCGAAGGAACTTCCTTGAAGAAAAAAGTCTATTTACTAGATCCAATAAATTTTGCGCGATAACCGTTATCACACGAAAGTCATTATACGCAATACCGCAACAGTATCGTAAGACAAAAGCCCTGAATAATCTCATCAGCAAAGTTTTAACCTGCTGGTATAGAAAAAAAGATGAATAGATTGAGCTCTATTTTTCTGAAATGTTTATATTCGTTTTATAATGATTCTTAAACACAAAATTGAATTAAAAATAAGAATTAAGAGTTTGTCAGCATTATACAAAATATAACAATATAACTATAATATAATATTGAATATATTATATTATAGTTATATTGTTATAATATAATATTGAATATTATAAATATATATAGATTTCAAGACATTTAATATTTTTCGAATATGATTTTTTAGAAGCTAAACTCTCGAGAGTCAATCTTCAATTTTCAATTTTCAGCTCTCTTTATCTCTCTTAATTCTTGTTTTCTAATCTTCTAATTGTCTAATCTATTGTGCATACTTTTATTACTTTTTAAAAATCGTCTATTAATTATAATTTCTTATACTATTCTTATACTAATTATTTTCCATAATCTCGTGCATTTTAATGTTACTTTAATGTCTAAAATTCAATGATATACGTACTGCAATATATCTGCTATGCAAATGACTAGCTTCCATTTGCAAAGCTCATCATTTTTGCCTCATTTGTAATGCACCAACCAATATTAGCGACCTGCTATAAGTATAGCTGATTCGCAATCTCGATTCGAGGAAGAAGAAGGTAGCCTCTCACGCAAAAGTGTAGCTGCTCCAACTTAGCGGCATGACTTGTTATCAGGAAGGTGCGAGGAGCCTCTTCCTCTTTAGCGCCGCCATCTGATTGCATCGCAAACATAACCGCTTTGCTACCAGCTCGTGCCACGACTTGTTAACACATCCTTTTGGCCATCCAACAATGCCGCGAAGCACGCTTGCGAAATTGCAAGCAGTTCGGTGCCCCCTAAAATTAATCGCCGAATTAAATATGGCTCTTTTTTTTCACGACTCTCTCCTCTTTATCGAGACGCAAAAATTTCATTTAAAAGCTATACAATTTTTTCTAATAATTCAATATTTGTGCCTCTATTGTTTTTGATATTGTTTAAATTTCTCATCTCGTAATAATTCAATAATCGCGATTCTGTTGTCGAGAAATTTAAATGTCAAAAATTTAAATATCAAATAATTTACATTGTAATAATGCTTTCATTATAATATACATTCATCTTGGTCTACATGTGTAAAAGAATAAGATTCATATTTTTTTCTGGGCAATGAAATTGCAAGGTGGTTAGTATTCGATGGTCGTAAGATTCCGGAGACGTGCCAACTTCGCGTCACCCGTAATTAACGTGTTTCAACTAATCCATGTACAAACCTGTACGACATAAACGAATGTCGCGAAGACGTCCCCGATGGAGAGAACGAGCAAGATCGTTCTGCGTTCTATTTACTCAGATGACATTTCTACCACAGTTACAAGCAACTGCTTAAACAATCGTTGATTTGGCAATTGCAGTGAAAAATACTGAAATTTGAGACATTAAAGCATTCTCATAGCTTTCACGCATTTTTTTTCTTATTTTATATTAATTTAAATGTAGAAATATATATTGGGGGATTTAATTGTACTATTAATTTCTTTAGTGTTGAAATAATTTTACAATATATCTTTTATAATATAAATAAATATTTTTATAATAAAACTTATTTATATAGATAATCAAAGATAGAATGAGGTGTCAATAAGATGCTCTCTGATAACGATATAAAATGATTTTAAAAATTGTGAAACTTTACGATATTTTGTGAAATAATATCTTAAAAGAAAATTTAGATATAATCAATTTTTTCATAAATATAAAAAGTTAATTTGAATATTACTAATTTCGAAATTAATTAATAAACTATTACGTTCACAATTTGGAATGTTAGCCCATGTTTTCTATCACCTGATAAACGCGCGATGAAACCTACAAGATATCGTCTTTGAGAGCCGCGATTGCACCTTATCAGCGAGCGATGTGATAAGATGATAACGAAACGAGTCGCTCGTTATTACCGAAAATCCTCGGCAATATAATTCCCGAGCAGTAAATTTTAATAAATTTCGCTCACGTAGCATTTTCGCTCACCGGGATACATATTTTGCGGTCGCAATTGCCAGCAGCCTGCATTAATTACAATCGCGTTAATTTACAAGTGGCTGCACGTCTTCTTCGGTAGTTTACACGCTTACATTACGTAACCGATTTTAGTTCATCCGTAGTCGGCATTTTTTCTTCTCGTCTCGCTTGCGATAGACAATATTTTTCTACTATATCAAAACACGAGATTGTGTCGTTTTCCTTTTTTTCCAACAAAATAACGAGTCGTACAAACTTCAGAATCTTACGAGTGTGTACGATCTCCGTGTACGTTAATTAATAGATCATAATTAATAAATCCTAATTGAATTGAATCACCTATATTAAATTAACGAGAGAGCAATTATTAGACGCATTGTTATGTATTTCGACACGATGTATAATTGAAACGATTTTATAATTGATACAAGATGATCACAGTTAAAATTTTCAATTGATGATGCAATATATTTTATGCAACTAATCAGGTTTATGCGAGCATTTACGACGAAATCTTATCTTCACTGACGAATTATTTTCGAGAAGACTCGCAAAGACTGCTGTAAAACTGTCCCACTACGAGATAAAAGAAGTAAAATGAAACAACTCGATAATGCGAATTACGTTGCACTTGCTCTATTTACGATAAAAGCATTTGTTTTACAATTTATAGAAAGAAAATCTAAAAACTGATAAATAATTAATAACATTAAGATATATGTTTACAGATGCACACGTTTACAGATATATATCGTTTGTTGAAAAAAATAATAGCTTTAATTATCAGCATTAAATAATCATTATGGCTTAAGACTTTATTTGTTAAAATAATTAAAAATTTGAAATAATTAAGTTTTCTTCAGAAAATTCTGAAAGCTTCTTGTCTATTTTTTTTACAAAGTCTTTTGTTTTGGAAAACATTTTATTATTTTGCATTGTCATCCACGATTACGGCCATAATTGTCATATGATATCGATAGCATCTAAAGAGCCATGTTTAATTTAGCTATCAAATTAAAAAGAGTGAATGCCATGATACGATATATAGTATACCATATAGTATATTATACACTAGAAAATACATTTAGATAAATTTTAATTCTTGAAAATAAGAGATTTTTTAAATATTTTAACAATCTTTTAAATATTTAACATATCTGTTATGCTTAATGCTTTTAATAAAAAAATTTTCAACATATATAATTTCATTATATGATATTTCAAATTAGTGATAAAATATAATAAAGTACAAAATTATAAAAATCTATTAATAATAATAAAGATTAATAATTTTTTTCGTAAAATATAAGAAAAATAGCTATTATCTAATTACCATATAATGTTACATTATATCAGGGATATATATTATTGATATGAATAATGAATAATTTTAATAATTAGTTATAATTATATACGTATATATAATCATTCAGAGTTGATAATATTATTAAGTTTTAAATTATAAGTATTAATTTTGAGAGAAAACATTAGTAGGTACTAAAAATCAATTTTAATATCACATTCTTACAATGATTACCATATCTTTATAAGACATTAAACTTTAAAAATCATCTATCATAATTCATGCATTATGTCTTAAATGTTTTATGTTTTATTTGTATATGTGTGTATTATGTATATAAGTAGTTTATATTTCAACGTATTAATAATATATCCTGGAAAATATAAAATAAAATAATCAGTTTATAATAGAAACAAACACAAATTTTATAATTTCATATTTTATATATAAGAGAAATCATAAGTTTTTATAAGAAATTATATATATATATATATATATATATATATATAATATTTAAAATTTTTCATTTGGATAAAAATGCATAATATAAAAAATGCATTTTACAAAAGATTTAATTATGTCTCTTTGCAATTATTTTAAAGTAATTAATTTAATTGATATATGTATTATCATTATACGAAATTTTAAATACAAATTAAAAAGAAAAAAACTATATTATGACTCCATTAAAGACATTTTTTTAATATTAAAAATATTGTCGATTTAATTTACATTATTTGAAAAGTCAGGAGATAGACTCAAGTTTTTCATGTTTAATAATATTATAAATTTATGATGAGCAATTATTTTGTTACGCAAAATGTTTGCAATGTTTTTATAAAAATAATAAAGTTTGTGCAACAAGTCAGGACTTTTACAAACTTATATCCAAATTGATTACCTAATAGTTTTGATACTATGGAAAGTTACATATTTATGTGCCTGTTAATTTTATATATTCATTATCGATCATTTTGACATCACCTTCACCGAACATTAACGAGTCGTTAAACTATAATAACTCATCGCACGAAAACAACAAGAAGCACATTTTTTTCTTCTTTAAAGATATATATCGAAATTATTTTAATAAATATTCTATTATTTTATTTTGTTAAAACGTCAGACAGTTTTTTAATATAAATTCATATATATATATATATATATATATATATATATATATATATAATCTTCTATAAAAATAAGAAGAAATATAGCTTAGTGACTACAGGTTGCAAGTTTTTTAATATGAATATAATGAATAATACTTATGTTAGAAGAATTATTAAAATTATTATCTATATTAGCTAAATAGAAAACATAATATTTGTATATACACTGGACATTAAAATATTATTTTATTTTTTACGTTACATATTTTATACTATATTTAATAAATAATGTTATTGTACATATTTTTGTGAATATATTCTTTACAATTACTATTTAATTATTATATAATAATTTTAATATTTCGTATGATTCTTCTATGTCTATTATAAATGATTTAGAGTTTCATTTAGATAGCATGCAAATTTTTTATTTTATTTCTATTTTGATAAATTTCAAATCAGTGGTAGATACGGGATTAAATACATTCATTAACAAATTAGAATTTAATTTATAATTGTCAATCAATAATATATAAATATTTGATTTGAAATTTTTTAATTTTGATTTTATATGCATTATATTAATAATAGAGCAAATGTTATTGATTTAATAATTAATTAACTCGATTCTTATCAATAACATTTGCTCCGTTATACTAATAATGGAGCAAATGTTATTGATAAGAATCGAGTTAATTAATTATATTATTAATGTTTTTGCCTATTTTTGGCAAATATTATTGTGTCTGACAATACTACAGAAAAAAACGGTATCTACTTTGAATTTAATCTAGAAAGGCAATAATTTATGTAAAATAAAAATTAAAAATAATTTCTCTTTAACATCTTAAAGTTATTTAAAATTTAAGTTCGTTTAAAGTTATCTTAAAATTTATTTTATCAAGAAATCCTATTTGTAATTAACTTATAAAATCAGAAATTTATTTTTCCGATCAATTAAATATATAAGTTCAATGTGCATTTTTCAGTTTGATATATATAATTATAAACGCAATAATTGTTATAAAGTTATCTCTTTTTTTCACATCGGATATTAAGTCAGTCGCAATTAAACGGTTCCGGTAAAAAATATTTCGGCATCATTAGGGTTGACATGCACATATCTCGAAATTATCATCTCCATAGACTGATGAATATTAGTGACGACCTCGCGTGTTACGTAATGAAAGTGGAGCGTACGTTTTGTGTTGCCCGAACGCACAATTGTTCCGTTGAATTTGCACATGAAAAGACAAATACGAGCAAGTGAGAAAATTTATTTTCAGAAATAAAAGAGAGCACCGGTTTCGTGAACTCGTGAGATATGAAGAAATCGAAGGTGCAATCAATCTTATCGTAACGATATACTGATCGATATCTACCTTCATCCTACAATTTTACATATACTCTCACATTTTCCAAATCATATGGAAATTTAAAAGACTTATAAAGGATAAAAGAAAAATATGTATGAATAGAAATTGAAATAATTTTTTTAAATATATTTAAATATATATTTACATTATTCCGTGCATTCGTTTCGAAACACTATTAAGTTGTTGGCGCCATGCATTCCGATATTCGATTTCTAAACCAATCCCGATGAGGGACAATTGATGCAATCCATCTAGCTTACCTGCAAAAATCTGATGGAGCCGCGGAATTAATCACCGCGCTGCGGTGGATCCCCGGTTTCCGGTGGACCTTCGGATGACGATGATCAGCGCGATACCAGGGCGTTGATCGCGGTCGGCGATACGGCGAAAAAATTCACGGCGAACAACTTGACGGAATGAACGGACGGAGGAGGTTCAAGAACGAGTGACGTGGACATCCCACGGCGTCGACTCATATACTCTACCCGCGCTGATCTGACGTCACGGGCGCGTTTCTTATCAGCCAGGAGGTTCAACACCTGTAAAGTCCACACCTGTCGGCGGCAAGCTTAAGCACCATCGGAAACACGCCCAACTCGCTCAACGACGACGATGAAGGTGACGAAAAGCTTCTCGTGAAGCGCCACCCGCTATTCGCTGGTACATCCGGTATTCACTTTAATGATACTTCACTTTCATCATTTAGAAATATATTTAAGTATCTATATTTTTCTAATATTTTAATTTTTCATTATTTTTAACTAATTTTAATCTTCTATTATTTTTTAATATTTTGTAATACACAAGAAAGGAAAAATGTGTGTGATCACAGCCATCTAGATATCAAAAGTCATAAATTAGACAGCTATAACATTTAAATATTCACTTAAGAATGTTTACAACAATAAATATGTAAAGAAATGAAATATGTACGAAAAACATGTATGTTATAAATTTTTGAAAATTCAAACGCATTGTAAACAGATTGATCATATAAGAAAATCAAACATCTATACTTTTGACTATTAATCATCTTGTACAAGAAAAAGAATTATTAAAGACGATGATGGAACTTGGCGATTGATCAGAATAGTAGAATACATTTTGCTGACGCTTATTACTATTGATGAAACGTTATGTAAAATGAACATTCTCTTCTTCTCTCTCTCTTTTCTGATATAAAGGAAATGTGGGTACAATACTAAATAAAAACTTTAGTATGATTCAATTAACAATTAATTTTTTTTAAGATACACGGTCCTATTATACAAAATGCATTGTAAATAGATAAATTGCATATTTGATAAAAATATAAATATAGGCATAGAAAATGAATTATTCTTCTATCATAAACAATTATTTGGGTAGAAAATTTTATTTATTTTGCAAGTACATAGAATATATAAACGTATCGACATACGAAGTTATACTTTATAAAGCATTCTATATAAAAATATAGACATGATATATGTATGGAATTTTTTCATTTTGCTATTTATTATATCGCCCCGTGATGTATAATTTTATTTAAACGCTCTTGACGACGCATTGCCAGAAACTTTCAAACTCCCAACTAGATTCGAGCATAAGATTGAGAGTCGTCTCGCGTCTTACTCTTGAGTAACGAGAAGTAGGATGAATTTACGGCCGTCGCGATATCAATGGCGAGTAAACGAATTGGTTGAGGTAAACATCAAATGGGATGGAGAGACGTGAGGTAGAAACGAAACTGTGAGTTTTGTTCCGATGGTGTCACGCGGGTTTACGTGGAGGTGTTGCACCTTATCTCGTGTCCTAGTTACATCACCACGCGTCGCGGCTTTGTTGCTACTACATCTATTCCAATCGCAAGCGTCTGTCCCGTTTGCCATGTGTAAGAATGTTTTATTTTACTCATAATACAGAGTTATTCTTTTTCCCCAAAAAATAGATCTGCCTGTGGTTGAAGCTCGAAATTTATTTTCCTAATACTGGCTCGTTTCTTCCTATTTCTTTTTCTTTCCCTTTTTCTTCTTCAAATAGTTATTGTAGAACGACTTCCACCGGCGACCGGTTTGTTCCTAAAAAGAAATATTTATGATTTTTTATCATAGAAAGATAAAGAACAGAAAGGCATTAATTAAAATTATTAATTAAAATTAAATTAGCTTCACATTATTTTGATTAAAGATAAAAAAATATGAACGATGAAGGAAAAAAATATGAATGTCGAAAAAAATTGATATATTATTTGAAACGAATATTTCTTTAGCAGTATCGTGATTGTGAAGAATAATCATGTAATCGATATTAAATGAAGTAATAATTTTTTTAGCCCATTGGTTTAAAAGATAATGGAAGTTTTTAATTAAAGACAGAAAAAAATGGTAACAGATATATTTTTTATACGCTATATACACATATTTTTTCACGAAAGCAATGGGCACTCCATGAAAATCTAAAAATAGATGTTCAGTCTTGTCTGCATTTTCTTACACGAGACCCTATTCCTAGAAGGCCATATTGGAAAGTGGCATCGTGAGATTAGCTTGTCTTTTGCAAAAGCATACATGCATATTCGCACATATGTACGATTACTAAATAGAATTTAAATTTTGCTTGTATATTTGCAAAAATTTAAATTTGAACAGGATTTAGAGGTTTACCTGCACGCATCTTTGAACGTTTTTCGAGCTTGATCGAGCATTCGTTTGTACATGGCCAGATCCGAAATTTTGTCCTGTTGTACAGTATCTAATCTCGCCTTCAGGGCGAGACACTCCTCTTCTAATAATTCAATTCTATGTCAAACATAAAGATAGGAAGCAATAGATAAAAAGTACTTAGTACACATCGTTTTCTCATGTTTGAATTAAAGCAAGAACAATTTTTTCGATCATTTAGTGTATAACTTACTTGAAACGAACTTCTTCAGAATTGGTTTCTTCTTCCGATTTCAGATTCGACATTTTTGTATAAGATTTTGCTCTATATCCGGAATCCACCTTTAGCAAGTCCTACTCTTTCTTTTTCTAAATTCCGCAACTTTAACTCTAATTTCGCGCATTTACTTTTTTCCTTTTGCAGCAATTCCTTTAAATAAATAATCAAATTCTATAAAAATCTACATAAATTTTCATACACAAACAAATACAATTTCAATTTCTTTATATCGATTTAACAATTAAATAATAATTTCTCAATTAATCTCTCAAAAGTAATTATCTCTCAAATTTCCTCATAAAATCAAAATAAATAAATCAAAATAAATTAATTAATTTATTGAACAAATATATTTTAATTGTGTATTAATTAAGAAGATTAATAAATCGCCGTAAAGAAAAAAATTTTGAGAACGTCTCTTCATGAAATAAATTATCTTAAAATTTTCTAGCAAACCTAATACGAATTTCATAGCTTACTATAAGTGCATTTGCTTCGTTTCTTTCCTTATCCAATCGTTGATTAAGCACAGTTACTAGTTCTAATAATCTCACCCTTTCGGCTTCGGCAGCTAAAGTCAAGGTTACATATTCGTTTGGTTCGCCTAAACCTCGTGGACTAGTAAGTGGACTGATTTGACGTCCTTCTTTTGGCCGAGAATCTGAACGAAGCGGGGTTCGACACTTCAAAGATTCATCCGATATGACACCATTTCTAAAGTTAAAGAAAAAATATGTGTATATATTTATTTGTTAAAACAGTATAATTGGATTATGCGAGCCTGAGAAATCACACAAAAAGAATCTTTTAATACAAGAAAGAATCATAAAATCTCATTCATATTCACAAGATTGATTCTTCGCTATCAGAATGATATTTATTATAAATTATTTTGTATATTAATATAAATTACAAAATCACTCTCTTTATATATGTATATATAATATATACATAATAACATTATTGATGATTTGTTTATACTAACTTTAACTTGTCGATCTCGATTTCGCGTTCCTCTAATCTTCTACATAACTGATCGATGTGCAATTGTGTTGCTCGCAATTCGTTCTTGATATTCACATTCTCACGTTCGATTTTATGTTCCTTATTCTGTACTTCTATTTCGCGCTCTTGATATCTTGCCTCGACAATTTTCAATCGTTCCTGATAATCATATCAATCCCACGCATTAAAAAAATTTGAATAAGTGTTACAAACAAATCTTCTCATAATATAAATAGTTACATTTGTAATTAATTCTTTATTAAATTAACAATTAAAAAATTAATTTATTAGATTACATTTCTTTTATTACTTACGTTAAGCGCATCGATCAGACGATCATCGTGAGATCTCTTTTCGTTCAGCATCGCAATGTTTCCTTTTGCAATATTTAATTCGTGTTCCAATACCTTTATTCTCGCTTTGGAAGCATCAAGTTTCCTCTTCGAAGTTTCCAACGCTACTTCTGCTTGTCTAAGTTGTTTCGCTGTATTTTCGATATGTTGTCGTCTTTCCTTTTCAGCGATTCGGAGATTTGCCAAATTTTGTCGATCTAGAGTAATTAAATAAATAGCTCGATTGCAAGAAAATAAATAAATTACAATTAAGAATCTTAATTATACAAATTGTGCAATCATAAATAAATTTAACTATAAATTTACATGTGAACAACTTTTGCATAAAATAATATCTAAAATAATTTATAATAAAAATAATTATAATCACGAAAATTCAATCTAAATATAAGACTTTATATAATTCTTTTTTCCCTTACCGGAAGATTCTTTTTGCGATTTCTCGTGTTCAGATAATCTGATTTGCAGTTCTGCTACTTTCTGTTGTAGATTTCGAATTTGCTCGGCTCGTCCACGCCAATTACCTGGTACACTCGAAAGTGTATTGATGTTGACATTTTCGCCCAATTCGCTGTACAATAACTGAGACTTGTATTCTTAGTGATAACTCCATATAGAGAAATTTATTACATTATTATTATAACATTCCTCGCGTTTTTATATAAATACTTGTAAGCTGAAATTCCTTTAGTGAAAGTCTTTATCATTTTTTTTAGCTCTCAAAAATAATTGAACATTAACATTTGATTTCTTTTATGTACAAATTATTTATTTGATATTAAATAAGTTTATAAAACAACAGAAATACAAATACCTTCTGTGCTTTATTAATCTCTTGTCGAAGAGTAGCACATGTGTTTTTAGATTCACAAAGTTTTGTTTGAGCTCGTTGCAGCTTATTTTTCAAACATTTAATTCGTTCATCATCTTTAGTTGATGAATTATTTCTCGCATCTTTTTCCCCTATGTTATCTTGATTTTCATCTTCTTTATTATTATATTAATCATATATAAGATGTATAAAATTATGTAATATAAATCAATTATATTAATGAAAAATAAAAAAAATATATATATATATATATATATATATATAATTTTTAAAAATTGGTATTTCTACTGTTTAAAAAAATTTTTGATTGAAATATAATTTATTTCAGGATTACAAAAGGGAAAAAAATATGAACTCACTATCGCTGAAATTCTTGCGTGCTTCAGATTTGAGAATTTGTTGTAATTCCGTTTTTTGACGCTCCAGCTCTTCATTTTTGATAATCAGAGTGGCTTCTAAATTCTTACATTTTGTTTTTAGAGTTTCTACTTCGGCGGTTTGATTTCTATATTTTTTGCCAAGTTCGATCAACTTTATTCTAGTCGATTCGGTTGACTTCTCTACTGTATTTTGCGAATTCAATTTTTCTTGCGACAATTTACGCAATTTCTCTTCCGCTTGCTCAAACGCTTGTCGTAAACATTCATTCTCCGCCGTTAAATCCTGTCATATGATTATTGTCTGAACACGGTATATTAAGCTAATTGATAAATTGCAGGATACACAAAGATAAAATAAATATTATATACTTATAAAAATAAAATATATGTAGTTGTATAAGAGAAAGAACTCTACATTTGTTTACAAAAAATTATTTTCGCTCTCTTTACTTTTCTCAATGTTATAATTTTCCAATTGTAGCACATGATTTGTAATAAGAAATGAAGAATTATAAATATATTATAGGACAAATACAGTTTTATTTTATATTTTCGATATTTTTATTTTTAGATTTTACATATACATCAAAATTATACTTACTTGAATGCGATCCTGCAAGAATTTATTTAACTCTTCTGGGAATATAATACGTTCAGGAAATTGTTCCTATACAAAAGTTGCATATGTAAAGAAGGTAAAATATAAGCGATGAGAAAAAAATAGGATATTGATGAGGTGTTTAAATGTATTATAATTTAAAATTAACTCGCGCGTATATATTAACTCGCGCTGATATTATGCCAAATATATGTTTAAAATGTATAAATACCTCTATGAATTTCAATGATACATTTTCATCATCAGGAGTATTATTTGTCTCTAACTTAGCTATATCATCTGCCATTCTTACATTAAATATTTAAAAAATATTCGATTTAAACTTATGAAATAACCTTGAATATATTGCCACATACATTGCTATTTTTAAATTATCCGTAGAATGATACGCATAAAATTCTGTCAATAGAATTCTTTCCTTATGCAGAATTATGCATTACTGATATCGCAAAATGAGATTGATGCGAAGCTAGGAATAATGATTCGTTCTATTCATAAACGTGAGTTTTTATAATATAAATGTCAAAAATGTTCATACTGAATAAGAATATGAATGTTTACTCTGTAAATATGCAGTCATTTGTTCTACACATATATACTAACATGAATGAAGAATCATGTTTACAATCAAAGATGCATATTGAAATTTTTAATTAAACATTTAATACTTTGATAAGTTTTATGATGATTAATTTTGCGATACATTTACAAGTATTGTACATTTAATTAATACAAATAACCATATAAAAACAGAAATTTTTTTGCACGACTCATGTAACAAAATTTACACACATTATATATATATATATATATATATATATATATATATATATATATATATATATATATAAAATATACGATAATAATACGATGTAAAATATGATAACTGTAATATGTATGGAACAGATTGCATTTAAAATAAATCAAATGACTATAGATAATGCAATATATTCATTATGTAAGAAAAATAATCCATTATCATTAATATGAACATTCCTCCAAAAATGTCCCAAACAATAATCTTGTAAATATAATCGCTTTAATTATTTATATAATTTTTATAGTTATTTATTATGTTTTTTAATCTTTAAGATTGTTTTTCTTTCTTTAATGGTTTCTTCTTTCCCTGATTTCCACTAGTTAATTTTTTAGCTTTTTGAAACGCTTGTGGCTTCTTTTTTGTAATTCCAAAGTTTTTTACAAATCCAAAGTTTTTCCCAACATTCATCTTTTTGTTCTCATTGGGTTTCACAATAATTCGTCTGTTTTTGATGATTGTATGATGTAGCGAGAGTCCTTTCTGTTGAAAATACAAAAATTATGATAAGGAAATATGATATATATTCATGATATACAAATTATGATAAAGAATATGATAAAATGTTTTTACCTCCAAATCTGTACTATTAGTCACCTCCACAAATGCAAATCCTCGGGGTGTTTTTGTATCTGATTTAATTGGGATCCTAACATTGGATACAGTGTCAACCTTGGTTAAGAAATGTTGTTTGAGTTCATCTGCTGTTACGCTATAAATGAAAACATTATTAGAATTTATCTAAGAAATTAAGCAATAAAAATGTTAGAAAATAAAAATATGCGCTCTTACTCTGTTGGTAAATTGCCCACAAAAAGAACATATTGATTTTTCTTCTGATGTTCCAAAGATTGTTTAGCTTGTGTTTTCGGCTTCTTTTCATCTTCTTTTTTTACTTGAGAAGTATTTGCTTCTTCATCTTCATCATTTTCATCAGTTTCATCATCTTCATCCTCTTCATCCTCTTCATCCTCTTCATCATCTTCATCATCTTCAGTATCTTCATCTTCACTTTCATCATCCAATTGTTCATTTGTATCGTGCATAGATTCTTCTGTTTCAGTATCATTCTGATCTTCATCACTTTCATCCTCATCCTCATTTTCTGTTTTCATAATATTGCTATCATTTTGATCATCCTTCTCTCGTTTAATTGTTTCATGTTCATGTTCTTTTTTTATTTTTATTTTGTCTTTTTTATCCTTATTAGAGACTGATTCAGTTTTCACAAATGTATCTACTTGCTGATTTTTTTTGTTACCTTTCTTTCCTATTATATTTTTCTCTGATTTGTCCAGTGCTGATTTTTCTAATCTCAATTTTCTATTAAGTACAGACAAAATTTTCTTTGCCCTCTTTGATAACACTTCCCTGCTCCTGATTTCTTCTATTTTTGCCTCTATCTCTTCTGTACTAAGTGTAATAGATGCAGCATTTCGAACATGACGGTTCCTCCTTTTTTTCTTACGTAACTCACGTTTTACTTGTTTTATTTGCAAATTTTTTAATTTTTTTTCCTTTGTCTTTGTTTTTTTACCAACAGATTCTTCATTAAGTTTAGCAATAGGTAATTTAGTTCCTTCTGTTTTTATCTCTGCTAATGATCCTGTATTAGTTTGTTTTATTTTCGGTTTCTCTTTTTGTTTGTACATCTTCTTGAGAATTTGCACTTTATTCCCCATAGTAGAATTTCCATTTTGTACTAAACCGACAAGTTTAGTCTTTTTAGGACTTTTCTTGGATCCAGTAATAGTTTTTTGCTTCTGATTTGACTTTATAGAAAGAGAAGTCTCACTCAGAGATCGTTTCTTTGCTTTCTTGTCTATCTTAGTCTTCATTTGAAAATTTATATTTTGCAATGCAAAATCAAAAATGAAAGATAAGTAATAATCAATACGTACTGATACGTATTTAAGTCCTGAAAGTATAATTAAATAGATTTTACAAAAATTAAATGTTTAATTATGATATATATAATATAATATGATATATAAAATTCTTTTATAAAAATGTTATCAGACATAATATATATAAAGAAATTCTACTTTTGCGTATAAAATGTTTTAAGTATTGTAAATAATATTGTTTAATTTACCTTTTTACTAAAAATTGGAGATATTTTGGAGTCAAACTTATAAGATTATATCAAATATGCGATCGTTTGAGGGTTATGTTCCAAGCAACGTGCTCACAGCATAAAGCCAGGAGGAAAAGAAGGAGGAATAGGGAATAGGAAGGAATGGAACGAAAGAATTTATGACGTCACATCCAAGTCACTATCGATAGCGCTACACAATCGATATATATGCAGAATTGTAATGAATATTATTTACTAAATAATATATAATTGCTATATGTTATAAAAATAGTAAATTGCATATAAGTATATATTTTATTAATCTACTATATGTGTAAATCTAAAAAAAAATCATAATTTCATAGCAGGAATAAGTCAATTCACCCTAAAATTCTCTGAAAATTTAAAATTATCGAATTTCGAGATTTTCTTTATTATCGATTCAAATCACTCTAAACAAGAGAAGATTAAGCAATTTTAATTTAAAAAAGATTGATCAAATCCAATTGTATATTATGTAGTTTAGATTCGATTTTATCATAATAATGATGTTACTATTTATTATAGCGATATTTTTTAGCATCTGATTTTTTATTTTATTTATTCTATAAAACCGACACAGATATTATAGTATATAAATATTTCATTGTTTCTATAACGGTTTTAATTCCTTTATTATAATAGTGTATATAGTTTATTATAATAGTGTATATAATTTTCTTAACAATACAATAACAATGTGACTTAAGCCTTATTAAGCTATTTAATTATAATAAATATCTATCCTCTCTTTAATTTTATTAAATTATAACTTTGCATGTATATGTAACTAAACATTTTTAAATCGTATGCGTGTACGTGGATGTGTGTATAAATTTACAAATACGCCAAAAATTATATTCTTCTTTTTTTCCATCCTTTTATTTTATTTCAACTTTCTTGATAAGCGCTTCATCAGATCTCAATTTTCGGTTATCGCATAAAACGATTGAGAAATCACAATAGATTTCCATGCATTGAAAAAAACAATAAGACTCAGAATTTCTCCTTTTATTACATTCGTCGACAATTACAAGTAAAACGAGAATTGGGTGAACGATCATTCCCGCCACCCGATATAATCTACTTTACTGAACTCGCGAATCGGCCGGAGACTGGTGCATATCGAATACAATGTACACATAAATAATTACATAGATACAATTAGGCGCAGTTCGATTTTATGTACACGATGGGAGCGACATGTCGAGTTGATTTTTATGCTCGGCATGTCGTTCACAATTAATAATGATAACTCATTCCTCCAGGATCAATCGACTCTTCAAACTAATGTTATCAAATTCATATCTATCAATTTCATAGGACGTCCTGAACTCATCAATTGCAATTCAATCCTAAGAAGAAAGGGAAACAAAACGATTTTGATGTAGGAAAAATATAGATTTAACTACTGGTCGAAGGCGATTAAATTCTCCTTCAAGCGCAACGAAAAGACATATGAAAAAAATGTCTTACGCAAGAGTGCCGATCACAGCCACGCCTGCACGACGTATGATCGACACTATAGTGTACCATAAGATCGGGTACGATTGCGCTAGCAGACCAATGGGGATAAAGGACTTTGCACTAAAAAGATAGAAAAATTTTTAGATTATGTAGGAGTATTAATTGGGATGATAAATCTCTTTCTATTCTTTTAAACATATGATTTTGAATTAATTTAATAAATCAAAATATCAATATTTTTTAGCGATATTAAACATCAAAGCCATCTCTCGTAAACTACGTAAATGTGCAAAATAAGATTCATAAGCTAACAAGTAATAATTAATTTTGTAGGTAGCTTTATAAACAATATCTAATATAAATATAAATTTTACACATATAATTACAAGATATTTAATAATATAATACGAATGAACTAAAATATTAAGGAATGTCGTTATAAGGAAGACCAATTCTGGACTATCCATTCTAAAAAAATACATCTTGTATATAAGCTGCATATTAAACTAATAAAATTCAAAATCAAATAGCCGCATATATCAGCAATTAAACACAAAACAATAGAAACAAATGTCTAAAATGACTCATACAAATGGTAACTTCGAATTATCAGAGAATTATAATTATCCTTAAAATTAGTACAAAGTCTCATGCAGAATTATTTCTGCTGGCACAATCTTACGCCGCTCTAATAATAAACAGTTTAAAGCTTTATATCCACACATTCTTTCGACTTTTTTTGCTAAATCTTTTTGCGAAAGAAAACGCGATCGAGAATACTACTGATTTGCCGATCATTCGAGAACAATCATTAAAGCCCCACATGCATATCCAAAAGATGTACAGAAGGTATCCAGAAGATATCTTTGGGCGATATCTTCAGGATGTCCTGTTAATATCTTTTGGACATAGGATGCTATATGGGGCATTGTTCGAATCTCGGCAACAGGATACTTCATCAATCGCGAGAACAGGCGGAGCAAACCATAAGTCGCGTATCTCTTAAAGATGAAAAACTAAACTAAAGGATTGCAAATAAATATCGTGCTTATTCTAGAAGCATTTCTTCCGATTTATTTGATTAAAAGGAAGAATTATATACGCGATTTATGGCATATCCGACACGTGTTTGTGTGGCGCTAATACACTGAATCCGCGTACGGAACATAATAACAACTATATAAATTATTCTACATCTTATGCACACAATGTTTTGTCCTTCGCAAACAGAGAAATCTCCATTCGCCGGAAATAGCGACAGAAAAGCGGTGATACGGTGTCTTCAAAGTGACCGATCTCAAAAAACCAATATTTTCGCTTTTCTCTCTTGTTTATTCTAAGTGATGAAATAAATACTCATGTGTTGGTTAATCAATCATGGAATATTCGTTAGATTAACGTTGTTAAATTAACGCGACGGAACTTCAAGCGATACTTACAAAAAATCACATCACAGTGCTCCGTTATTATTTTTAGCTATTTCTTTTCTACTGTTTTTTTTTATTCTTATTTTAATTTAAAAATCAAGAATTGCACAATTTTAGATTAATGTTTAAACGTCTTCGTAAACATCTTCTTAAGAAACACACGGCAAGAGATTCACAAAATTAAGATTCTGACAATTTAAAGGATCCCAGAAAACTAATGAATAAAAACGTGATAAAATGTTCAAGTTTTATCTTCCTCCGAAAGTCGTATATCTTCAAGAGAGCAATATGTATAGAATAAAAATTCAGTAGAATGTTACTTTCTACGACTTCGATGATCAATAAAATGATGAATATCTGATTGAAAGTACATATTTCTCTACTTCTATTATACTTCTATTATATGAGTATTTATTGACAAAAATATTTAATCATTGATATAAAATTGAAACTCTTCACAATTATGAAAAACAAATTATGTACTTTAAAAATATTGCGACTTTCGGGAAATCGGCAGGAATAAATTCCTATTACAATATTAATTTCTAATTTCGCGTAATTTGCGTGAAAAATTATTACCGATTAGTATTTTCATCACGCATATTTAGCATCAAGTACGGCTGCTTAGCCCTGATTTTATCTAAAGAGAAAAATCTCGTAGATAGATTATAAAATAGGACAGTCGTACGCAACGGTAATGTATCTAATGAAACACAGTGAAATCCAATTACTCATTACTAGCATTATCAATTAAGTACCAATGAGCGTGCCAAAATCGGCAACAGTGCTCTTGGTTGATGTATTGACAAATTATTTCGACTAAAATTGCGCCAACAGCTTCGATCAGCTAACTGTTTAAATTATATTTTTATCAATACTGTAGAAACAAAAGAAGGAAATCTAATACGATTAGCATTGAAGCCTGGATTGTACAGTGTTCTTTTTAAATTAATATTAAACCCCCCAATATATTTTTTTAAGTTTGATATACACATATGAAATTATTTCTTTTCTATTAGCTTCATAAATCAGCTCTATAAAACTCTTTTCAAAGAATCTATCAGCATAAAAAGACATTCTCTAATGCTATTAAATTATCTTGTTCCTTAGATAATATTGTCAATCATCTTATATTGTGTTAACTGTCCTTAGTACTTTTGTAAAAAAAAGATCTGCTAACGAAGAAGCATTGTACAAATAAGGCTCGATCGATGCAATCGACGCTGAATGACAAATATAAGCTGAACGCTTTTGCTTGCTGAATGAAGTTGTTGATAACTCCGGCAGACTCTGATTTCGCATGGCGTTCAAACATTGAAGCGCGTCTCTGAGCCATCGGCGAGCATTAAGGTGACCGTGCGATTGTTGATCCAGATTAGCCGCGCTAAGCGCATAGGGTTCAATCGGGCCACATCGTTGATGGGCGCAGTACTGTAGGACTTCACACAGCGAGTCTGCGAATTACCCAGGCCGAACATACCGCTGCTGGTTTGCTGAGTCATGAAACAACCGCGCGTCATTTTTCAGTAAGACAAACAAGCAAGGTGTATGTTATAAGAAATTTTATATCTTATATAAAAATTATATACAGAATGTCCCAAAAGTCCCGGACCGGTCGAATATTTCATAAAACACATAGTGTAAAGAAAACACATAGAAAAAAAATATGTAATTGTTAATTGCAAATTACATATTTTTTTCTTAAAAACAACTATGTTTTTTCTTTACACCAATTGATTCCTCTCATTATTTTGTACATACCATTATTAAGGTAAGATAATCGAAGAATGAATATTTTACAAGATATTTTACGGTTTATGTAAAATTAAGAAATGATTTCAAGCCTCATAACTCGAAAAGTACTCAATGAAGAAATACTTTATTATAGTGTTTTGGAAAGCTCTTGAGATAAGCTACGCGAATATGTAATAAAAATAGGGAGTTCCATTTAAGAAATTGACGGTGATCTTCACGTGACTTTCAAATGACTCTCCCATGTCAAATTATTGCCACTATCTGATGGCCTCCTTCAAGCCATACAACTTTTGTCTGAAACATTTCTTTCTAAAGTGCAGAGTTTATGAAATATTCGACCGGTCCGGGACTTTTGAGACTCTGTGTATATATATATAATATAATATATATATATATATATATATATATATATATATAATATAATATAATATATATATATAATATATATATATATATATATATATATATATATATATGATTGGTGACTGACAGAGAATTAGAGAACATTTTTCCATACTTATTTACCTGCCAGAAACAAAGCTTGTTTTCAGAACAGGAATAACTGACGAGGAACTTTCCTTCTGGTGAAAATGCCAACGCGGTAACAGGCGCCGAATGTGCCGAAACAGTTTGACATTTGACATTACCTCGCAATTCATACAATGCCAATTGACCACCGCGACCACCAACTGCTATCCTGCGTGTTGCTGGACAATGACTAACCTATAATCGAGAAGTTATAGCAAATAGATTGCCAATGTTTTTCTATAAATGTATAAAATACAGCGAAATATTACATAATAATATTCAGAAAATATTAAAAGGCCCTTTTCTATAATTTGAGGTAATTCTAATAAACAATGCAATTTTAGTAATAAAATTTTAATAATAAAATTTTAATAATAAAATTATAATATCAAGCTACATGATTTAAAAGATTGAATTATGCTGAAGATAATAATAGCTTATTATAAAAAATCATGAAGCTTACTTGATTAAATCTACACACTGCCGGAAATACTTCATTCAAGGGTTTCATTTTTAGGTGACCTGGATCAAGACAATGTAGAATAATATCCATGACCTGTGAACAATAATTAATTATTAAACAAAAGCAACGCACATATGTTGTTTCATTTATAAATATATAATTGCATTATCTTCAATTTTTCCGTTTTTATGATTAATTTTAATTTTAAAATGAAACTAAATCGCAATAAATACCTCCACAAGAAGATCACTCATCTCGCTCTGCATTTTGTCAATCAGTTGTTCAACAATCCTGAGAATCTCTGGTTTTGCTCTAGTCAAAACGCTTGCACCCAAATTAACGTTTAAAGTCTGAGCATTCTGCTGGAGAGTGTTAAACCTAGCTACTTCACGAGCCATTGTGGTGATGAAAGCAGCTGGCCTGGCGGTAGCTATCAACGTCAAAGCATGACGCGACGTGCGACAAGTGTCGGCTTGTGGTGTAAGAGGAAGGCCGTATGTCAAACTTGGCACTAACTTATCTGCGTCACAACACATCTCTAGTAACCCTAATAGAACCTGCCATAAAGAATAATATAAAAATATAAAAATAATATAAAAATTTTATAATAGAAGACTATTTTATTTTATTTTTTAATATATATCATTCATATATTTAATACAATAAAATGAGACACTATTTTTAATTTTTTTTTATTATATAACAGTTAAGTTCTTATATATGTGTGTGTGTATATATATATATATATATATATATATATATATATATTTACTCTATTATTTTATCAAAATTCATTAAAACAATAGTGGGAAATAAGATTTAAACCTGACAAATTGAGTTATAGATCTTTTTTTTACCTTAGATACATCGAGATAGGGTTCCCAGACAGTGAATCCTCTGCCAATAAGATCGATGGCGGCTCTTCGTAGTGGTGTGTGCAATGGGAGCTTTGGAGAATGAGGTGCATGCAATAGATGAGTGAGCGCCATGCTGGTATGCCTGGCAAGATTATTATTTCCTATGCCAAAGCCTTCCACAATCGAGCTCTTTCGCCTCTGCTCATTGTCTCTTCTTTGGTTCGTTGTGGTTACATCCTGACCAAATTCAGCTCCTATCACGCCCAGCAGCACCACAGCCGTGGTTTGCTTTCGCTTTAGTTCTGCCACACTCGATGGTTTCCTAGCTATACTCATCTCTGCTAAGAAAGATGCATATTATTAATTGTAAATTAATCGGTTTTTTATTTCTGTATTATACATTTATTTCTATTAAATTTTTCTTAATATTTATTTTTGGAAAAAAATTCTTTTCTAGCGGAAAATTCGAATTTAAAATTGGTATAATTTTTATATCTCTTCTTTTGTATTTTTTTTTGTTAATATTCTATTGTATTATTTTTATAATTCTCATGTACTATCTTGTATGATACAAGAATATGACATAATAGTAACAATTTGAAATATTACAGAGAAAACTCACCTTCAGCTAATTCTTCTTCTTCGTCTTCTTCTTCAGGTTGTGATTCGGATTGTGGCACCGGGCTTCCAGGCGCCGGCGAATTTTGATTTTGCGGTTGCGGCGCAATGGGTTCCTGAGTACTGTACATTGGCAAATATTGAGACCAGTTATCGACAAGCGCTTTACGACCCTTTGAGCCCATTCGGCCTAGTTCGGCGAGCAGCAAAGCCTGCGCAGCTTCTCGAATCTAAAACATCAATAGAAAATTATGTGAATGTAAAAATTTAACAAGTAATAATTATTTAATTTTCAATAATTCGATAAGCAAATTCTTAGAATTATTTTGAATGAATAAACTACAATGATTCTAATTGAAAATATGCTTTCGATGATTTAATAGCAAACCTCCACACACTGATGTTGCCACCTGCGTGCCATCATCTCTACTTGCGGCCGTTTGAAAGTCTTCGCACCACCCTGCGCTGCGACTTTGTCGGGTAACAATACACAGTGTAATGTAGCCAGAAGAGACCAACCCTGCTTTATTTGCGCCTGCTGTACTGTATACATTTCCTCATTCTCCTCTTCTGTTTTATTCCAGTTTACTGCGGCTCTATTGCCTGGTCTATTTATGAAAATTGACTTTCAAATTTTTATCTTATATATATATATATATATATATATATATATATATATATCTTTATATATATTTGATATATTGCAATAGTTTAAATTTATCTTCTTTATTATAGATATGATATATGAAAGTAAAATATGAAAAAAAAATATGAAGATGATACATATATAATGGAATAATTCACTACCATAATTAGAGAAATTAATTAGTATTATATGATATTATCATTAACTTTGTCAATATTTCAATGTTGCATTACAAAATTTACCTGTGCAGCTTGCGATTACGTTCTTGCTCAGGTACAAATGTTGCGTTGTTCATTGACATTAAGGTATTTGCTAAAGCAATTACTGCCAATAAATGATTACTTGTTAAAGTAGTCGATAATTCCCAATGTGCTCTCGCCGTGAATGCTCTAGTGAGCCTCTCTTGTCTAACTAGTTCAGCTGGTAAGCGTTGTTCCAATTGAGTTGCAGGTTCACCGACCGGTTCAAGATGTGTTTGCCAAGTTGGCAGTAGCAATGACATGTAACCTGCAGCATACATAGTCTTTTCTAGATACTTGGCATTAGAAAATAATAAAGAGAAAAAGAATATAAATTTTTTTCTCAATATTATTTTATTTTAAAATGTACTTAATGTTAAAAAGAAGCAATTTTTTAATATCCAATTTATAAAAAAATATATGTACGATATATTTGTACATAGAAAATGTTTTGTGAATGTTTTAATCAGAGTGATATATGAATTGTAACAGATAATTTTTCTTTTAAGATTTTTTTTAAAATTTTACTATCATAGTAAAACATACCTCCCTTGGATAACACTCCAAATGATACAGGAACCATAGGCCGTAGTAGACCCAATTTGCCCTCACAAACCCGATCCAAGTCTGGATCCATACCCCAAGCATGCAAAAGACTCAAAAGTAATTGTGCTACTTCCATTGTTGCATTTGGTTCACTGAATGCACCGTTTCGTTTCAAACTGTTCTTCGTTGCATCAATATTATTCCAATTATCGCCTGTAAAACATAGGATAGATATAAGCAATGTAATAAATCCAAATAATATTCAGTAAACACCAAGAACAGCTAATATGACTGAAAAAAAACGATAAAAAAATACAATAAATACATATAAAAAAATAGATTGATAAAAAATAAAAACAATTCCTAAAAAGTGCTTAATAACATCAAATAGTGGAAAACATATATACAATAATGATTAATTTGATTCTAAAACAAATACATAAAATCAAAAACATATAAGCAGTGATGTGAACATATATTAAACGATGTCAAGCGTGCATATTAAAAATTAAAACAAGCTTAATTATCCATCTCCTTGTTTGCTGTAACTTCAGATTTGGTGTTATAGTCCTAATGGGAATTGTTAAGAATACAATATAAACAAATAGTGAAAACTGTTCAGTGCCTTGAAGAAACTATGAGCTTTCTATCTACGACATATAAAAATCATAAAACACAAATGGAAAAACTAAAATATAAAATAGGTCCTCGTGCGAGACACATCGTAATCGTGAACTACAAAAATTTGCCAGCGTCAAAAGTGCATGTCTAACCTTTGCCGTCAAATGTCGACGGCTTGAGGCCGACGCTTTCCGCTTTAGCCTGTAATTTAGTATGCACATTCTCTGCACCCTCCTTCATCTTAGCCAATATACCTACAGAAAAAAATCTATCTTTAGATAGCACATTATATGAAAAAGATAATTGTAGCAAAACATCTACCAGATGAAATGAAGAAATCTATAAAGGAACGTTATTATTATTGAAATATTCTATTAGGAATAAAAAAAATATATATTTTACATTAAAAGCATCTTAAATTGGATTAAAAAAAAAACATGTGAGGACTTCATAGCTACAAAAATTCATGATTTAAAAAATTTAAAAAGTCGAAAGATATAATTAATTATCTTCTAAAAAGCACAACTTGATGAAATTATCATGATGAAAGATAGAATGGCCTAAAATACAGTCATTGAAAAAAAGCTGACAACACATAAAACCCGACATTATAATGAGCCATGGAAACACTTTTTTGCAAATAAAATATAAAATGCACATTAAACAACTTTTTTTTTAATAATCGCAAATTGAATTAAGATTTGTGTAATATCAAATTATATGTATAAATTATATAAACAAGATATACATACGACATCATTAATATTTTCAAAATTCTAGGGGAAAAAATCACATTTTAAAAAAATTTATATATCAAATATTATATCTATATAAATACTTCAGTAATCCGAGAAATTTTCACATGTGAATAAAATTGCGAAACAAAAATAACAATAATAAAACACGATACCATGACGATCCTTCTCCTTTAATATTCGCTCAACATCGCCTGCTTTATCCTTGACGCGACCGAAAAAGTCTATAAAGGGACACATCAATAAAGATAGTTTTAATGATAATTCTTAAATAAGTAGAACTGAGGACAAATTTTTTTCATATCTATAATATATATATATAATATAATAATATATATTATAATATATATTATAATATTATAATATAATAATTTAAGAATATATGTAAAAGGATTACCTTACCAACAATTTTTTTATGTGCATCAGGACTGGCAGACTGAGTAAGCGCTGCAACTTTCTGATATTCAGCGGCGGAGATAAGTCCTTGTGCTTCTAAAGAACCAGGCGACATGGCACCATACTCGTCACTTAGCAATTGCACTGTAGCAAAAAAACAAATTAAGTTATTTCCATAAAAATAATGTTAGAACGCAGATTATTTCTTAAAGCATAATAAATGCAAAAATGACTAAAATTAAAGAAATAAAATTCAATTTTTTTCTAGACAAAATTTTAATCAAAACATATACCTATCAATGCTTCTATATCGAAGAACAAAATATGACTCTCCGGATCCTTGGGATTACTTCTGAAACCTTGAATCATCAGTGGCGAACCTTTAGCTTTTATCTGATTTCCATGATCAGGACCATGACCACCGTGAAGCTGTTGTAATTGATGCAGTCCTCTTTGAGTCGCGTGTCTGATCGCCGACAGATTTCGATGACGCAAACCCCTGAGAAGTAGAAATCGGACGGACTGTAACGGAGAACGCTATTCCGGTGGATTTTCTTCGGCGCAGAATACGCAAGATTCTCACCATCCATGCTGCAAGATTTCATTTACCTAAAGAAATGCACGGCAGGATTAGCAAGTCCTAGCTCACCGCCGGCGGCAGATCCGCCGGCCGCCGCTATAGTGTTCTCGTCGCATGCATAGAGCACTTCTTCCGCGATAATGCCTAAAAGAAGAATATGAGAATCATTGTTCTTGCAAAATGTTCTATGCACAATTTAACAAACTGTGCCTATGATTATTATTCAAGCCTTTAAAGATTGCTAAGAAAATGCTAAGATATTGAAAGATTCATGAAAAAGAAAAGACAATCGAGAATAAAACATTCACTAAAATAACATAGATCTAACAAACCGTGCAATACGCGATCCAAATGACCAGTCTCCATTTGCCAGACGTATACCGCACCGTCCGAGCATCCAACTATCATGAAATCGTCCAATGGTCTCCATTTGATAGTTACAACTGGGAAAAGATGTCGCGAAGCAAGCACAACGCATTTCCTCTCGGCCAATGAAAGTAATGTAACGCTGTGGTCTGATGCAACACTACATACGCATTTCTGTATCCTGGGCTATAAATACATATAGGTTTTTATATACATTAATTATCAATCAATATTATGTTTTTCATGAATATTAATCATTATAAATTTTGATCGTAAAAATAAACAAATAATCGTACACTGCAATTATCGGGCGGCACCATCAATTGTGTGATTTCGCCGGCGTGAACGCAAAATCGGTGGATCAGTGTGCCAGCGTATAGATCCCAGAGACAGACGGCAAAGTCCACAGAACCGGAAACGAGATGAGTACGATCGTAACGAGGCGCCGCGCCGTGAGGATAAAGCAGACAATTCACTCGACCCGAGTGACCCAAAAGAACTTGATGTGGTGGCCAATCTAAATAAATCATACATAAAGTAAAATTTAAATTTAATTAATAAGTGACTCAGAAAAATTACTAGAAAAGTTATCTCTAAAAGAATAACGAAACGTATTGTACCATCGTATTGTTGATGATTCCCATGGAGCAGTTGCAGCATCACGGTTTGCGTTGCCGGTACGATGATGATGCTACCATCCTCGCGACCGACAACCAGCCGGCTCTGCTGCGGCAGATATATGCAAGCGGTAAGTTTGATACCCTGACCATCACCGGAATCCAGTTGATCAAGTATCCCCACGGGAGGCGGCTTCATCGCACCCCAAGCAGCGGTGAGGCTCGTCTTTACGGTCGGCGGCAATGCTGGTGTGGATCCGTCATTTTGGGATACTTGGGTAAGCTGTTGCGTCGTCATTTCTGGCACCGTCCAGAGAATAACAACACCCTCGCTGTCTCCACGTAACAAGTATTTCAGGGTCTTATTTTGACGCTGTACAGTCACCAATCGCATGGCCGGTGGACATGAAAGAGGCTGAAATATATGCATATATAAAAATTTGCAGATTTTATAAGATGTGTATATCAGACAAAATTTAAAGAATCAAGAAATTCAAAGAGAAGGAACTTTAAGAACAAATAATTCTACATTATAAAAATAAATATTTTATTATATTATTGATTTGAGATATGATTCTTACCTTATCTCCGGGTTGCGTTAAGGTACAGTACAAATACGGCTGATCGTATTCAACACCAGCGCTGTGGAAGTTCTTGTTATCTGCGACGCTACTGCATATCATATTAAAAAAAATCTGATTAGCGATTACTAACATCTTGATGAAACTTTAGATTCTAGATACTATTTATGGACACACTTTTTCCATTTAAACATCGCGAAAATCTTCGTACGCTAGATGTTGGAAAATGTGTTCACGAATAGTGATTGTCTCGTCACATTGCAAGCTTAAAATATTACATCGAGTAATTTCAAATATGCATTACATGTAATTTTCTAACTATGTTTACTAGCAAACAAATGCTGCAAGTAAACTGTTTTTTCGAAGCAATTAGCATGTTTAGTTTATTATGAACAATACACAAAGGAAATATATGCAAAGATTCTAATCACAATTCTGATTCTATTAAATTATAAAAGATATTTAATGCTTTTAAATTATGAAAGATATTTAATGATTTTAAATTATAAGAAATATTTAATGATTTTAATATCAATTCTGATATTTGAAATTAAATCATTTTAAATAAAAAAACGATAGATTTTCCTGAATCATCTATCTTTTCTTGTTTTCATTTTTGAATTTAAAAAATAGCATTGACTTTTTAAGTTGTAGGAATATAGAAATATTTTAATTTTAAAATACTCTTTTTTCCCCTCATGAATTACCTTTGTGTCACATGTTTTTTTTATGTCATCGCATAGTTAATAATAACAGTGCAAAGCATTTTAAAGCAAACAGAATATAAGAAGTAATGAGTAAGTAATGAAGTATGGCAATATATATGATATGGCAATATATATGATTCTTTTTCGCATTTACCTTCTTTCACACATTTTCACCTTGTCTATGTTATCTGTCTGAATTCTGCGATTAAAAATTGTTACAATGATTATGATGTTGAGTATATGAGTGTCTCGTATATAACAGAATGTATATGCGTGTACATAGGAGCTTGCATGTAAATATGGAGAAATCGTGATAAGTTTGTGAATATACATGAAAAAAGACAAAAAAATACCGCTGTGTGTTTGATGTTGATAATGAACGTAATTTACGTTCATATAATGAACCAACTTGCATCAAGATTATGAAATATATATATCCAATATTGGTTTCTTTCATAACATCAATATACATCTACCGCATATCCTTGCACCAAAAAAGAATAAGTAAAAACAAATGATTGTCTACCTACGAATACAGAAAAAAATAAAAGAAATGACAATGAATAATAAGAGTGAATAACAAAGAGAGACGAAGAGAAAAAGAGATGTACAAGTGATAATGCGGGTTACCTGCTGAGAGCCTTGCCCTTCAGCTTGCTAGAACACCAGATCCCGCGTAGAATGCAGTAGATGTGAATAATATGAAAAAGACATCACGTAAAATGGACCATTGTGTTAATTGTTAATTTATGTGCATGTATGAAACTTGGAATTATACTATAAATGCTGAGCCTTGAATCTCCTGTGAAGCTCCCTCTCTCCTGCCCTCCCCCCAAAAAAAGAATTTCTTCATTCATTTTTTTTATAAAAAAATAAAATGCAGCAAGAACTTTATTAATCAATATTTTAATATTAATTAGTAATTATATATTTCCTAATCTCAAGTGTTTTGTATCTTAATAAGTATATCTGAGATAGCTTTATTTTAATCTCAAATCAAAAAAATTGTCAGAATCAATTCTATATGAAGATAAAGAGAACATGTTACAATACTACTTTCTAATTTATTTCGAAATTTGATTATTAAATGTGACACGCGTGTTTTTGTAGTAAACGATAATATGATTCCGAATATGTAGGCGCATGATAAATGGTTACAAACAAGATAAAAAATAAAATATCAAACATGTGCATTGCCAGCAAGTGCTTCTACAGCATTCAGGCTTAAATTGAAAAAGAAGAACTTATTTCATGTTTGTAAGTTAATGCGCCCAACATTTACATATGTTAGATATTAATTATAATTCATGGAAAAATAATATGGATGTTGAGTAATCTTAATGACACTTTTTATGATATCTTCCTTAGATGTACAAAAAAATACAACTGAAAATTAAAATAATATCTGTGAAACATCTATAAAATTCTATTTCTCAACGATGTCATATATAAAAATTACAATCATACATTTATTAAAAATATAGTAATAATTCGTTTGAATCATTACTTTAGAATTTTTATATAATTATAAACTGTAGTTAATAAATTATTTTAGTAAACATAATCATGCTACACTAAATTATTATTAGTAACTATTAGTAAATTTTTTCTGTACATAAACATTGGTAAATATCATTTATAATAGAATTTTAATAGAATTTTAATACTTATGTGCAAAAAGAAACTACCTGTCAAGTTGTACCAGAACCCTAGAAGCAACAAAGGGATATACTAATCAATAAGAATTACTATTCCAATATTTCGATCAAACTGTTACTAGTGTCATTCAGTCATAAATATTAAATTCGGGATGTGAGAGAGAGAAAATTATTCGTTTGTTAAACATTATCAACCAGAAAAAAGATATACCGGGTGTTTCAGACCACCCGTACACCCCATTTTAAAGCAAAGGAAGTGGTTATTTTGAAAAATGTTTCAGACAAAAATTGTTGAAGATAAAGTAATGCATTACATGGGTAAATTTGATTGACCTTGGGTGGCGTCGTGAAGGTCATGTCAAGGTCGACTTGAATTTTTTAAATGGGAACCCCTATTTTTCATTGCATATTCTTGTAGCTTATCTCGAGAGCTTTCCAAAACACTATAATTAAGTACCTTTTTATTAAGTACTTTTTGAGTTATAAGGCTTGAAATAATTTCTTAATTTTATATAAACCATAAAATATCTAGTAAACCATTCATTTTTCGATTATCTTACCTTCATACTTTTATGTACAAAATAATGAGAGGAATCAATTGGTGTAAAGAAAACACATAGTTGTTTCTAAGAAAAAATATGGAATTGTTAATTGCAAATTACATATTTTTTCTTAGAAACAACTATGTGTTTTCTTTACACCAATTGATTCCTCTCATTATTTTGTACATAAAAGTATGAAGGTAAGATAATCGAAAAATGAATGGTTTACTAGATATTTTATGGTTTATATAAAATTAAGAAATTATTTCAAGCCTTATAACTCAAAAAGTACTTAATAAAAAGGTACTTAATTATAGTGTTTTGGAAAGCTCTCGAGATAAGCTACAAGAATATGCAATGAAAAATAGGGGTTCCCATTTAAAAAATTCAAGTCGACCTTGACATGACCTTCACGACGCCACCCAAGGTCAATCAAATTTACCCATGTAATGCATTACTTTATCTTCAACAATTTTTGTCTGAAACATTTTTCAAAATAACCACTTCCTTTGCTTTAAAATGGGGTGTACGGGTGGTCTGAAACACCCGGTATATAAATATAGGTTTTCCAGAAATCAATATCGAAAAAATTTATTGTAGGTCACATCGAACGAATACGTACTTTGCTGGAAGTTTGTACAGATATCCATGACCTTCGTCACTCCACAAAATGACTCTGTCGGCGGCTAAAAAGTCGCCTGCCATCCAACGTTCGCCACGAGGAGCCGTTATCGAGCAAAGAACCGAGAAATCACCGGCATCAAATATCTATAAAGTTATTCCACTGATATATATTACGTTAAAATAACACAAATTATTAATCACATATATTTTAAGAAAAATGTACTAATGCTAAAATCCTATTTAAATTTAAAACCGATTCTTCTCACGTTACATAATCTTACATAGTCTATTTTTATAATAAAAATATTCTCTCCAATTAAATATTTATTGGTGATAATGACAAATTACCTGCCAATATTTGGAGCATACAATGAGCACTGTTCTCTGATTATAAGGGCAGCAAGTCATTGCGAGTGCATTTAAGCAGCGGATCTGTTTGCTTTCATGTTCGTACAGAGGTTCGCTGTTTCGATTCTCGTGTCCCAGAAGCGTCCACACTTTGACTGTGCCCGTGGTCGTCAGAGCCAATACAACATCGTCTTTAAACGAATAGAAGCGCCTGTTGCGCGTTAAATAAATCCAGAAAAGATGCATTTTAAGCGACATTTTGTTAGTCACCAGAAACATTTGCTATTCGTTATGAACACAAAATTTGTCAGTCTTGATAGATTAATGCAAATATTATTTATTAGACCAAATAAGCGACCAAAAAAAAAAACAGACATTACAAGTGATTAAAGATAACATAATTCTATTAATTACAAGAGTGTAAAATGACTCTTGTTAATTAATAATAATTTCCGTATGCGTAAAGTATAATATTAAATGCATGCTAGATATTTTCACAGAAAGGAAAGCGATACATATTAAATTATAATACAATCGTGCTTATTTTCAAATTATTGCAGAAATTGTGTGTGTACTTCATTTATTTAATCAAGCAGAATTCAAGAGTGCTGATTAAAGATAGCAATTAATGTGTGCATAGTTGTATCAAATTAATGCTGATAAGAGTATTTGCATTTTCCGCAGGCTGTTTGTCCTCTTTTTTTTTAATATCATCAAGGCCTTCATCTATGATTTAGAGTTTGACTTTATGCATACGAAATATCTATTTTATGATTACACACATAATTTTTAGGAACATATAATTAAACAGTAGATTATAAATTAATACTATAGCATAACTATTATAAATATATAAATAATATTACAAAAGTTAAAAAATTTAATAATTTAATAAATTATATTTAAAAGTTCACTAGCATCTTCTTTGCAAAATATTTTCTAATATGATATAGTTTAGAAAAATAAAAACAGAATAAAAAAATATTCTGAATAATTTTTGCTAATCAATTTTAACATTGCAACATTTTGATAAAATAATTAATAATTTGAATATCAGTCAATAAGCTTTTAATTAGAAGATTAAATTTAACATAATATGCAATTGAATAAATTCTTGTTGTATAAATATATATTATAGTATATACATATACATATACTTACGAACAGAGATAGAAATATGTTATATCAAGGTGAGAGTGTTATGAAAGTGTAATGAAAATATAAAGATGTAATGAATATTGCACGAAATGCGATGTGTATAAATGGCATATTATTCATATATAAGTAACAGGATATATAAAGTATATATCCTGCAGAATATATATATATATATATATATATATATATATATATATATAATTATAAAAAGAAAGAGAAATAAAATAAGAGATTAATAATGATTAAGTTGCTCAAAAATGATGCATAAAAAGAGTTATGTGTGAACAATGATTAGATAATAGAAAAAAGAAAAGAAGTGAAATACAGCCTTAATCATCAGTGCATTAGCACTGAATTGTCCAGTTTCATTAATCATGCTGCAACACTGTAACTGTTATTAAATGGTCAATCTAAAAATATTAGATGTAAAACTATTATTATCAAAAATTGCATCCAAATTGTATATATAAATTATTTTAATCAGCAAAATAGAATCATTAAAAATTAATATGCAAAATTATTCGTCAAAAAGAAAATCCCTCTTTATACCCAAAGCATAAAGCTTCTTCAGGTTAATTGCCTAAAAACTGGTAGAGCAGCAGATTATAAAATATAAAAAAAAACCTTTGTACAAGTGACTGTTCGTTAGTTGCTTTCAAATCATATTAGTAAAAAAGTCGCTTATTATATAAACATTACAAAAATATTATATGTTTAAATTTAATCAAATATAAAAAATTGAGTAAGAGAATTTTTACCATTAGTATCCAAAAGTTTTCTACTTAAAAAAGAAATATGTAAATACATAAGATATGAAATACCAAAAGATACTGTTTAATATATTGCTGATTTTTACTCATATAAGTGATATTATTGATTCATATAAAAGATAATAATGATTATTATATACATATATATGAGTATTGCAAATAAAAAAAAAGTTAGATCGCGATAGAACAGTACATATCAGATTAAAATTATCACATTAATCTTTGAAATGAGAAATCTTTATAATAGCTATATGCAATTCATATTTATACAGTATCTATTGGCAATGAAATTGATAGAAGATAACGAAAGAGTCATGGTAAGCGTAGGTGTGATGGAGTGTAACTAACTTGTATGCACGTAGAACCGACCTTTCCGTTTGGCCGGCCGCAAAACGTGCAAGGCACTAATCCAATCTGGATTGACGCGGGAGCTCAGGGTAAACAGCACTTCCAAACTGAACGGATCCATCACCAAAACCTCGGGATAGTATCTGAATAGAAAAAAAATATTCTCTTAAGACGAGCAATACTATCTTCGCGATGCGATGAAAATAAGAGATTCTTACCCAGAACAAAACAACCTAACATCTCTCCACCCGCGGAAAGTCGACATTAATTCGTGTGAGACTCGAGAATTAAATCTTGGGAATCATTAGGAGCAAAGAAGGAAATTGATTGGAAGTAATTAAAGACGTCTGCTACACATGATGTTAGCAAAATGTCACAAGTGATCAAGGCTACTGACAATTGCAAGTTCTGATAATGTCTGTCCTTAAGATGCCAGGAGCACTCGTGCAGACAGACATGCGAAGAATAATTACCACGAGCTAATGAATACCGCGGACAACCGCCTGGAACGTCGCAGCTGGCGATACGTCCTGAAAATTTCTCACTTCTTACTGCGCTCTCATGACCATCGCCATCTTGCTGTCGAAGACGACAGGTCTGTTCTTTATAGCTGAACTGGCTGCACTGGGCTGCACCAGTTCAGAAATCATCTTTTTCCTCCCATTCAACTGTAATCACACTACGGGTTGCGAGGTCGGTTCCAGTTAAAACTGACCAATCAGAGCAAAGCAATTTGTCGACCGGCTACTCTGATTGGTCAATTCCAGAAATTCCTAGAAATGTGACTACCAGCGCGAGTTCTGATTGGCTTTCGACTTTCTGCTTTTCTGCCAAGGTGTGAATGCGCCCTTAGTCGTCTACTCCAGTCTTCTCCCTAAATTAGGATAATTATACATATATTAATTGTATATAGGTGTACGACTGTTGTGTGACTATCTTTTCTTGATTATACAAATTTGACCATTTTACATTATAATTGCGCGTTTACTGGGCACAACATCATCAGCAATAGGACTAATAAGTTGGGTAAGCACATTGTTCTCTCGACACATTAGGAATATCGAGAAAAAACACGCTGGATTATTCGAAAAAAAGTATTTGAGAACAATCATCTGTTTGTGACATGAGGATGTACAAATTTTTAGAATTTTAATTTAACATAAAACAGGTAACGTTTAATTCAAAGTAATTTACGAGATCATTATATCTGATCATTTCCTTCAATTAATTTTACTTAGATTTAGTTGAACATTGTAAAAATAAATTTCAGTAAATTTATATCGGAAATAAAATGTGATATATCAATAATATTTATTAATTACGTAATTTATTAATGATATTTAAAATTGGATATTTTGTAATTTTATACTTGTGTATTTTGAATAGAATAATAAAAAAAAAAAAAAAAAAAAAATAATATCAATATTTCTATTATATTTTGCCAATATCAATTGTTTAATATTTTATTATATTAATGTGATATTAATAATATTAATACGTATATTATATTTAATATATTGAATTTTGTAATATATTTTTATTTGATTGTATTATATAATAATGAAAGAATTAATGAACTCTTAAATTATTTTTGATTGAATTAAATTAAGTATTGTATTACCTGGAAACTAATGTTAACTAAGTTTAACAATTTAAATTCTTTTAGCATACAGTTTGTGGTTTAAATAAGAAAATTGTGTCCAGCAGTTGTATATTATTATACCACAATGAAGTGTCACTACGAAGTATTAGGAGTTGAAAGAAACGCTTCTGACGATGATATAAAAAAGGCATACAGAAAGCTAGCATTGAAATGGCATCCAGATAAGAATCTCGATAATCCGAATGAAGCTAAGGAACAATTTCAACTTGTCCAACAAGCATGGGAGATACTGAGCGATCCTCATGAGCGTACTTGGTACGACAATCATCGAGAGGCCATTCTGAAGGGTGGTATCGGAGAGAATTACAAGGATGACTCCATCAATCTTTTCCCATATTTCTCCGCTACATGCTTTAAGGGTTATAAGGATGATGAGAAAGGTTTCTACACCATCTACCGAAATGTCTTCGAAAAATTAGCTGCAGAAGACGCCGAGTTTGCTAAAGACAGCGAGTCCGATGAAGAGATTCCTAGCTTCGGCGATTCTCAAAGTTCTTACGAAGACGTAGTACACAATTTTTACGCTTACTGGCAAAGCTACAGCACCAAGAGATCCTATGCTTGGTTAGATCCTTATGATATACGTAACATGCCGAACCGACGTATCCTCAGGCTCGCCGAGAAGGAGAACAAGAAAGTACGCGAGAAGGCGAGACGCGAGAGAAATGAACAAGTACGCAATCTGGTCGCCTTCGTCCGAAAACGTGACAAGCGAGTGCAAGCTTACGCAGAGAAGCTGGCTGAGCGTGCTCGCGAGAACTTTCGTAAGACAGAGGAGCGCAGAAAAGCGCATCTGTTGGAAAGACAGAGATTATTGCACGACCACAACGAATCTGAATGGTCCAAGTTCTCGAATATTGAGGCAGAATTGAAGAATATCGAGGCGAATCTGACCGCGGAATTTGGAATGGATCATAAAGAAGCAACTATGGAAAATGACAATACGCTTTATTGCATCGCCTGCAATAAGATTTTCAAAACGAACAAGGCCTTTATAAACCATGAAAATTCGAGAAAGCATAAAGAAAATGTCAGCAAGCTCAAGTATATTACAATAGACGAGGACAGTTCTCGTGAAAGTGATTCAAGCACAGAATCAACTTCTCTAAACGGGCCCAAGTTAGCAACAAATTCGCAGATGCCAGATTTCTTACTGAATCCCGAAAATGATATAAAACCTGATGATGAAGATAATGAAGATATCTCTTCAGCTGAATTGATATCAGATAATGAAGAGGATTCGGAAAATGAAGAAAGAAAGAAAAATAAAGATGTGAATAATAAAGATGTCCCACTAGCTACAGGATCACAAATGGATGAAAGCATTTCATTCTCACCTAAGATAGAAAATGAAGATGATAATATAACATCCGAGGACGAATTAATATCTGATCAGGAGGAAGAAATCTCGGTGTCATATCATCAAAAGAAGAAGAAAAAGCGGAATACTCTGAATTTACATCCTATGATGGAGCATGATGCTAGTGATGAGGACACAGAGAATACTAATGAAGAAATGTGGTTATCAAAAAAACAACGCAAAAAATTACAACATAAAAATGTAGTAAGCAGCATGAATAAACAGCAAAATAAGAATGAAGAGACGCCCATTAAGGAGAAACAACAGACAAACAGCGAAAATGAAGTAGCAGAAGAGACAGAAATTAATGGAAGCTTGAAAGCCAATAAGACGAAGAAAACGTGCAGAAAAGAGAAACGAGAAAATAAAAGTAAAGATAAAAAGAATCCAGTCATGAATGTTGATGACTTGGCTCATTGCTGCGCTACCTGCTCAATGGAGTTTCCTAGCAAAAATAAATTATTTCAGCATTTAAAGAAAACTGGACATTCTGTATATATACCAGAATTAGTGAAAAATAAAAAGACTCAGCAAAAAAGAGAAAAGACAACGTCCAAAAGAAAAGACACTTTAGACAAGGGATGGAGTGAATTATCGGAGTAAATCTCGCGTACGCGCGAATTATAGTTAATTATTTAAATTACAGTTTAATCAAAGTACATAATTAAATTGCAGTTTAATTTATTATGATTGATGTGACAGCATGGCATAAACATCATAAAAATTGTATTGTTTATGTATATATTGTATAAAGTAAAAAAATATTTAAATACTGTAATTCGAATTGTTTGATGTCGAACTCTTTCTTAGTTCCTTTACGAGTTATATTGATATGGAAATGGAAATTATAAATGTGCTTCAACAGGAGCAACGAAAATTAAAATTACATGTCATCATATTGTAAACATACCACAAATAATTTTATAATAAATTATATTCATCAATAAATATAATAACTCATTAAATTAATATGCTGAATTTACTTTACTAATCTTATCTATTTCCGTTTTTCGACAATATTTAATTTATTAAAATATATGTATATATATTGAAATATTAGACAAGCCTCTCTCTCTCTCCAATGTTTCAATGATAAATTATTCCAATAGTTTATTTTCTTACAAAATGAAAAATAAATATATTCAATAATGTAAGAAAAATTTGCATTTTTCAGGATATGTGCAATCTCTCTTTGATATAAATCCAAATAGTAATGTCACAATTAGCATGAGAAATGAATATCATTCATTACACTGTTAATCACAGGTGAGATTCTTACTGAGCATTTTATTTTCTTTTGTAGAATTTTAATTACATTTAATTTTCTTAAAAATGGATATGTGTTATATATATTATATGCAGCTGTGCAAGCTTTCCACGAAGTGAAACTATAAATTTTTCAAGGTCGGAAACTATGGCTGCTAAAAAGCTCGTTTATCCTGCGGCAAACCGTAATAAGGATCCTATATTATCAGTTTTGAAACGATACATCCAACGCGGTACCAATCAGACTTTGCTGGAAATATCCTCCGGTTCGGGACAACATGTGGCGCATTTCGCTCCGCATTTTCCACATGTCACGTTTTATCCCTCAGAGTACGAGCCACGACTTCTGGAAAGCATTGCCGCATACGCAAACGAATATTCAAATATAAAATATCCCCTAAGAATTGATGTCACCACGGACTACCGATTGTGGGGTAATGGTATCTTCAAGCCGAACAGCTTGGAATACGTATATAACGCAAATATGATGCATATTGCACCGTTTGAGTGCACCATCGGTTTATTTACTAATGTGGGACAATTGCTGAAACCAAACGGATTGTTAATTACATACGGACCGTATGCCTTTAATGGTCAGATTACACCGCTGAGCAATGTAAATTTCGACAAATCTTTGAGATCACAGGATCCGAGTTGGGGTTTACGAGATGTAAGCGAGTTGAAAAAGTTAGCTGAGATAAATGATATTAAATTAATCGAAATTGTGGATATGCCCGCTAATAATAAAACGATAATTTGGAGAAAAAATATGCATTAGTAAGAATCGAAAATGGCTAATTATAATTTAGCAATCAAAATGAAAAATTAATTATTATAAAGATCTTAAATATATATGAATCTCGTGTTTATTAAAGAATATTGCTCTCTGATTGTGTGAATAATCACATAATACGCTTCATTTAAGTATTGCTATACATTTTTCTAAAGTATTTTCTAAAGTATTATCTAAAGTATTATCTATATTTAATTATATTATATTATTATATTATATTATATTATTTAACAATATTGTACAAATTTCTATAATTTCTACGTTAATGTTTATGATATTTTAATCTCTGAGAGATCTGAAAATTTTCTTATATTTGAGAAACTTTAGAAATAAAGCAATTATCATAGTATTTTTACATTGTATCGTCCTCGTCATCGCTTAAGAAATTTAAATCTTCCAATCCCTCTGGTAGATAACTCAATCCAGATTCATCTTTGTTTCTCATATTATATCCCTTACTATATCCTAAAATCCATAAGAGTTCAAATTAATAAAAATGTATGTTTTACAAAGCTGTATTGTTTTTACAAAATAAAAATTTAAGATATTTACCTAAATCTTTCATGAGTCTTGTAGGAGCATTTCTTAGGTGTAAGGGCACTCCTGGTTGCGGGCCCTTATGCTCGGCTACAACTTTTTGCGCAGCTCTAAGTGCGTCTTCCATCAATCTGGACTTTGGAGCTCTCGCTAAATATATTGTACATTGTGCCAAAAGAACATCGCATTCCGGCATCCCAATCATTTTGCAACCGTGCATTGTGTGCATTGCTATTCCTTAACAAATGTATATTAAATGAACTATTTACAAGCTGTTTCTAAAAATACCTGTCCAAGGTATTTATACATTATCATAAATTACATATCATAAATCACATTCCACAAGTTTACTATTTTCTATTGATCTATTTTTTCTGATATAATTATTATTAGTAAAGTATTATACAGTTTATTGAATTTTAGCAATTATAAATTATGAATGATTTGCTAACCGAGAGCTTTCGGATCAGCTAAGCCGATATCTTCGCTAGCCATTCTCACTAATCTTCGTGCGATATAAACCGGGTCTTCACCGCCAGAGATCATTCTAGTCAACCAATAAAGGGAAGCATTTTCATCACTGGCTCTAACTGATTTGTGTAACGCGGAAATTGTATCATAATGTTGATCACCCTTTTTATCATATAACATGTGCGTCTTTTTTAAACTCTCCTCAACGTCATTCAACGTTATTATGGCTGGTCCAACGTCCAGTAGGTCCTCTTCATTCGGTGCTTTAGATCGCACAGCCATTTCTAGCCCTCCTAAAGCTATTCGAGCATCGCCATCACAAGTTTCAGCCAACCACTCTATCGTTGGTTCATCTATAATAAACTTTGTATTATAGGATGGCTGCATGTCGATCTTGTTTCCTTTCGAAGTGCTTTCTTCACTTTGCAACGTACTTTTATCCGACATGTGTATTATACCTTCCAATGAAATTACAGCGCGTTTTAGAATTGATACCAAATTTGCAACAGACAATTTATGTAAAACAATCACTCTGCATCGACTTAATAATGCAGAATTCAGACTAAATGACGGATTTTCTGTCGTAGCACCAATGAGAGTGATGGTTCCCGATTCGACGTGAGGCAAGAAAACATCCTGCTGTGTCTTATTAAATCTATGTATCTCATCCATGAACACTATTGTTTGCTGTGCAAATTTAGCATGATTCGCGGCAACACTAATAACTTCCTTTACCTCTTGGACACCAGCCATCGCCGCAGAGAGTTTAACATATCGGAGTTTACGACTCGTGTCGTTTTTGCACATGTGCGCGATAACATTAGCTAAGGATGTCTGCGAAACAAGAAAATTAATATATATTTATATGATCATAGAAAAATATTAAAGTTTAAGGATATTGATATCTTTCCTCGACAAGGTTTACCTTGCCACATCCAGGTGGGCCCCAGAGAATCATATTAGGTATCTCCTTCTTTTGCAAGAGCTCTGACAACATAGTACGTGGTCCAAGAATATGTTTCTGACCCACAAAATTCAGTAACGATATAGGTCTCATCTGTTCTGCAAGAGGTATACGTTCATTTTTGCGCAATTTCTTGCACTCATTGTTTATCTGAAAATATAAAATTCATGTCTTTTATGTAATAGTTTTTTTTAGTTAGTTTAACAAAATACAAGCAAATTTAGCATATATCTTAAAATAGTCAATTACTACAACTCATGTATGTTAATTATATAAAATATGATATTTAAATCTATATTAAATAATAATAAATTACACTTCTTTGTAGCATGTCATCTTTAACATCCCCTTCATCCTTTTGGAAATTTTGAGAAGAAAACTGATCCAAAGAATTTTTTCTCTTTACAGCCACTTGGTTTGCTTTTTTCACATTTGTTGATTTTAAATTGCTTGTTTTGTTTATAGGACTTGAATCTTTAAACAAAGTCGTGCCTTCATCTTTTACAGATTCATTAAAGAATAAACACTTGTTAGCATGAGACTCAATAACAGAGGAAGCAAATTCCTTGCCACATATTGGACATGATATTTTATCGGTATTCATATTTATATTAATAATAACAAAATTCTGACTTCTTTCCTTTGTTTAGAAATTATCCATGAACATTGTGTGCAAAATATCAAAAATCTCACTGCAAATTCCGCTTAACAGAATAACTGAAACATAACAAAGATAACAATGAATGGCAAATAGAAAAGAGAAACAAATTGATATACATATATTAAACTTTCATTTTTATTAATTATTATTTTTATTAATTTTATTATTTTTATTAATTTTTAATCAAATCATAATTCATAACTTTATTTACAAGCAATTATCAACTTTTATTTTTCTTGATTTTTAATAAATTATGTTTCTGTAGATATAAATGCGTCTCGCGCGAGGAAATAATGCAATTAACTTGTTATGTATCTATCATTTCCCGGAAAAATGCGTCGTATACATATAATTACCGGAAAACGGAAAATTATGCAACTTCTTGATTTTCATCACGTGAATGTATTGTCACGTGTATTCTGTGTAGCGTGTACACATATCAAATCACATGACAGCGAATGGCTCGATTGTGTTATAAATTTTAATGTACACATATATACATAATAATTACAAGAATGTTAATTAGGACGAGAGGACGAGCAATGACAGAGAGGAGAATGCATACATCAAAAACGATTAAAGTATCAATGATGGAAAAAATTACAAGGCTAAAACGTGTGTCATACACACAATCCTGTTGCGAAACTTGCACTTGATGAGACCGGGCTGCGCAGAACCGTCATCGAACAGGATTCCCGGAGACGGTACCGTTATGTCAAACTCGCGTGCACTAACCTAAACTCACTCGTGTGCGAAAGCGTGCATCGAGCCTTTGACAGACGAATCCTCTGCGCGAGCTTTGATCTTTAATCGGCTCGAAATCGGATCGGATCTTTTTTTTTAAAGCATACGAGTGATTCGTTTCAATAGTAGACTCGCCGGGAAAACGTCTCGCGAGCGTCTCTGAAGGATGTCACATTGAGGGAAAGAGGTCCAGCAGCGCTGACGTGGGTTGTGCCAGATCCTATGGCAGGAATGGAAGTATTTTTCACGTGAAATGCGAGGAATTTGTTGAGCGAGAATTCGAGAGCGAATGCAGGGCATCGCGGACACTCGACTAGGATTGATAGCTTCTTGGAAAAATCGGATAAGTGCTTTATATATTTTTTTTTCCGCAATGATGGAAGTCCGGCGCAGGCGAATGAAATCGCAGGACACTAAACACGGCGCACACATGGAAAACGACGCAAATACAACGATAAGTCAGTCGAGGAATCAAAGGGATGAGGTGAGCTACTCGAAATCTGGCGGCTTTCTCGGAGTAAAAAATTTAGAATGTGATTTTGTGAAAAAAAAATTATGATACGGAAGTATTCTTGCGGCATTTTTATATCGTCTGACAGGTTGAGAATGTGCGCCTGTAAGCTGCAAATTCTTAACTTCAATGTAAAGATTGAACTTTCTTCCAACTTGTGATTTTTTTTTTAAGACTCAGAATCGAAAATTTTATATATTACAAGATATAATTATTATGTTTTTCGATTTGATGAAAGATACTAAAGACCGATTTAGTAACAGGAATGTTAATATCATTTTGATAACGCATAAATTCCAAGAATATATTTAGATAATTTATGTGTTTCTTGGACACAACTGTAGATATTCTTTAATATATTTTTTGATATTTTTTTATCTATTTTTTAATTGATTTTCATTTGGGAAAGTAAAATAAAAAAATAAGATGATATATCTTTTTTATATTTTACATTTTATATTATAAATTTTTCATATTTTCATATAATTTTATATAATAAAAATTTTTTTAATGGAATTTTCTTTATAAATATAATAACAATAACACACAATTCTACCTAAATTACATTCCTTATCTATACAGCTTCTCATCATTGCTTTAATTATTTGCTGTTTTCTTCAAAATTATTAAATTTTGTAATTTAATATTATATTTAATAATATTTTTATTGACAGGTTGCACTAGACAATCCAATAGAAAGTAATAAAGTAAATAGGTCATCAGATTCTATTGAATCAAAAAAACATATATCGAACGATGTTCGTGCTCGGATCAAAATCAGTTTGGAGATTGATCTGATAGCAGCAATTTTACTAATTACAGGCATCTTTATTCGCCTTCATCGCCTCGAGGAACCACGTAATATAGTGTACGTATTTATTTACACTCTTGAAAAATAACATGGTGCTAATAAGCAATCGATAATCTGTAATTGATGTACTATATCACTGGAGATATCAACGTTTTGCCAATACCATGAGATTTTTCTTATTTTCAATAATCTAACAATTATAAATTATTAATTATATAATTGGTAAAAATTTCTGTTAATGAATTAATAAACAATCGATAAAGGCATTAAAAAAAATATAAACTTGAAGTTACAAATTGTTGAATGCACTTAATTAAATACATTTTGCTGTTAAAATCTTCAAGTAATTTATTACTATATATATATATATATATATATATATATATATATATATATATAAAATTAATAACTTTTTCTAAAATTAAAAATTAACTTAATTATAAAATAAATCACAAGATTCTATAGTTTTCCAAAAATTTCAATGCACAATTCGATTTTTATATCATTACTATTATATATTTTTATATCATCACAGTTATATCTCTCATGAGTTATTTTTAAAAACACAAAGTAACCAAATAAATCTTTAAAAAATAATCGAAAAATAACTACTTGGGAGAGACAGGGAGAGAAATACTTTTAAAAAAGTTTAAATTATTAAACTATTATTTCCCCACGTATTTTCTTAATTATTTATTATCATTTGATTTATCGTAATTAATTACTTATCATAGATTCGATGAACTACATTATGGCAAGTACGTCGGATTATACATGAAGAGGACGTTCTTTTTCGATTCTCATCCACCTCTAGGAAAGCAATTGGTTTCCGCAGCGGCATACTTGGCTGGATTCGACGGACAATTTAAATTCGATAGAATCGGAAGTTCTTATAGCGACACAGTTCCTCTGTACGCTTTACGCCTAGTACCGGCAATATGTGGAAGTCTGCTGATCCCTACGGCATATCATCTCATTCTAGAGCTGGGCCTAAGACAATGGGCCGCGACAATTGGCGGGATTTTACTATTATTCGGTAACTTTATCTTGGATTAGGAAATATAATGTGAAAATATAATGATCTGCTTGATTCAAATTAAGTTTAATTTTGTTGAGTTTTTCATTCGAAGAATATATATAATAAATATAATAATAATAAATATAGTGCAATTTTAAATTCTATATTATGTATACATAATTTATTTAATATTTTAAAACGAATCGTTGCTCCGTGATATCTAATTGTAAACAGTTCTATGATACATTGTGTTCTCTATTAACATGTTTTACTAATATATTCCTTGATATTTTAGACAATGCATTGTTGACACAGTCTAGATTTATCCTGATGGAAAGCATTTTGATGCAATTCTCTTTGCTTGGTTTGTTGTGCATCATAAAATTCCGAAAAATTATGGACCGACCGACATCCGCGTCCTGGTGGATTTGGCTGATATTAGGCATTGCGAATTTAACATGCGCGATGTGGTACGATCTTATTTATCATCACTTCTTACACTCATTCCCAATCAAGTTTGTCTAATTAAAATTTTCTTTCTAGTGTCAAATATGTTGGATTTTACTCGATGATTCTCGCGCTTTTCCTGATCGCTCGCGATTATTGGTCCCTGCTCCCGAAGAAGACTCTATCGAGTGCAATGTTGTGGGTCCATCTTCTAATAAGGATCGTCGTGTTGATTATCGTTATTGCCACCACGTATCTGAGCATATTTTATGTACACTTGGCAATACTCTCGAAAGCAGGCCCACACGATTCGGTCATGACGAGCGCGTTTCAAGCGAGTTTGGAAGGAGGACTCGCCAGTATTACGAAAGGACAACCTTTGGAAGTGACACACGGCTCACAGATCACTCTCCGACATACATATGGCAGAGCTTGTTGGCTACATAGTCACAACCATGTATATCCATTGCGATACCCCGATGGTCGTGGCAGCTCTCATCAGCAGCAAGTCACTTGTTATTCATTTAAAGATGTTAACAACTGGTGGATTGTCAAGAGACCAGACAAAAACGATCTGGTAGTGACGAAGCCTAGCGAGCCTATCCGGCACGGGGATGTGATTCAACTAGTACATGGAATCACGAGCAGGGCGTTGAACTCGCACGACGTTGCGGCGCCGATGACACCGCAAAGTCAAGAAGTGTCGTGTTATATAGATTACAATGTGTCAATGCCATCGCAAAATCTCTGGCGGGTAGAGATTACGAACAGAGATCACGGTGACGCGTGGCACGCGATACAAAGCCAAGTGCGGTTGATACACGTGCACGCGAACGGAGCAGAGTTTGCGTTAAAATTCAGCGGCAGACAACTGCCCGACTGGGGCTTCAATCAGCACGAAGTGGTGGCGGATCGACTGATAGATCAGTCCAATTCCATCTGGAATGTTGAAGAGCATCGTTATACCAAGAGTGAGGACCAAAAGCAACGAGAACGGGAACTAATTAGCGCGGAAATGATACCCTTGCAAGCGACTGCGTTAAGCTTCTGGGAGAAATTTGCAGAGCTGCAGATCAAAATGTTATTCGGCGGCCAGGAGAGTCAGAACAGCCACATGTATTCCAGCGGGCCATTCGAATGGCCATTGATGTCCCGGGGAATCGCGTATTGGGTGTCGAATGATAGCAATGTAAGTTGAAAAATTGCACACTTCAACGCTCGTATCTATGAACATATCGTTAAAAGAAAATATGATATATTCTAAGTATTTTCAATTTATTATTTTTAATTTAAATCTTTTTACATTTTTTATTTCAATTTTTTAATTAATTTTTTTATCACTTGATTATTATAAATTTATTGACTTTTATAAGCTAAATTTAAATTGCACTCATCACATGACTTTTAGGCACAAGTACATCTTTTGGGAAATATTGCGATTTGGTATTCCGGCACGATCTCGGTAATCGTGTATTCGGGGCTACTAATATTTTATTTGATGAGAAGAAGAAGAAAATGCTTTGATATTGCCGAGGAAGAATGGGAAAAGTTCATTAACAACGCTTATGTATTGTTAGCTGGATATTTTCTTCATTTCTTACCCTTTTTATTTGTTGAACGAACTTTGTTTTTGCATCATTACTTACCAGCTTTTATTTTCAAAGTCTTATTAACAGCAACCACAATTGATCATCTGTATTATTTAATCGGGTATGTGTTTTCCTGATTTAAATATAATATTAAATATATAATATTAATAATATAATATTAAATATGATTTAATCTCATATGAAATAAATAACGATTTATCTTCTATTTCAGCACTCATCGTCCACGGAACATTTCATTGTACATTCTAACGTGTAGTACCATCACTTGGATACTGTTTGTCATTTATGTATTTAAGAAATTCATTGTATTTAGTTATGGAACATCAGCTCTCACTGCCAAGGATGTGATAAAATTGAGATGGAAAGATACCTGGGATTTTATTGTACATAAAACGTAAGAGTTTATCGGATTTAAAAGTAAGAGTTTATCGGATTTAAAAGTCAAAATTAATACTCTATCAAGATATATATTTTTAACCCTTTAACTACGGTTGTTCTCAAAAAAGGACAAAACGTAAATTTTATGAAATTTTATTTTCAATAAACAATTTTAAGATATCTGTGATGCAGGGATTGCTTATTGACAATCTAATTGATTCTGTTTACATTGTTATCTCGAGTCTATACAGTTATTTATTTTATTAAGTGTGTAGTTAATAAAATAACCAACTATAGATAGATCCGTAGTTAAAGGATTAATTAAAAATGTTATATTCGAAATACATGACATTCACGAAACATTATACATTATACGTACAAATTAACATTTTTATACAAAGAGATTTAACAGATATTGTTGCTTTTAATGATATATATGTAATAAGATATTTTTGAATCTATAAGTATTATAGATAGGATAAACGCTATAATGATAAATATTTTGAGAAAGAAAAGTTAAAGATGAAAATTATATAGACTGATTATCTATTTTATAAGATTTTATGTTTTGTTTTTATTGGCTTTTAAAAAATATATTACAAAAAGTGTTATAAATATATTTAAAAAACCATATAAGTGTTAAATGAAGTAATTAAGTTATATTTTATAATTGATAATTTAATGACTTTTTGATACTTTAATAAGATTTAATATATAAATCTTGTTAAATTATATATAATGCAGATATATGTATAATACAATTTTACAATTTACAATTTTAAGTAAATTTTAAATAAATTATTTTTTATAAATATTAGATTGAAATCAGGAAAGAATTGATAATGAAATATAAGAAAATTAAAATATGCGTGTGTAAAATTTAATAAAAGAATTTAAAATACAAACTTTTCTTGTTATATCATGAAGGTAGGATATTCGCGGCATATAAATTAAAAAGATTTTTATTTGTACAAAATAAATTATATCATTATACTTAGAATCGAATATATTTGTACATTTTTTGAAAATTTACAGTGAAAGATTGCTTTGAAAAATGAGAAAATGTCACAACAATGCAATGTACAACATAAAGGTAGATTTTTTCTTATTTTCATAAGTCCAAAAGTATAGTATGTATGCCAGAGCTCGGCAAGAACTGCACATTTCGGCCGATTTTCAGTTGGCTCCGCTTAGCGCGTCCCCCCTTACCTCGCAAAGCCTACGAGCCGCTCGGCGCTCAGGAGCAGGCGTATGGCAATAGCTTTCCACGTCACCCATACTATTGTTGACGCGTTTTTTTTTTAAGTGGTATTCCCAGTAGGCCTAATCCACTGATGACTAAAACGACCCTTTAACTAATTGCAAGACGATAAAGTTTATCACGTCTTATGCGATTTGCTACATGCCGTATGCAAATAGATGTTCCTGATCTCGCTTGTAAAAAATCCCGAAAGTCATAAATATTCATCAATTATTATTTATAATTCCGTGCAATTAGTTAAAAATTCGTTTTAGTCATCAGTGAATTAGGCCTATTGAGGATACCACTTAAAAAAAACGCGTCAACAATAGTACCTCATGGGTGACGTGGAAAGCTATTGCCATACGCCCGCTCCTGAGCGTGGAGCGGCTCGTAGGCTTTGCGCGGGACGGCGAGGTAAGGGGGGACGCGCTAGGCGGAGCCAGCTGAAAATCGGCCGAAATGTGCAGTTCTTGCCGAGCTCTGATGTATGCAATTCTTTTTTCCATCACTCAGTACAAGAAGGCTAATGATATGTGAAAACTATAGATCGAATAAGACCGTCACGAATTGCATGTGCACTATTACCAACTCCGAATGAGAAAAACACAGAATCACAGGACATGTTTTGGGCACAAACTCCTACTGGATACCATCCAGCCTTATTAAATACCACGCCGACTCGATAAACCTGTTTATAAAAGTAATATTATCATAACTGAATACAGTAATATATTTGCAGACAATTCAACATTTATAAATCGTGAATTTTTGGCACTTTGGAATAAAAACATTATTTTAAATTGAAAATGAATTTTTGCAAAATGATAGATATTGATTACATAATAAAAAAGTAATTATTTTAGTTACACAAACCTTATGTTTTTGAATGTAAACTGGTCGATTAAAAGTAATCTCCACAAGGGTACCAAAATTCGCTTTAGTGGTGAAATGTGTGTACGTCAAACGTGTGCCGTCGCAGTCGAGAAGATGAGCGTACAAGATTTCGGTGTAAGACGTATCACCATGTATAGCGTGAGTAAAACTGCTCGCCTAATAAATGAATTAGGTGATATATGCGAACAATTACTACTATTACTCCCGGGCCTTACAGGCTTTTGTGGCCCTTGGCCTCCTGGCGAACGGTAATTAGATGGATAATAACTAATCTCTCTAGCTTACCGCGGCGATTTGCGTGGGAACCTGTACACCCACTACACAAATATTTTTATCCACACTGAACGTGACAGAACAATCCAGTACGTTTGTATTCAAGCAATCTGTTTGTTGAACTATCGATCTGAGGCAGTAATATTTTGGTCCCTCGCGTACGACCACTCCACTCGTGGAGGAATTTGGTAGACTTCCAGAATCCTTATTCACGCCTTGTTCATGTCTCCCTCCTAATACTACTGGTGAAGTTTCCAGCAATGTACTGTTGATCTCCCTATCGTTTAAGAAACCAGTACGCATGGGAATATTCAATTGACCGTATGGATTGAAAAGCGGTCTTGTTTTGTCCTCTTCTAAAAGAGAAAACATCTAAAAGAGAAAAAAAAAAAGAAAATAAGAAGAGTGCAAAAGTGCTGCAATATTATATATTTTCTCACTCTACATATATTTATTTTTCTTTTAGTAAAATATCGTCCTTTAGCAACTCTCTGAGGAATTTTACTTACTTTAGGAAGTACTATAGTAGCACTTGTAGTTTGAGCCTTTACTGGCTTCGCTCTGCTATTTGAATTAGTACAGAAGCCTTCAGGCATAGGTGTTTTGTTGTCGGTGCGTAATATATTCATTAATATATCAAAAGCCTCGTCTTTTGTGAGCAGAGGAGACGTACCAGGACCGTCTGCAAATTCTTGTGGAGTTAAACTCAAGAATCTTATCTTTGAGAGAGCAGTTCCAATAACAGACTTTAAAGATTTTCCATTAGTCGGATCAAGAGATTTCCTAGAACATTCTGCCTTCGCCCATTGTTCCAATCCAGTAAATAATTCTATCTCTGAGTTAATCTGCAGATCATCTTGATCCAAAACTTTGAGAAGCGTTCCCAACTCTACATCCTCCCAACTAGATTCCTTCAATACTTCATCCGTTTTTGTGCGTATGATCTGCAGACACTTGTCCATCAGCACAGGTTCTTCAAACAATTGCGCAAACTCGTATGCCCTGCACGCTTTCTTCGGCGAGAGATCTGACCAGAGATACTTTGTGCACTCCTCTACTAAGCATGGTAGCATGTACTTCTTGGCACAATAACATAATTCACAAGCCAATTCAAAAGATCCTAGCTCTACTTTATCAGTGTATATATATTCCAACAAAGCCTTAAACGCTTCGGGCTGAACATCCTTGATCGGTATCGGATCATTCTTCTCCGCCATGCCACCAAAGAACATGGCCTCAAACACTGGACTGGACATTGCCAGAAACAACTTGTGTCCCTTGAGAGTCTGTTGTTGAGGTTCTTGCCCGACAATAAACTTGCAATCCGACCATTGTCCAGTCTCCAATAAGTACTGCCCACGCTCGGAAAGTTTCTGTTTGCTGGTCTGCCAGTCGCAGAGCATGCTCATCTTTACAATAGTGTGTTGACTCGTAGGTGTATATACAACCTTTAGCTGTAATACAAATAGAAAATTACAAAAGCGAACTATGAGCATGTGTCATCCTTATCTTATCTACCAGATGGACTCTAAAGATTACACACTCAAGATACACATATAATATCACTGTCGCATCAATGCAACATGAAATATCTTCAAGGGGGTTTTAAATATTGACAGCAGTCCAATTCTGTGACACGTCAATCATAATAATCCATTTGACCCATACAAGAACATATGACATATTACGTTGATATGACGTTACGTGCATGGACATCGGACAGGCAAGGATGCGATCCGCGTAGATGACGCACGCGACATACTCACACGTACCTATTTTTAAACAACACACGTTATCGCTATAAATACGTGGCGTGGCAAGAGGCACGCTGGCCAAAAAGAATAGTCCACGTGAGAAGAGAAAGAGAGACGGAGAAAAGAGACAAAGACAGAGAGAGAGAGAGAGTGGAAAACAGGACAGAAAAATCGTCGCGCGGAAAAGTCAGACCCGCCGACCCGCAATCACCTAATCGAGGGACGCGTCGTCGGTTGACAGTTGACACTTCCCGCGAAATCGAGCTCGGGAGCCCTTCTTGGTCGTCTTTATTGTTGTCGGTCTATCGTCTTCCGGTTCCGATGCGCGCAACTGTCATCCGAAATCCGAACGCCACTGAACGCTACGCCATCTTAGACCGACCGACGACCACTGACGACGACGACGACGACGCACGCCCCCTCTCCCCCCTCGCCGCGCGCTTCTTTCAAGGCTCGACTTTCCCTGCCCCCCCCTCCAACCGTCCCGTTTCAACGCTTTTCGGAACCCGGAGTGGTCGACGCTCGCTCTCCGCATCCGCGACGATTTTCCACGACACAACGTGCCTGTCGCTTTCCCCCCTCCCCCCCGCCGCCCTCCCCGTTCCACCGTCCCTCTGTTGCCGCTGTCGACGGAGATTTCGCGCCGAGGGCCTCTCCTCCGGGTGAGTCGGGATTTTGGATTTCGTTTCGTCGCGACGATAAATCGATAATCCCGCGGCACGGGCCGAGGAGCCGAGGGATCGAGATAGCGGAAGTGGCCGTTTTCGAGGATAGTCCGGTGGTGCCGCGTACGTGTCGTCCGCGCCGTCGAAATGCCGTCGTCGTCGTCGTGAGCAACGCCAGGAGATCGCCGGAGCGGAGTTTGTATCGCTCGCGCGGCGCACATTGAACCGGAGGGCGCGAGAGAGACGGATAGAGTCGAGCGAGAGGAGGAGGGAGACGAGAAGAGCGAGGGAGAAAGAGAGAGAGAGAGAGAGAGAGGCGGAATCTCGCGGGGTCTCTCGCCGACTCCGACGATCCTCGCGAGTCGTCCCCGCGAAATAATGCGCCTTCCTCCCCCCCGGGACGCCCGTCCGGATGACATCGTCGCCAGCCAACGACGGGACGACGTAGGGTCGACGTGAGGTACGTGCACCCCGCCTCTCGGATCAGCATCCCCGACACCCTCGAGCGTGGCTGACTTACCCGCTCCCCCTTCCCCTCCCCCCTCTTCCCGCTCTGACAGGAGGGCGAGGAGATGCGCGAGCGCGCGCGCTTTGTAAGCGTTTCCTTGCGTCTGCGAGCGAACGTCTACCCCGTCGCCGTCGATTCCCGGGGACGACCGGGAGAGAGAGAGAGAGGGAGAGAGAGGCGAGGCCCTTCCGCGTGTCGCTTGACGTGTCGTCGCGTCGTAAACGCTGCCACTGACGTAACCCTCGCCCTCGCCCTCGTACTCGGCTCCTCTCGACTTCCTGGTCACGAGTCCCTTGGGAGAAGAAGCGCCCGGGAAGGATCCTCGGTGGCTCGACGTTTGATGTTGTTGCGAGGTAACGCGAAAGAGCGGGATCGCTCTTTGTTTCGCGCGCGCGAATCATCGTCTTGTCACCTTGTAAATTACGCGGCTGAGTCATTGTCCGTTAAACGCGGTGCCGCGTTGACGTGCCGCCCGTATTTTTCTTTCGCATCGGAGTGCCTTCCCGTCTCTTCTGAACTTTCCTCAGCGGCAGACGCGGATTTCCTTCGGAAATTTTCGGTTTAAGGATATTTATTATTAACGCGAGCCACGTTCAAATATTAACTCTAAATTGTTTATATTGTCGTTGTGTAATGCTGTCATAATATTGTTTTTATGTGTTCTATTATGTAAGAAGTAGAGACACTGCCAAGGTTTAAACATATGTGTTGGTTGTTTTTTTATTTTTCTTATATTTCTTTTGACGAGATATATTTAAATATGGTATATATTTTTATGGCATTATACAGTCACACGCATCTAGAATTCTAACATTGTTGATGTGTCTAGATTTGAAGGTTTGAAGCTTGAGAAAGACTTATTTACTATACTTATTTATACTTGATTTATACATTTGTTTATGCATTTATTTGTTTAGAAGATATGGAGGATCCATTGAGCATCACAGTTACACATTGTTCGAATCAATGCTACATTTAGCCTTGAGCTTGGACAGTTTTTAATGCGATAAAAGCAGTACATTGTCGAAGCACAATAATCCAGACTCCTATAGGAGAGATGGATGTGATGGATGAGGATAGGCGGAGGCGCCTACGGAGTCTGGAGGAGAGGATAAAGGATCCAAGAAGTATTACAAATATCGATTGCTTATTGGATACCGTCCAAGCCTTGGTATTAGATTGCGATCATGCGAGTGTGAAACGTATGAAAAATATAGAAGCCTATATGAATAGATGTAAGTATTGTTTTTTAATACTTAATACAAATTTAATATTTATTAATCTTTTGTTATTTTGAGCAAGATGCGTTATATATCGAGAGGTTGAGAATATTTATCTGTTTTTACAGATGACTGTGTAGCACAAGAGATTCATAAAATGCGAATGCGTACGGATGATTTTACTTTAATAAAAGTAATCGGCCGTGGTGCATTTGGAGAGGTGCAGTTGGTTAGACACAGATCTACGCAAAAAGTTTACGCTATGAAATTACTTAGTAAATTTGAAATGGTAAGATAACTTTGTTTATTTGTGCATGTTGTATGATAAAATATTGTATAAACCTTTCCTTATTCGATTTCATGTTATCCTTTCAGATTAAAAGATCGGATTCCGCATTTTTTTGGGAAGAGAGAGACATAATGGCTCACGCAAATTCTCCATGGATAGTCCAGCTCCACTTTGCATTCCAAGATCAAAAGTATCTCTATATGGTTATGGATTATATGCCAGGAGGTGATTTAGTAAATCTAATGTCCAATTACGAAGTGCCAGAGAAATGGGCAAAATTTTACTGTGCCGAAGTGGTGCTTGCGTTAGATGCGATACATCTTATGGGTTTCGTTCACAGAGATGTGAAACCAGATAATATGTTGCTCGACAAGTATGGTCATCTGAAACTTGCCGACTTCGGCACGTGTATGAGGATGGATGCTGTGAGTTTAATCTTTTATATTTTTAATTTTTCAAATTCAGTTTAAATACTTCTAATTCGAAAAACATTTTATAAAGATATCAGATAACATTTTAATTATGTATAATAACTTTGAGTCATAATTTGTTTTAAACAAATAATACTATATCTTATATTCTATCTGTAAATTATTTTTATCCAAAATATGAAAAAAGTACACAGAAAAAAATATCATTCTACTGCCAAGAAAAATGATTACTTAGTTTATTTTTCTTTTTTTAAGTAATAATTTTCTTTAACAAAGAATATATTCTTGATAATAATCTTAAAATATACTCATCACAAGTGTTAGAAAATCTCATTATCATGTACTCAAAAGAAGAATTTATTTTCTCTTCAAGAATATTGTAAAGTTGTATAAAAAAAAATCAAACTTACTTTATGTAGTAAGCAAACCAAATTTATGTTTTAATTTAATATTCTTGACTAAAATACTGCAGTTACTAAAATTCAGAATATATTTAATTAAATTTAATGCTTGTGATGAACTTATGATATATTTGCGGATATACAAACTTATGATATACTTAAAATAAAATAAATAATAATATTATTGGATACGGATAATAATATTATTTAAAATAAATATTTACTTGAATACAGTATACATTTTTCTCTGTGTAAGTAAATTTAAAATATTATAGTATAAGCTTGTTTCTTGTCCTGTCTTTCTCTCTCTCTGATTAAAACTTTTTAATTTTAATGTTTGCTTTGCAGGACGGTTTGGTACGGTCCGACACCGCTGTTGGTACACCCGATTATATATCCCCGGAAGTTTTGCAATCGCAAGGCGGGGAAGGAGTATACGGTCGCGAATGTGACTGGTGGTCCGTAGGTGTTTTTCTCTACGAGATGTTGTTCGGCGATACACCATTTTTTGCCGACTCCCTAGTTGGCACGTATTCGAAGATCATGGATCACCGGAACTCGTTATATTTTCCTCAAAATGTCGAGATTTCTCACTCGGCGAAAAACTTGATATGCGGTTTCCTCACCGACAGAACGAAACGCCTGGGTCGTAACGGCGTCGACGAAATTAAAAGCCATCCATTTTTCAAAAATGATCAATGGACTTTCGATAATCTAAGGGAATGCGTGCCACCGGTAGTACCCGAACTTTCTGGTGATGACGACACTAGCAATTTCGATGATGTCGACAAGGAAGATGGGCCGGAAGAGAGTTTTCCAGTACCTAAAGCTTTTTCCGGAAATCATCTGCCTTTCATTGGATTCACTTATTCGGGCGATTATCAGCTAATGTTCTCTTACGGCAAGGAATCGGTGGACGGATTGGAGAATCATGTCAATAATGGCACTACTGACGATGTGAAGATCTCGCAGTTGGAAAACTTGCTGGATCGCGAAAGACGGCAAATAGAGACGATGGAGTCGAGACAGAAGGCGTTGAACATTCAGTTGGAAGCAATGACATGCCGAGAAGCCGAGCTGCGCGAAGAAGTAGGCAGAGCGGACAAAGAGCTGACACTGCTCAGGCATAATTACAAGGAGGCGCAACGTAGAGTGGAGCACGAGACAGAGATTCGTCGGAAGGCGGAATCATTGCTGGTGGAAGTGAAGAAGAAGTTTGACGAAGAACAAACTAGGCGAGCGCGAGATGTCAGTACTTCGCAGCAGACATCCGAGCGAGTAACGACGTTGGAAAAACAGATCAAAGAGATGCAGTGCAAACTAGAGAGAGAAACAGAAACGGTGACGAGGTTGCGCAAGCAAGCGACGGAAATTACTGTGGCTCGTCAAGCTGCCGAACAAATGGCGAGTGAACTCCAAGTTGCCAGGGCTCAGCTACAAGCACAGCGTGATAACTTGCAACAAGAAGTTGCCACCCTTCAGGTATAATTAAACCAAACAGTTTCTTTTTTTAATTCAAGGGAATTTTAATAGTTTTTTACAAGATGCGTATAAAATTTTTGAAAAATTAATATTTCCTTTTTCAAAAATTTAATTATAATAATTATATCTAATATTCAATAATATATATATAATTAATAATATATTATATTAATAATATAATTAATAATATATAATTATATCTAAGGATCATTGAAAAAAGAGTAGTCGACCAAACTAGCCAGAAAATTTGTTTATTAATACGACGTTTCAACCATATGGTTGTGGTCCTTATCAAGTATATACTGGGAAAGATTTATAGACTTCGTCAAGAAACTAAACACAACTAGAGGAAAACGAAACTACGTGACCTTTATTATTTTGTCGTAAATGTTGTTTAAACTATCCGTGTCTTTCTGTAGGTTGATTAAATTATTAAATTTCTTGATAAAGAATATCTCAGCAATTTTTCTCTTTCGAACATATTTTTCATTATGCAAAATATTAGGTTTCGACCAGTCAAAATCATGTCCGGATTCCAATCTATGTTTGCTAATGACCGAGTGATTAGTTTCATGTAACTTTATATTATTACAATGTTCTTTTACTCGCGTACGTAAATGTCTTTTTGTTTGCCCAATGTATGATAAATTACAATCAATTTAAACAACATTTACGACAAAATAATAAAGGTCACGTAGTTTCATTTTCCTCTAGTTGTGTTTAGTTTCTTGACGAAGTCTCACACGGACGCATCAATTTCTCTCAAATTTAAATCTAGTTAAATAACGTTTTTTGTTAATGTGACTTGTGCAATTTACAAGATTATCGTCTATGCCTGTCTCCTGATTTTTATTACATCGGTATAAAAATTGTTCACACTTTAATTCGTTGAGCGTACTATATATTCAAACCATTAATTAATTAATTAATTTATAAATCTTTTTCAGTATATAAGGACCATAACCATATGGTCGAAACGTCATATTAATAAACAAATTTTCTGGCTAGTTTGGTCGACTACTCTTTTTTTCAATGATCCTTTGATTATTTGAGCGACATTAAGATATTTTATAATTTTTATAATTATATCTAATATTCAAAATTTAAAATAAAGAATTTAGAGAACAATTTATTTTTCATGCACGAAATGTTTTTCTATAGGGCCAACTTTCCAAGGAACGTAGCTCAAGATCGCAAGCGTCATTGTTGACGGCCGAACTGGAAACACGTCTTTCTGCCTTACACCTCGAGTTAGAACGTAGTCGTGAGAAGGAGGAGAAGGCAACTCTGGATAATAGACAACTAAACGAAAGAATTTCCGCGTTAGAAAAAGAAGCTGCTAGTTTAACCTTGGAATTGAAAGCTGCACAAGCTAGGTATAATCAAGAAGTTATGGCGCATCAAGAAACGGAGCGTTCGCGCATTCTCTCCAAAGAAGAAGCTAATTTGGAAGTTGTTAAAGGTGCTTGTTTCAAATTTTACATGTAAAGATAGAGATATTATATTTCTGATAAAGCATATTTCATTTTGCCTATGCAACGCAGGGCAAAAGAATGGAATTTTCAAAGGTAATATATGTGGTTAGTGAATTCATATTTTCTTTTTTTCCTATTCTGGAAACATATTCTAGAATAAAATATTTAAATTACTTAAATAAAATATTTAAATTATTTAATTTTTTATTTATAAATTGTATTTTTCTCTATCATCCTGTGCTAATCTTTGTTTATCTTCTCATTATTGCTGCATATTTGTGTATAATGGCGTATCTGTTTATGTATGTACACATTCTAATCTCTATATTTATAAATTTAAAGAAATATATTTCACATTGGATTGTGTTACTTATGTATATTGGTTTATTACAAATAGCTCTACAAGCAAAATTAAACGAGGAGAAAAGCGGAAGACAACGCGCGGAATTACTTGCGCAGGAAAAGGAACGTCAGACATCAATGCTCTCTGTCGATTATAGACAGATACAACAACGATTGCAAAAATTAGAAGGTGAACACAGACAAGAAGTGGAAAAAGTCAAAGTACTGCAGGGCCAAGTTGAACAGGAACAACAAAAGAGAAATGTCCTTCAAACCGATTTAGGTCAGCAAACGTCTGAAGCTGGAAGACTTCGTGCTCGTGAGCAACAATTGATCGGAGAAGTTGCTCAGTTGAGGGAAGCTAAACGGCAAATAGAAGAGGAATTACATCACTTAAAGACGCAAAGGAATGTCGATCAGCTACAGACGAAAGAATTACAGGAGCAATTAGAAGCTGAAGCTTATTTCTCGGTACGTAATAACAAAAGTTTAATCACGTATATCATCTTGAATCTGTAATTATTGAATAATAAACAAAAAATACAAATAAAAATAAATATTAAACTTATTCTCATTCTTATACTCATTAGTTCAAAATTATATAATAAAAGTATTGTAAATTTAGATATTTTAAGAATGATTATAATTTTCATGTTTTTCAGACTCTTTACAAAACACAGACGCAAGAGTTACGTGAAGAGCTAGACGAAAAAGCGAGGTTGCAGCAGGAATTGGAGGAAGAACGTAGTTCTCTAGTTCATCAATTACAACTGTCTTTGGCGCGCGGTGATAGTGAAGCATTGGCCAGATCCATAGCCGAGGAGACCGTAGCAGACTTGGAAAAGGAAAGAACCATGAAGGAATTGGAATACAAAGATGGAGTAGCTAAGCATCATCAAGAGCTAAGTGCAAAAGAACAAATTATAAATAGACTTAAGGAGAACGAAAGCGAATTCAAGAAATCGGTCGATCAGACTCTGAAGGAAAAAGAAGACTTGAGCAAGCGATTGAAAGAATCGCAAGAGCAACTTGGCAAAGCGCAATTCAACGCGGAAGAAATAGAAAAGCTGAGTAGCAAGCTGAAAACTGAACAACTATTGAAGCAACAGGCGGTCAACAAACTAGCCGAGATTATGAACCGGAAGGATCTTTCGTCGAGTGGGAAGAATAAAAACAAGGCCTCTGCCGCAGATCTGAGAAAGAAGGAGAAGGATTGCAGACGCCTACAGCAAGAACTCACTCAAGAGAGGGAAAAGTACGGACAATTGGCAGCTAAATGGCAGAAAGATTTGCAAGATTTGCAAGTAAGCGAGACACCTTTACTTGTGTTTAAAATATTATATAGAATTGTTTGAATTTGTAAAAATGATTTTTTTCTCAGGCACAACTCGTCGAGGAAAATCAGGCAAAGCTAAGGCTGCAAATGGAACTGGATTCGAAGGACTCGGAAATAGAAACACTGCAAATGAAAATCGCGTCGCTCAATTCGGAGACTGCAAGCGTCTCATCCATCGAGAACGACGATGCTGAGGATTCGGTTCTGTCCGAGCATGGTACGATGAGATTGGAAGGTTGGTTAAATGTGCCAAATAAGCAGAATATTAAGCGGCACGGTTGGAAGAAGCAATACGTCGTTGTCTCCTCCAAGAAGATAATTTTCTATAATAGCGAAAACGACAAAATGAACGCCGATCCGGTTCTGATATTAGACTTGAACAAAGTCTTCCACGTTAGATCTGTTACTCAGGGTGATGTTATCCGAGCCAATGCCAAAGATATACCCAGAATATTTCAGGTATCTACTTTATTAATCTCCATTCTTTGGATTGCGATTAATATTGCATACTAATTAATCTCGTATGCAGTTACTCTATGCCGGTGAAGGTGAAGCGAGACGACCCGGCGACGAAGGAAATACACTGCCTGGAGTGGATTTACCGCAGCTCACAGATAAACCCGGCACTCAGTCGTTGAAGGGCCACGAGTTCGTATCAATATCTTATCACATGCCGACGACCTGCGAGGTCTGTTCGAAACAGCTCTGGCATATGTTTCGACCTTCGCCGGCTCTTGAATGTCGAAGTACGTATTATTATAGTCTATTATAATCGTTTACATATGGATTTTATTTCTCTATACGTTTCTCTCGCTCCTTTTTACTTAAAACAAAATGTCATTGTTCGCAGGATGTCGCATTAAGATTCACAAGGAACACTTGGACAAGAAGGAAGATGCCATAGCCCCATGCAAACTGCACTATGACCCCAACAGCGCCCGCGAGTTATTGCTGCTCGCGGCGAATCCCGAGGACCAGAAGTACTGGGTCTCGCGGCTGTCCAGGCGCGTTCAGAAATGCGGCTACAAAGCGAACTCGCACGTAGACGGCACGGGGCAACGCGTTTCGCCAAGGTAGCGTAGCCGATGCTGCTGCTCGAAGTGAGCGGGGACTAAGTAGCTCTCTTATTTTGTGACGTCGCATGATGTGGGTGTAGAGAGGTTAGACTTGTTTGATTTTTCTTCCTTTTCCTTTCGCATTGTTTCTATACCGGTCTTGTATACAGGGTGTTTTAGATCACACGTACCACCCATTTAAAAACTAGAGAAGTGGTTATTTCAAAAAAGTAAAAACATTTTCTTCATAAGTCGGGTGCGCTCTATCGAATGGAATTATTTTCAACTTCTGGTTCCGGCCGGAAATAGGCGACTCAGACCGGAAGTGCATTTTTTTAAATGAAACCCCCTATTTTTCATTGCATATTCTTGTAGCTTACCTCGAGAGCTTTCCAAAACACTATAATAAATTATTTTTCCATGAAGTACTTTTCGAGTTATGAGTCTTGAATTCATTTCTTAATTTTACATAAACCATAAAATATCTTGTAAAATATTTATTTTTCAATTATCTTAATACTTTTATGTACAACATAATGAAAAGAATCAATTGGTGTAAAGAAAACATATAGTTGTTTTTAAGAAAAAATATGGAATTGTTAATTGTAAATTACATATTTTTTCTTAGAAACAACTATATGTTTTCTTTACACCAATTGATTCCTCTCATTATTTTATACATAAAAGTATTAAGGTAAGATAATTGAAGAATGAATATTTTACAAGATATTTCATCGTTTATGTAAAATTAAGAAATGATTTCAAGCCTCGAATATAACTATAACTCGAAAAGTACTTCATGGAAAAATAATTTGTTATAGTGTTTTGGAAAGCTCTCGAGGTAAGCTACAAGAATATGCAATGAAAAATAGGGGGTTCCATTTTTAAAAATGCACTTTCGGTCCGAATCGCCTATTTCCAGCCGGAACCAGAAGTTGAAATATCACCATTCGATAGAGCGCACCCGATTTATAAAGAAAATGTTTTTATTTTTTTGAAATAACCACTTCTCTAGTTTTTAAATGGGTGGTACGGATGATCTGAAACACCTTGTATAATTGTACATATTAGCACAATGCATGACATTGATTGTGAGTGGTTGTTAAAACTGATCGGACAGTTAAACGAAATCAGAAAAGACAATGTGTGTCGATTAAGAGTAGCATATCTCATGTACATATACTGCACAACAATTTTAGCTTTCGGCACTTGCTGCAGAAACGGGTTAGTTATTGAATTATCATGCTTGAAGCGTTTTACAGCTTTGACTATGCGATGTTTTTTATTTGTGTTTTTGAAATCTCGAATAATATATAAATGACAGATTTATGTGACAACAGTTTATATGTATATTTGTTTTCTTTCATCTGTATATTTTTTTTTCTATAGGGAATCTACGAGGTCGACTCTGAAGCCATACTTATCGGTGCAACAACGATCCGCGACATTACCAGCAAATGCCAGTATGGGCAAGTGATCTTGGAAGATGCTAGTATTAGCGATTAAGAATTCCGCTCACGATCTGCTACCGCATTTTCCGCGTTAATGGTAGTGACGTCAGTGAGGACCGTGGTAAAGAACTACAACCTCGTGATTTTCTCTGCGCACCTGGCAACTGAAGTAGACTGTCAATAATTTTCTAGATCAATGTGAGAATAATTGAAATAGCGATTGCGATCGTAATGTGACTTTTGCAGCTAAGGGTAAGTGAAATTCAAGTTCGAGTATCGCTGGAGAAAACAGGGTTACTATATATGTACCGGGTGATAAATGGATATGACGATAAGAAGGATGGAGAAAGATAGGATGCCGTGTCCACATACAACAGGGTTATCGTGTTCCCGGGACAATAATTAATTGAAACGCGCGTGTTCCTCGTATTTGCTGAATCATTTTATCGTGAGCGACGTAATAATCTCTTCGTGATATTCGCGGCAGATTGTAAAACGTTCTCTCGAAGAATCATTGAATTTTCCGCAGTGATTTTTCTGGATTAGAACTTTATATTGGACTTTGTATACGCACATTTCTTACTGCCTTTAATAACGATTATCGATAAATTGTGATGGAGACTTTTAGCTTAAGGCGTTTTTTCGATGCTTTAAACCGAAATTTCGGAAGCTTGGAAAAAGAGTATATAGTATTTTGGAATTATTTTATATATACACAGAATGTTCGTTGAGAACGTATGTAGATATGGGGATCTTTTGCTTTTAAGATGAGTATTAGCGAGGATTTATTTAACATTTGATAATCGAGTGTGTTTTTGGACGGGGTTTCATTTCAAGAGGGTGTAAACAATTTTGAACGCGCGTTCGAGGATCAATGTTTTTATCGAAATCGTGGCAACTGAGTGGTTCATGTCGACGGACATCGCGAAGAAGTAATATATTTGCGAAATTGACCAGATTTATGGCGTCTGTAAAGACTATATAAGTATACAGTAATGAGTGCCAGCTTGTATAGTAGAGATAATGATTACAGTTGTACTTTAAGAATTTTTATTACAATACACGAGTTAATGACGTCCGCTACGTATCCCGACAGAGACAGAGAAAGAGACAGCTAACGAGAGGACTAACTAACAAAAAAGTATCATGCATAATTCAGAAGCTTCAAGAGCTTCGTCATGGTGCCATACGGCTTCGGCCATTCTCGGCATCGAAAGAAGCGATAGAAACAAAAGAAAAAGATATTAGAAATCGTATTAGATATTATTAACGCATCATCGCCGTCTGTGTTCTTTCCAAAGTACCTCCGCGAGACATTGCGTCGTGTCGAGAACTCGTCGGAACGAAAAGAGCCGCTTCCATCGATGATAGTCAACTAACTATGGTTAACATTCTTCTTTCCCATACGAGCTAAATTTACAAACATTAATTATGATTAAGCGAGACTTTCCATTGTGATTCCTTATATTTTATCTAGAGAGAAAAAAATCTAAAAAAATTTGCCTCGGAGATCTGGGAAAAACTTTACATGCTTTTTAACGAATAAGATAAAGGATCAATAAAGCGTCAGTTAAGTTATGAATGATAGCTCAATTTAGAAAGGAGTAGAAAATCGATCATCAAATCAACCGATAGAAAAAGTAAGATTAGTCCGTTATATGAATGGTACACAAACTCTGATTAATTAAATTCTCTTTCTTTATTTGGACTACGATAGCTACAACTTTCTAGATAGGGGAAGGAGAATTTCTAACCGGAATTAGTCAACTAAAGTCGTCGGTGTAACTGGTTTCAAGAACTCAGCGAGACGTCCATCAAATGGTGCTCTTCCCCCCTGTCCCATCCATCCTTTTGGTTTGATAGAACGTTGAGAGCGAGCGAGAAACTGTAGACACTTCTTGTGAAAGTACGAAGGAGAGAAAAAGAGAGAAATTAAAACTGAAAAAAAAATTTCATCCGATATACTGCCCCGTGCCTTCTTCACTATTTTGGTTCTCCACGAGAGCGAAACTCGGAGAAAAATTGGCAATGAGAAAGAAAAGGAAAGGGAGAGAATGAGCGAATGAATGCATGAGTAAGAATGAGAGAGTGCGAGATAAAGAAAGAAAGAGAGAGAGAGAGGAAGGAAAGAGGAAGAACTTGTTACAGCATATTTTATTATTATTGTTTAATTATTTACAATCTGTATATTATTAATTAATATTACGATTAAAAGTATTTTGTAGATAATATGCGGCTCTCTTTGATGATGCATTTATGACCACCGATTGCGCGATTTCGAATATTCGCGATAATCGTGTATATGAGCGATCTTTTTTCGTGACGTTTGTTTTTCTTTTTTTTTTTTTATATTACTACACAATCGATGGCTAAAAAGCTGCCCTCGTTCTCGATTAACTATGGGCAAAGTGGAGCACGTCTCAGAGATCCCCTATATGATTGCATGACAAATTTATGATGCAAACGTTATTTGAGAGTAGATCTGAATTGCCTTAAATACGTTAATTAAAATACAGTAAACTCGTTATGTCGTCTTCCCCTTTGATGAAACTGTCCCACTTTAATCTAAATATTCTTAGAAAAACAGTATTGCGAGAAATGGATATATTCTCGATTTATCCATTTGCAAAAAAGCAATGTGCCAAAAAGAATTCGTTTTTCTCATAACACGCAAGGATTAGAGATTTATTTGGGATTTATGATAAATGATATACATTAAAACGTACGAAATAATTTTCTTAATAATTTTTTTTCCACTTTCACTTAAAAATCAAGAAGGGAGCTAGAGATTAAAAAATTGAAATTATATCAAGTACTGCAATTTTTACTTACATGAGCATTTGTTTTTACTTAAAATATACCTAATTTGTATTATAAATAAATCGCGACGTATCAAAAGGATGAGAACCGGGGATTTAAGAAACGAAGTTAATTGTAGTTTTTAGATTCGTTGAAATTTATTTCGACTACATTCATTTGAAAAATCCTGCGTATGTAAATGAGATCGTCTGAGACCGACATGCAAACATAATACATGATACAAGAACCGAATAATTTACATGAGAATGAATAATTTTGATAGCGAATTCGAAAAAGCTCCGTCTTCGTATAATAGCGTAAACTCTCCGTTCGATCAAATATTTCTATGTTCGATTACATTTTCATAATTGCTCTAGATATTAACTAATCTTTTTTTTTTGCTAGATCATTTATTTGGATATGTAACGCGTTTTTCATTCTTCACGGTCATTGCACTTTGTCGTCTCCACCGGAGACGGACTTTTACCTACTTTTATCTACTTTCCACCTTTCTTTACAAGCATTGCATTATTCAAGAAAGTACGTCGACTTTCTTCGTCGCTCGCGATAGATAAAAACTAGTTTATCGTCTCCCCAGTATATCGTTTATCCGATTCAGGTGGAGAACGACGAATTTATACGCGAAGAATTTATAAAATCAATACCTGTGACGGTTTCTATTGGCGGATCTAGAGATCTACTGAAGCAGAGAATATACACATCCGAATAATTGTGGAATTATCGGAATCTAGGAATGGATTCAAAATTGTTATTTCCATATGCAATATTAAATTGATACGATTTTACAAAATATTAACATCACATCAACGCACGCGTGAACGACTTATAATGGACGACCGGAACGAAGCGTTCTTTAAACACTATATGGAATCTCGATACTGCAATAATATAAATTTCCGTTATATGTACAACAGAGAGAAGGGATCCGCTTTCGCTAATGATACGCTATTATTCATAAAGGCGAATAATCGATACATTCGTAGATACATGCATGTCGCGGGACATAATGTGAGCTTAGGGGCCGAGCGAATACAGAGCAGGAGATAGAGATGGAGAATCTCTTGGATACAAACGAAGGATCGTTGCTCTGTTCGCTTATACGCACATATGTAAATCTCTACTTCCACGTAATTAATGACGAAGCTGTAAAAATTCTTGGTAATTCAGAGGAAAGAGATATGTGCTGCTTTCCTTTTATGAGAACGATTCCACTGTTATTAAAGTTGATCGTTACAATGTCTTTTAGAGTTCTCGAGCAATTATACACCACGATCTCTAACGCAATGATTCTTCTAGTGTTGAGAAGCTTTTCTTCAAAGAAGAGTTTTCTTTTATTATCCATCTCTTGGAAAAAAATCTTTTCTATTTTTTTTTCTCGAAGCAGTTTCCGTTTGCTCTTTCAATGGAGATCATTTCGTTCTCTGTCGCGAAGAAAGTTTCAGTTCTTATTCTTTCTTTCATCTTCTCTTCTGAAAAAGGTTCTCTTGCCTACTTTTTCAAGGAAGATTTTTCTTCTTTTCTCTCTTTTCTTCGCTTTTCTTTTTTTCTAAAGTTGTTCGTGGTGTTTCGCTCCGTTCGGAGTTTAATTTCCGACGAGACTTCGTAGTCTCGTAGCGAAAGATTATTTTCTTACAAGGGCAACCAGACCGCGATTCAAGTGCGTCAATTTCGGTTTCATAGACAATTTCGTTGGAGTTGGAGAGGACTGCTGATGATTTCGATTTGCCGTCTGCTGCATGCTTTGCTGCTTCTTCTTCAATGATTCTTGCTTGGCACCTCTATTGTTTTTTTTTTTTTGCACAAACGAATTTATTATTTTAATATCTTGTTTTTTAGTTGTCATATTTTTAATATTATCTCGATAAGTTTTTTAATTAAAAAGCGCTTGAAAATCAAAGTTTTCACTAATTTTTGCAAATACTTTTTGCTAAATATGTAAATAATGTTGACAAAAGTCGAAAAAAAAATTAATCGAATAGACTAGTAAACTCAATCTATACCGTTTTTATAATTGAATATAATAAATTCTTGCATAAATATTTTAAAAGCACTCACAAATATCGAGTGAGATCTTCCACGTCAACGAGCATCGAATCTTGTTCCATGTGCAAATCATCTCTCCTCAAAAGTCCTTCAACGAGCGCTTCATTCAAAGCGGCAATCCTCGCGTGTAAATCGTTCGCCACTACTTGCAATTGTGCGACATTTAATTCCGTGAGAAGAACTCGGGACAATCTACGTCTATCTTCTCCCAGTTGAACACCGACCTAGAGAGAAAAGGCAAGATCCAAGAATTAATTAAATGTAAACGATAAAATTTGTGATTAAAAGGTAAACACAGACCTAAAGAAAGATTAAATGTCTCGAATATATATTCATATAATTCTTTTTCTCTTTGAATTTTTGGTAAATAGATTCTACATATTTTACGTATTTATGACTAATAATTAACAATTTATTTTAGATGCCTAGAATAATTAACAACAAACAAGAACTCTTTACTAACTTTTTCCAAACTGCATCGCACCATCTCGGTGATGGGACTCTGCTTCAGCCTCTGCCTCTCCACTTCCATTTGCATGTGTGCCATCTCCTTGGCTTGTGCCAGGGCCATTCGTGCTTCAGTCTGCAGTCTAGCTTGACGTGCGAAAAAGTCCGCCTCGTCAACTGGCGGTGTGGAGTTGGCGCTCTCGAGTCTCAGAGACGGAAGACTCAACACCTGTGGCCTCATCGGCGCGTGTTGCTTCCCGCCGAGTTGCTTCGAACCGAGAGACGTGGGTGTAGATCCGGGAGATGTGTCGTTTTCTGACCCCGGGGACTCTGTGTCCGACGAGGTCTCGTTCATGAAGCAGATCTGGAGATTCATTCCTGCGCGAAATGAATCATGATTCATCGTTTAGTATTTTAATTGGATGAGAAGATGCAAAATAATTGGATAATTTAGTGATTATTTTTGACTCTCTTCAAGATTATTATCAGTATTTTAATAAAATATGAAGTACATAACTATGTGTGAGCAAGAATGAACATTACAAAAGCAACGTATATTATTTCCGCGTATATTTATTAATGATTCATGTGATAGACTATCGCTTGAAAATTAATTATTTATAATTCGCGTATTCATTATTTATTATTATATAAGAAGAAAATAAAAGTCAATTCTACGAACCACTTTGAAGACGCGATTGGAGACTTGGCTTTCGTCCACGTTCGGCGCGTAAATCCTCAGCATCAGGCCCCATTGCGAGTCTCCTTCTGATTTCCTCGCGATCGTTCCGTCGCTGTAAATATAAATATAAAAAAGAATAATAGATAATATTTTATCACATAAGATCATGAACTGATAATCCTAGATCTAAATATTTCACATGAATATATAATAATACACGCGCATAAAGAAGTAAAGAAAAGATGAAGAGATCTTGAAGAAAAGATATAGAAGAGATCTAGACATGATATTCTCACAAAGAATAATCTTATTATCTGGATAGGACGCGAATTCAAAGTTAAACATATATCTAAAGCATCTAAAGATTCAGAAATAAAAGATATTTAGTTTAATCCTACATGTCATAAATAAATAATAGTATCATAAACTTTGATATTTCTATATCGATTATTATATCGTTGCTGTCCTCTCGCTAAATTTTCATAAATCAATTCGCACCTGCAGATTGCAATCAGATTCACCACGTATGACCCTGTCGAATCGTGTAATCAGATCTTCTCTTTCGCTCTCCTTCGTTTCTTGCTCGACTGATATACTCGGTTCCGGAGGTTTATTCGGCTCAGTTCCTTTATCATTATCCTGATGCCACACAAATTAACACTTTTCGCTTTTATAATGCAATATACACGATATACGAGACAATAATTTGATGTTACCCTCTTGCGAAGGACGACAGATTCGAGAACGAGATGCATATTATTAAATGTATTAAACATATTATTACATGTTATGATAGTCAGAGGCAATATCTTTTAATTTCTTAATATCTTTGCAAAATTGTAAAACGCTATCAAAAATAATTTTTAAGAATTATTTAGTCGATGTTATAGAATTATTTGTAAGAGAGAGAGAACAATCTAAATTATATCTTAATTATATATATTATATATATTATATATAGTATATATAGTATATTATATATTATATATTATATATATATATATATAATTATATCTTAATTATATATATATAATTATATATATAATTATATATATAACTCAATTTAAATTATATATCTGTTCGTACAAAGATGTAATTTTGATTATAGATATTTCCTAGCTCAATGTTTAGAAGTGTATTAAACATGCCCAGCATCCTCGTACTCGAGTTTAATTACAGATTATTTGACAAATAAAACAAGATAATTACGATCGTAGCAAGGGAACTTGCTTCTACATTAAAAATCTGTTTGTTCATTAACACCACGATTTCCGTGACCCACTTTCACGCCTGCGTCGGTCCGGAACCGAACCGAATCGTACAGTTCGTCGACTTTTCTGTCGGAACGCAAGTAGGAATCGGACGAATTATTAAATCTGGCGCATCCAAGCCTGACACTAGACGTAATAATGCAATCGCACGTGCATCAGTCACGTGCAAACGAAACGCGCATGAGAAGACATTGTAGAAAATAGCGAGGTTTCCTTACGTTTGCAATTTTGACATATTTCTCATCACCTTGTGTTTGTATCACATTTGTTTGAATATAACTGAAAACGTTAGAATTTTTAAACATCGTTTCCGCACTTCTGACTCATAGAATAACTCGAATTAACATATCTTGTGTTAGAATTGTGGCGACATTTCCGTTTTTTTAGAGTGTCGAAATTAAGCGTGCTGCAATAATCATTCGCTGCTATACAATGACAAGTATAGAAAAACACTGTCAATGAAACATAATGGTTGAATGAGTCACAATATTAAGAATGGAAGAGTATTTCAATAGCAAAGTATTATTACTCTGAATCATTTTGAATCTTGAGACAATTTGTAAATAATTATTTGTAAATTATTTCACGACTGCTGATGGAACATTGTTGGAATATATTAAATAAAGTGTGCCTTTTCTCAACTATCATAACATTTTTCCGCAAAATTATCAGCGAAGTTATCTCCACTCTCTTTGAGTCAATATTATCGTGTTATTCAATAAAATGTAATTTATCTTTGCATTATTTTTATTATTTTTATTATTTTATTTTTTATTATTTTCTTTATTAGCCAAAAAATAAGAATGAGATTATATATTAATCGAGATGAAATAACGATGTAACTTAGATGTTTTCTCTTATACTATTTGAAGAATGTGGTAAACAAGATTCGAGAAAACAGGCGAAATGTCAAACTACAGAATGGCTTCGTGGATTTGTATCCTTTCCTGTCTAACAATAAGTTACATCAGATTTGCCAATCGTGAATTATTACACTGTCGCCCTTCATCCTTCACGATAAGCTTCCCTTACAAAATCGAGGTCGTTGTCGTAAGTGAACGTGTAAAGATCCGTGACGAATCTCGAGTCCTTCTTGTAGTGTTTGCGCGACTTGTTGCTGCTGCCCATGATCGCGCACCACCTTCTATCGCAAGAATTGGATTCGAATAAAAGTCTCCCCCTCAAGCAACCTTGTCCGCAGAGTCAAACTTTCTAGAGTGTATCTGATGATTTTCTTGTACAATTTCGCTCTTTCCACTTCATGAAATCGGCTTCTCGCGATCCGTGATCAAGTCGTCGATCGGACTTGAGGTCGAGATCGAGGTTGCTGAGGTGCTGCTGATCCCGAAGAAGAGTCGCGAGAAGATTTGCCTGCGCGCGCGCGAAACGAAGACGGCACCAGACTGCAAAGCGAGTCGAGCGAAATCCTTCGTTAAGGTTTGCTGGCCGCAAAGGAGGTGTTCAATGGTGATGGCGATGGTAGCAGTGGTGGTGGTGATGGTGGTGATGGTGGTGGTGGTCCTGTCTACCGAAGCCTAGCACCTAGGAAGGCTTCTCACAGAGACCCCCGGTGAAAGTGTTGGACAAGGATGTGTTGGCTCGTGTGTGTTGGCCGCGTTTCCGAGTTCGTGCAACTCGCGGAAAACGGGTGGAGAATCGCATGGGTCCCGATGGATAGTTTACAATAGCTCTCAAAGTGAATGATCTGATAGTGAAATACGTTCTTGTACTCGTCTCTTGTGCTCTCGTTGGATCTCATTCCGGAGTAAAATTTCCAAACGCAAGGAAGTTGATACACGATATACGTCTCGTTACCTCGGTTCTGCATCGTATTTCGATTTGTATTGCATTGTATGCCGTTGTCATTCATAGCATTAAAGTTGGTATACCCGGTAACTCGATAACTTTGCAATCTGATAACTTGACAAACTTAACGCCACGATACGAAAAGCGCACTCCTTTGGAAAATTATGCTAGGAAGCACAAAACAACGAACTATTTTGGACAGCAAAACGTGGGTCTCTAGTTAAATACTCTTCTTTTAAAAAATAAAAATAAAAAAATAAAAATTCCTTTGCATCAAAAAATATTAAGGACTAAAGATATGACACACTATAATCAAGCAGGAGAATCTCATTTAAATATTGATCTGCGAGAAAGTAGCGTAAATCAATTTCTAAAAATTTTATGAAAACATTTTTATCTCGTTCCAATCTGCTGTCTATTCTCATACATATTCTCTTTCTCACAGAAGCAGCGTAGATAATTGTGTATTTCGCTAGAGATAATTAGAGACATATAAAATAGAAAGTTATACATTCAATTTGCACAATCGTATTATGTCGTATTGCGTACTGGAAAGTCTAGAGAGTGATCTGTTGCACGCAGAGACGCTTTAAATTTAATGCACTATGCAAGCTGCATCGCGTTGCAACAAAAGATCGTTAAATCATCTTCGGGGTCGTGCGTAAAGCGTTTCGGTTGACCGATCATGCGTTACTTTTAACCTACGCGCGATTCAACATTCGGTGCACGATCCTCTCGATATAAACCAACAACGATCGAATTTTAATTTAAAAATTTAAATTTTGCAGGGATATTATTAATTTATTATTTTTATTTATATATTATTTATTTGTTATTTTTATTTATATATTATATATTTATTATTTTTATTTATATATTATTATTAATTTTGTTGTAACAGAAAAATAGCGTAACGTCTCATACAGCACAGAACAGTAAATTGCAGTAATATGCTGCAATGTTACAACAATATTAATAATATTTCTGCAATATTTGGTACTGTTTGGGGAAAGCACATAATTTTCACAATTCAAAGCATCGAGAAAATAATATAATTCTGGATGCATACAAAGTTTGAAACTTATTATTAGTTATTTATATTTCATCGCTCATGCACTTCGTCACTTGAAATCGCCAAACGCGTGTCAGGGTTTATCAATTGCGCGATACAAACCATCGCGTCTGTCGATATTAATAATCGGAATCTCTTTTTTTATTTTTCTTGACATTTTTAGTGAGTTTTTTTAATAAATTTATTACAGAAATTTTCGTGTAAATAGCAAGATAAGATTTTGTAGATTGCGTGAGAAAGGCAATTTTAGAGAAAATCATTAGAATATTTAAAGCCCCAGATGTTTCTTTGTATATCTTGTTACATGTCTGTTCTCGTATCAAAGACCTACATATGCATCCGCCCACTATGCATGCCCCCGCAAAGTGCATTCAGTTTCGCAGACGCGAAACTTTAGATATGCAAAATTGGCGCCTTTATCCGCTGTTTGCCAAACATATTCAAGAGTCAGCGGTAATTTGGGTGGATAGAATGTCGAAATACGTTAAGTAGAATACGCGTGAATGAACCGAGGACTTTCGTTGACCCGAGAACTTGAATTAATTTAAGCCTTATTTCTGTATAAGAAAAAGAAAGCGAAAGGAGATATTGGAAACCGATAAAATCGCGCATGGAACTATGTATGGAGAGATGAATTAATAGATAAAAATATACACAGAGTCGATTGAGAATCAAATCACACGAGATTAAGATTTAATTTCTAACATTCTTCGTGATAATTATTGTTGGCAAAGAAAATTGTTAATTACTCACCCGACGTTCCTCCTCGCGAGCAGCTCGGAGATGCGACTCGATCGCGTCTAGATCGATCTTTGGCATTGCTGTCTCGATGTTGTAAACGTCAAAGCCGCCTGTAACAGTGCACGAGCGCTAAACGTGAGAACCTTTTGCGGCATGAGAGGAAGGCATGACCGAAACAGCCGAACGGAAACGAAAAAGTACCGGAGCATCGCGTAATCTCGAGTGGTCGGTCTAAAATTTACGGTTTATCTCGTTCGATGCATCCGAAAAAATAATTAAAAAGTATATGTACCCCAAGTCTATCATTATGATTTTTATCGTGATTTAATATGAATTTTATAGATACTAGAAATTTAAAAGATGTGTGTGAATTAATGAGAAAATTTTATTAAAATTCTAGAATTTTATTTTAGCGTAAACTTTAACTTTGAGAGTTAGTTAATACTGAAAACCATAAACTTGTGGCATTGCAAAAAAGTACTTACTGAGATAACAATCTATTTAAGTCACTCACATAACTGTACGTAATGATTGTATGTAATTCGTCGGATACGCTGATAATGCAAATAGTAATTATTTTTCCAATTAAGTGAAAAACATTGCAGTTAATTACCGTAAAATGTGCCGTAAAGTATATTGCATTCGTATATTGCATTAGAAAGAGTATACATATGTAAAAAAATATATATGAAATATTCAAAAGAAATATATTCACGTTTATGACAGATTTACAAATATTCTGAAGCAAAAAGTAAAATAATCAATTGTAGAAACAAAGCTCAATATTTAAACATTAATAATTATAGTAAAGAAAACATTAGTCCGTGCAATCAAAAATAATATTTTATTAATAAGAAGAGACAATAATAGAGAGAGAGACAATAATAAAGAAAGAGAGCAATAAAATGCAAAAATAAAGTTAAAATAGGAATTGCAATAATAAAAGAGATATTAAAATGTCACGTAAAAATATATATGGAATATTCAAAAGAAATATATTCACGTTTATGACAGATTTACAAATATTCTGGAGCAAAAAGTAAAATAATTACAGAAACAAAGCTCAATATTTAAACATTATTATAGCAAAGAAAACATTAGTCGGTGCAATAAAAAATAATATAAGAAGAGACAATAATAGAAATAGAGAAAGAGAGCAATAAAATGCAAAAATAAAATTAAAAATAGGATTTTACAATAATAAAAGAGATAATAAAATGTCACGTAATCAAATATCAAGTAATCACCTGATCCGTCAATATCGGCCCTACGTTTATCAGGGCGCCTCTGAGAATTCGAATTTCGCGACTGTTGTTGCTGTTGCTGCTGCTGACGGCGCTTGGCCTGATTCTTGACCATCTTCTCCTTCTTCCGGACGTCCGCGCTGGACGCCTCCGGGAGCTCGCGGTCCAGCAGCTTGTTGGTATCCTCAATGCGATCCTTGATGACCGAGGTGGCTCGCGATTGACCGCCGCGTATGCTCTCGATCGACTCCATCGCGACCACGTCCGGCACCGGGGCGTACTTCTCGAAGTCGACGCCGATGTCGCGGCCGATGCTCGACAGCAGATCGATCTCCTCCAGCTTCGTGTAGGTCGGTCGTTCCTCGGCGAAGCCCTCGGAGTAGTCGCTGTTGCTCTCCGACTCGTCGTCGTCGGCCGAGCCGCCCGCCGACGTCGTCACCGGCTGGCGATTGCCTATTTTGGACCGGTCTAAGTGAGGCAACTCCTTTGCCTCGCGTATCAGGTCGATGTGCTCCACCGCGACGTCCTCTGTCTGCGTGTCCACACCGAGATCGTTTTCGTATTTAATCGACCGTGCACGGGAGTTAGATGGGCGCGAAACACGCCGGTGCGACAGGAAGTAGGATTAATCGGGATGGTGATTGTCATGCAAATTAAATGTACGCCAATGTTACAGGAATCTTGCGCTAAGATATTGTATGGATATTTTATGCTAATCAAGTATTAATTGTATAGACGAATAATATAATTAGCATGACTTAGGAATCAACAGAAGAGTTGGACAGATTTAACTTGTATCAGATTGTGAATACAAGATTGTTAGATGAGCGCAAAATTAGCTATTATGATAATAATTAGATTAATCAAAATCAGAACAAAGTAAGTAAGTACTGTGAATATTAATATTATTTAAAGCCAAAATTACAGATGAAATCATTTCTCTTCGGAAGTCTTTGTTATCGTTGCATAAATGTTTTTTTAATTGCATGTTACAAGACTCAAGTCGTCAAGAAAACCGCCAATTTGAGCTCACCTCGCTGATCTCGCTGGTCTTCCCGGAATCCAGGATTTCCTCGATCTCGGGAAACTGCAGACTCTCATTCACACTGGTGGTCAGCTCCACCAGCTCGACCTCGACGGGTACCTCCCGCTCACGCTTGTTCTCGAGGACCGCTCGGGACAGTTCGGGCGTCTGCTCGCTTACCTGGTCGGCCAGACCTTCCTCCCGTTCGTCCAGGAGCGTCAGGTGGGTCTCCGCCTCGACGACGCCGTTGACGACGACCTCCTCCGGCTCGGGCGACTGTGCCTTCTTCTCGGACCTAGAGACTTCCACGCTCTTCACGTAGTTAATGCACTTTTCCGAAGGCGGCACCACCGACTCATACAGAGAGGTCACAGTCTGGAACGAGAGAGACGAGAGCGGCGATGATGATGTCACGCGAGAATACTCTCGTAGGAGTATATTCGATTATTTTTACGCGTTGATAACTCGTGCCGGCTGTTCTCGTCCGGTTTTGTCAGTGACAAGTGTGACTTAGTCATAGAATGAGTTCGCGGGAGCGAGAATGATCAAGAATCGTGCGAATCAAATTGGTCCAATCTCTTTGCTGACGGTCCAAGACGCAACAGGATCAAACATCCTTAACTTGATAAGTAGACATCAATCAATCATTCATTATACATTTTCTTCGGAATTTTAAAATATTTATTTAAAATACTCGAAAAAGGAATATTTTCAAATATATTATTAATTATATTAATGCTGACGGTCCAAGACGCAACAGGATCAAACATCCTTAACTCGATAAGTAGAGATCAATCAATCATTCATTATACATTTTCTTCGGAATTTTAAAATATTTATTTAAAGTACTCGAAGAAGGAATATTTTCAAATATATTATTAATTATATTAATGCTGACGGTCCAAGACGCAACAGGATCAAACATCCTTAACTCGATAAGTAGAGATCAATCAATCATTCATTATACATTTTCTTCGGAATTTTAAAATATTTATTTAAAGTACTCGAAGAAGGAATATTTTCAAATATATTATTAATTATATTAATAATTATATTATTCCTTATAACTTGAATTATCAATAACAGTATTAATCGGCAAAAATGTACAATTTTTGAAATATTTTATTATTTTGCAAAACAAAGAGAGGAGGGATTTTTAAAGATATTAAAAAGTTTGTCACAAAAATAAAATTGTACACCGTCAAAAATATGTACAATTATCGCTTATATCAACAATCTTTCGAATCTACAATACTTTAATCTATAGATCCTCTCACATTAAAACTTGGGAGAACCACGAGTGTAATCTATTCCAAGCGTTCGATTACCTGTATATTAAACTTGGGTTTCTCGTAAAAGATCTTGCGGTCGTTGCGCTGACCGCAGAGATGATTGATGCTGTCGTCGACGTTGTTGTTGTACTCGTTGCCGTTCTCCGGGACTATCTCGGGATGGACACCGTAGAGGGGCGGATAGTCGGAGCAGCTGTCGTGCTCGTCCTCGGTCAGATCGGTATCCGACAGCAGGGAAGGCGCCAGATGCTGGAAGCCGGGATAGTTGGGGTTGACGATGCCGCGGCAGCCCGCAGGTAGATTCCCTTCCTCGGACCAGTCGGACCACTCGGACGGCGTCAGCTCGCGCGACGAGTTCTCGTGCGGTGAATTACGTCCTGGAACATTTCGCAGTCGCGATTCATCTCAATATTGCCCGGATAATTGAACGTCGTCGCATTAGATACTCGTGACTCATCGTCATCATCAGGCTCGCGTGCTCGTAAAAAGCGTTCGCGATGCGACCCACACACGAGATTCTCAATTACTCGGCACGCATATGTAATTCATCGTATTTGTATTGCATGAATAATTCGTCTGGTTTAATTAATTGATTGACAGCATGTCTTCTGAATATTTTTGGTATCCCATGGATAATCTGTTGCTAGATAGATATTATTGATTGTCATTGGGCAGATCATCGTGTGTTTATAAAATCTTTGATTAATAAGATTTATACAATTTTCGATTTCATACATGATTACTTGCATAAAGGCTGGTTGCATAGATTCTTGGCTTTGCAGACCGTCCTTTGCTCATGGATCTTTGGTTTTATGGGACAGATTATTATCTGAAGCTACGGGTGCTGTTTGAATATTATTATAGATTAATACGAATAAGAAATTTTTTTCTTGATTTCATATAAATTTTTCTATAAGTAGATAAATAATAAATTCTGTAAATTATTATTTTTTTTGGAACATATAATTTGTATTCTAAATTCAAATTCTTTTAAAATTAGATCTTTTCTTTTTAAATTAGATTTTTAATTAGATTTTTTAAAATTAGATTTTCAATTTAGATTTTAAATTAAATTTTAAATTAAAATTGAAATTATTTAAATTTATTCTATGCATATATCCTTTATATCAGAATATTAATTCCATACATTAATTCTACAAATTTTTATAGATAATTCCACACACGGTTAATTTCATATTCTGCTCGAAAGTAATTTTTTGGGAATTAGCATCAATCATAGATTTTAAATCCTTGATAAAAGCAATGCAATAGTCAATATAAATTCAATTTTTTGCAACAAAATAATTATCACGTAAGCTAATTATCAACCCAATAACTGCCAATAACTTTGATTGAATTAAAAATCCCTGCTCTTTACGGATGATGGTTAATGTCAAGGATGCACGCGCGCGTTATTAATGGCATTCAACGGAAAATATCGAAGTTCGCTACGCTTCTGCAACGAAACCTTCAAACACCATTGCTTTCCAATAAAATCGCGGACATCAATATAGGGTAGCACTTAAAACAAGAGCTTGAAAAGTAGGCCAATCCATTGTTGATTCAACGGACATAGAGATCTATATTAATGGATCTAATGATTCAGAGATGTACGTCCATCTATTACACAGATATTTCTCCAGTGAGTTTATTTTATCATTTTGCTTTTTTCTCAAACATTTTTTCTCCTTACATTTTATCAATTTTTTAATTAATTTTTTTTTATCATTATACGTAACTTTACGAATTAAATATAATTTAATTATATTGTAAGGGAAACTACATTATATGTGCCATTACGTGTGCCTCTTCAAGATTAAATCGTGCATGGAATAATTCAGGACGAAGGAGCTCACCTTCGCAATCGGTGAGGCTCTCGACGGAGCTGTTCCTTCGTATCCTCGACTCGATCGGATTGTTGTTTACATTGGCGGATTGCTCTTCGATTGTGCCTAACAATACAGATCTCTTACTTACACGTTACTTTTTCCCGTTTTTTTTAGATCCTCTTTATACTATCGACTCTCTTTCTCTGAATTTATTTCAGAGATTTTTCACATCTCTCTAATTTAATTAAATTGCATAAGAAAATGTATCAGACACGACAAACGATATGCATCTATTATTGAAATTCCCTTAAATTATTGACGTGAAAATATAAATGACATAAATATTAACCCAAGGTATAATAAAAAAATATCTTATCGAGAGCGTAAAATAAAAATAACTCTCGCACACGAGATACAAGTCGATATCTGATAAAAAAATAATTCCGCAAATATTTGTATATGAAGCACGAGAGGAACATTCGGAGGGTAATTACTCCCCCTGTTTTTTACTTCGAATCGATATATATATATTTGTAGACCCCAATGCTCACCCTCGTAATCGGCGAGGCTCTCGACGGAGCTGTTCCTCTGTATTTTCGGCTCGGTGAGATTATTGTTGACGTTGGTGGACTGCGGATTGCTTTGCTGGACGTTGTCGCGCGCGATCGCCAGGGAGGACCACGTGGTGGTGTCCTCGGCCAGCCGGAAGTCCGCCGACTCGTCGACCGGCTCCCGGGTCGCGTTCTCGTTGCGATCGCCGGCGATCTCGCCGGCGCCGATCGGCTCGGGCCTACGGAGCTGGCTGCGAAGCGAGACCGAGAAATGAGTCCAGGTGGATCGATACTACCGTTGCCGTTAGGTATAACACTCGGGTTTGCCGATGCTCGCCGAGGCGGTATAGGCGGCAGCACGCCTACGAGGCCGCCTCGGATCAGACGTTTATATTTAGCGCCGACTTATAACTAGGAACTGATCAGGCAACTTTGTCGCAGTCGGGTAAATATTATAGTAATTGATTAATGCAGTCTGTATGTGGCACAACCGTTATGCATCTCTTACATGTGTGTTGCAGAATCTTAAAGAGAGGATAGGTGCAAAGGATACATGCTCACTATAAATTGGGATATTATTAATAAATGCTAATTAAAATTAATAACGTAATAAAGTTCACCGAGGTGATCGCTAGGTCAATTTTTCACAGATGAAAAATAAGTGTCAAATCAAAAACTTATATACCTAAACTAACGCGTTCATTGTTTCGTATATACGCAACAATTTATAATCTTCTTAGAAGAATTGAATAATTTTAAATTTCAATAATTATATAGTCTTATTTTAATATTGTAATTGTCATGTCAAGAATATATAATTATTTAATTCTGTTTTTAGAAAATTATAATCTTTGATTTAAAAATGTTATTTTCTATCTAGCATTGTTTCTTTTCCATTCAAGAAAATTAAATCTTAAATCATAAGAATATATTTTTCTTGATTAAATTATATAAAATGGCTTCATTCAAGTAAGCAATTATTCAATCAATTATATTTTTCTTTAATTAATGCGATATAATCTCATTTCAAGATTTCCATGTTAAAACTAAATATATTTTCAAAACAAGAATGTCCTTTTTTTCTGTCTTCGTTTCGGTTAAAAGTATTAATTACGGTTTAATTTCTTAATCATTTGTTGGAAATGAAAAAAATCATTTTTAAAAGCGATGCGCTTTTTCTTACTTTTTGTATCATTTTTTTATCGTCAAAGGAAAGCTATCAGCTCAGGAAAAATACACATATGTCCTAATCATAGATTCTTTTCCTAGAGTTGAAAAAAGATTGTGAATTAATCGAGCATTCAAAGTATAATTGTAAAGAATACAAATGTGATAAAAATAAAATGTATTGATAAAAATCGGTCATTAAAATCACACAATGAGGATTAAAATTAACACCCACGCTCAAAAACACGTTACGTAATATGGAAAACGAAGGCAGGGGCTTCTTTTCGCAAACGCTCCGGCACGTTCCGTCTTTCTTTTCAGGTTTTCAATTAGGTGATCATTATCTCCGCACGTGATCGGCCGGCCATCAATTAACCGCCTTTCGTGCTCATCTCGTCAAGATACTTACTTGTTGTTCAATCCTCCGGGATGCAACGGCACCGAGATCGAGACGGATTCCCTGAGCCGCATATCGATTCGTCGTCTGAAAAAGAATACGAAATACGGCCAGCTTAATTCACCGTCTCCGGGAGAAGAGGAGTCTTGTGTTCACCACCGACACTAATTTCCTCTCTCTCGAGAAAGCGAGAGGGAGAGAAGAGAAGGAGAGCGCGCGGAAGAGAGCGAGATATCTTCTTCCCGATCGCGAAACGATAACGTTGGAGAAGCTGCCAATCGAGAACGAGTTGCGACGGAGTCGCGAATCGATCGTACGCCACGCTCTCTCCGTCTCCGGCCGGCATTCGCGAGGCTACCGAGGGTAAAAGGGAATGGGACTCACCATCCGCCATGTTGAAGCCGTGCGCAAGGGTGCTCGCGTTCAACCCCGCGGTTTATCGACTCACGACCGACACCCTCGTTTCACCCTCTCCGGCCCGCTCCCCCCTCCCTCCCTCTCCTCTCTCTCTCTCTCTCTGCATATGTACAGCCCTCTACATGTTCGCCACCCCCGCTCCCGCGATGCCAGGGACGATTTTACATACCCGAGCACCCCAAGAACGCCCTCAACAATTCACTATCGTTGAATTTATTAATGATGGATGTTGTTTCTGCGTAATTTTTTTACCTACATTCATCTTTTCGCATATTACATAATTTTTTCTTCTGTCTAGATATGCATCAGAAATATGAAAAAATCAAGTTAAAAAATTTTGGAACAACTTCGATTGCTGTAATGATTTAAGAGAAATTATGAAATTTTTATAGATAAAAAATTCTCTACAGAATGATCTATAATAGATTTTTATCAAAAAGTATAATTTAAGTTTTTTTACTAATCTAAAGAAAAATGAGAGACATAATAATTATGATAAAAATGTATGCTTGTACTGCGAATGACGCAATTGATTTTTTTGTTACCCCCTGGAACCGGCACTGTCGTCTGCGTAGTGTCATCTCCGTCTCGCACGTGCGCGTCAACCCCTCAAGTAGCTTGAAGCAAGCCCCTTAACCACCCTCATCTTGTTTTCCAACCCCCCGAGTCTTCTTTCGCGATGTGCATCATTCTTCCGCGTGTCCAACGTATATAAGAGCAAAATCATTGAGAAATGGTACTTTGGCGACTTGCCAAAAGAGTTTCGCAATTTTCATTTTATATAGTAGGCATGAATAATTATATCCGCATTAATTCCAGCAACACAGCAATTAACTGGCCTTGAGAAATCAATCTCAGGTTTTTTTAAAGATTCGTTTGTAAAATATTTTTCGATAGAAAATTCAGGGCACATTCTACATTTCTAAAATTTAATTCGTACATTCCAAAAATTTATATAATTTTATATTTAAAATTTAATTTGTTATGCACAAAAATGTATAAATTCCAGAAATTATCTTATTCTAAAATCTACGTTGAAAAGGGATTTTTAATTTTCATTTGTAATTTATCTACAAATTATAAAATTAATTCCATACATTAATTCCACGAAAATGTTTAGATTTTAAAGAGACCTAGTATATTTAAAAAAAATATTACAAGTACATTTTAGAAAAATATCCCTCAATTTAAAATTACAGATTTTGCAATTCGTATTTGGAATTTTTCATTTCTTTAAAGACTGTCTTCTCAGTGCGAATTGATGACTTCGCAAGTGCGTTACTGGCGTAATCACGCAGAGTCACGCGTCGATCGATCGTCTCGTCGAGTCTTGTCGCATCGTTCGGCGCCGCTCTCTCCGTCTCGATGTCTGTCGCATTTTTATACACGCACATTGCCGTTGGCCATTAACGAGATGCATTTTACCGGATGCATCACTGCGTTTAACGCTTCGAGATCCTCCTGATCGCGAAGCGATCGTACGAGATGTTGTGATGCGCACGCGAGCGAAGAGATATACAGTTATTTTCGGTCAACTGTTGTTATAGCACCGAGAACCAGTTGATCGCAGGGAAATTTTAAGAAAACGATCGAGGAAAAATTGGAGAAAGTTTATAAATCATATAGAATTGAATGGAGTAATTTGTTTAGAGCTGGAAATAATTAAAACGATACAATCCGCGCCTAATATACTTTGATAAGAAATTTAATAGTTATTATTTCATAAAAGTACGATTTCACAATTATTAGATGAATATCACTTACTGGATATCGTGTGAATTTCATTCTTACATTTTTAAATTCTTAGAATAATTATAGAAAAATCAATACATTGTTTCTCCCGATTCTCAACTATTTCAAAATTATTTCATTCGAATTTGCATAACTCTCACTGATTTATACATCAATTAAAGTTGTATAATAAATAATCATTCTTATTATACTCTTTGAAAGCTATAGAAGTAAAATTGTATCGATACATTTGTTATAAATTTGCGACTTGAACAAAAAATGAATCGATATATGTATAATAATCACATCACTTTTCAAAAAGAACTTAGGAATTTATCGGATTGAAATATGTTGAATTTTTTTAATAATAGTACGTTTATATTTGCAATTTTAAAAGTATTCTGTAAAAGAAATAAAGGTCATTTTTAAATAATTCATTAATTTATTATTAAAAAGAACTGGACCCCAACTGGTCCACGATTAATGCATTTTAATATTAGAATATTAAATATGAAAATCGCTAATTAATATCATTTAGCGTAATTCTATGACTTTTTCTTCCAGTATTCGAATAATATTGCAAAATATGTCATTAATCATTATTGGTATATATAAATATATCATTCTAGTAGTATCAATAATTATCAGATGATAACGAAAAGAGAGGAGACTGCATTTTAAAACTTTGGAAAAATTAGTGCATCTCTCACATATAATTTTAAATACGTCGATATCAATTAGTATTCTCTGATCGATCGGATAATTATAAAAATAAATGTATCTAAGCAAGAAAAGAAGATTGACGCAAGCGGGACTGATTCACATGATTTTCAGGCTACGTCAATTTTTCAAAAAATAGCGATGCAACGCAATCGCGCACCTCCATTGTCCTAATATATTTCGTGTACTTGTAAAAACTCGTGTGTCACTTACGCTTTCAAATCGACAGGACGCAAGAGGCTCTCCTCGCTCCCCTTCGACGTCTTTGACGCGCTGCCTCAGGAGTCTCGCATCCGCCGTGACGGAAACTGACGGAAACGTTGCACCAAGTGTACAGCACTTGGATATGTGTACACGATGAGCGAGAGCCGGACGCTACGCTGTGACTCACTCGTAGAAATGCAAAAGGAAGCGCAGTGATGCGTTTTCATGCGCGGCGCGAACCAAAGGAGACTGCGAGGCCACGGTGTCGGCGTTCAATGTCCCTCTCTCTTTCTCTCTCTGTCCGATGGATATCACTCTCTCGTTTCGACGAACGTTTTTGTCTTGGTATCCCTCTCGCACGCCCCCTCGTCGACTTCACCCTTGGTGACGAAGAGAACGCAGGCGCAAACCCCTCTTTGCCGTTGGGGTTGCTGACTCGCTTTGTCCTCCTCGTTTCGTGACGCAATCTCGTCGAGAAAGAGAGGGAGAGGCACTCGTCAATTATCGGTTCGATGGTCGATTTTGATTTGAGATGGGAGAACCGAGAGAAGACTGACATATTGTCGCGCACGTCCTATAATCTCGCCTCCTCCTCCTCCTCTTTCTCCCCGCCGTGAGTGAATTAATAATAAAGTACTAGGAAATTCAATTCGCATTTATAGATAATGCAAATTTTAAATAAAATTTATATATCGATTTATCTTGATATTAAATAGGTATAACGCAGCTAGATACTTTTAGCGCTCAGAGGCTGCAAAAATAGTCGTCAAATAGTCTGAATGAAAAGTGATTTACAGCAGTGAGAATTGATTAGAAACATTTATATATTTCATCATCAGATGTATAGATATAATCCTAGCATTATATAACGTTTGAAAATAATGTATATATATTTTGATAAGTCATAAGCAACAATCGTTGTATTATTACAGTATATTGTGTAATAATTTTTTTTTCTCTTAAAAAACAAGACTTATACATACTGTATAAACATATATAAATGAAATATTTAAGTACTGAAATATTTAAATTTATTTATCTTAATTTAAAACTGTACAATTTATAATTATTATCAGTTTATTAAAGCAAATGTTATAATTAAATTGAAATATTCTATTATAATTTATATGTTATTTTTATAATATCACTCATCATTAGTGTTGTATTCCTCTATTCCTCTATTTACGTCTATTACCACCGCCGGCCAATATGGATAAGATTCGCACAAAGATGTTAATGGTGTCCAAATAAATCGAGATTGCGCTATAAAAATAAAAATAATATTAATCTTATATAATAAAATGATTCTTATAAATATCTATATAAATTATTTTATGTGATAAAGATATTTTATAAATCATGTTTTATGCAGAAAATATATCATTAGAAAAAAAATTATCCAATATTCCAATTTTAAAAAAGTATTTAAAATCACACTTCTATTAATATTTCTAGAGAAGAAATTAACATTTGCCACCATAATCTTGAATAGAATCCTTTATATATTTCATGCTCCTCAATTACTTACTTATTAATAGGATCATACGCTGCTCTGCCGTGAGTGTTGTACATCGGATACGTTTCCGCCTGCTTGATAATCCTTTGAGTATCATAGAGTAGAAATCCAGAAAACAGCAGGAGACCGCCATAAAGCGCTATGGAGTGCAATCCCGAGCCGAGGATAGTCGTAGGTGGAAGGAACATGGAACCCAGCGAGCTGACAAACACCACACCTAAACCGATAGCGAGTGGACCACCCATAGCTAGAAACTTATCACTAGGCGCGCAAACTGCAACCGCTGACAAGCCACCGACGACACCGGCGGTGTACCAAGCCGCTCGGAGGACCAACGGTCCACCTAGAAGTGATAAGGGTGCCAAAACGGCGCCCACGATGCCAGTGTGCACCAACCAAGCCATCTGCTTTGCACCGAATCCTTCCTTATACGGAAGTCCCTGCGCAATCATGCCGCTGCCGATCATCGCGGCCAATGTTACGCCCAGAGCGATCCATCCCTGGCGCATCACCATATTCATCACAGCAGGAGAACGTAAACACATAGCCGCGGATGCTGCACTGGCCGCGATGGACGTGCCAAAGTACATGTAAGTAGATTTCACTCTGTCCCTCACGTATTGGGGCCATAAGCTATGTGAAAGAAAATAATTCAAAGTTTTATTCATGTTATTAGTACTAATTTTATTTGAATTAAATTAAAAATTTTTGATACAAAATAAAATGCATATTATTCTTATATTGATATTAAATTTTAAACTTTAAAAAATTAGATTTTAAACTTTAAAATGATATAATATAGAGACAATATATATTATATAATTGTATCGAAAAGCAACCTAGAATCTACAGTAGATGAAAACTCCAAATTCAATAATAAGCCTTTTATATTTTTATTAAACATTAAAATATCTTTTAATATAACAAGTTGCATACCTTGCGTGATCTATGGCACCTGTTTGTGAAGAAAGACCCAATCCATAATAACAAAGAGCACCTAATCCTATTACCGCTCCTCCAGCAACTGCTCCTTTTCCAATATTAAATGCTGTGGACAAAAAGTACTGTCAACAAACTGTATAAACACAATCCGAAAAACAAATTTGTTTTAACACTGTTTACTTAGAAGATCTTATCATTAGTAAGTTAGCTAAGAGATTATTTTGTACAAGTCTTACACACATAAATATATTGAAGATGAAATTATTCGGCTTACCAGTTTCACCAGCTGGTGCCATCGCTTGCTCCGCTGCGGTTGCTCTCCTCCTCGCGGTCCTCGTGTAAGAGCTACGTCCATCGTTAACGAATAATCTCGCAATTTGACCCTTGGAGAACTGCGGTGTCGTCGATGCGACCGGATTCCTGACGAAGGACGTCAAGCCTGGTGAGACACCAGCTCGACAGATTCTCGCTGCCAACAACATCCTGCTCCTTTTTTAATATCCTTGTGCGATTAATTGACAATTCTGTTGATGAAATAAATGTTTATCGTTACAACAGCGTATATATGCGTCGTTATAACGTATACGCCGAATTTAGTTTACGTGGAAATGTTTCACGATGAAATTTTGAAGGTTCAAGGAAGAGATCGAAAGCAGTCGTTCGTGGAGAACAGGCGAAAAAAACGCGTTGAAAAAATTCTCGTGATTTACTCACATGACGCAATAGCGATGCGATTGTTTCCCCGAACCCGACGATCAAAACAGAACGACACAGTTAGCTGGCGCATGCGAAACTGCGACGATCGATCGAGAGCGATCGCGAGCGGTGTCTCCCACGTGCTGCGCAATATGTCACGTGGGCGCGATATGTTACAACGAAATTTCTCGATAAGAATGCGTTCGGGAATCCTACTCGTGGAGTGGAGTAGCGTCGAATTGACCAATCAGGATAGAGAAATTTTTGCTCCCTTTGTCTTGATTGGCCAATTGAGCGCTATTTGATCCTAGGGGTAAGATTTTCGAATGCATTCTCACGGATGATCGATGTATAAATATAGCTAAATAATTGAAATAATTATCAATTGCATAAGAAGACAGAAGCATTAGATAGCATTATAAGAAGGCAGAACTGGAAACGAAATGTTTCAATATTAATCTGTAAAGTTTGTAGTTAAATTAAAATGTTTAGCAATTATTCTTTGAAATGAATTCTCTGTCAGACACTTCGAATTTATAATTCAATTTTAAGGAAAAGATTTACATATATAAAATATATTGAAACATTTTGACAATTAAATCTAAGATTAAAAATTTAAGAAAGTAAAATTGAAAAATTTTTAACTCTTCTCATATAATTCATTACAGTTGATAATTTATCACTATTAAATGTTTAATGAAAAAATTGTTTGTACTTATAATTAATATGATAATTATACACTCATGCTTTAGAAAGGAGAAAAAAAATAAATATAACATAAAAGAAATAATTTAAAAATTGATTATAATACTAACTGTTACATATAATATGTATTATCAATAATTTATTCTTGTTTTTTTATGTATATCTTTAACAATTTAAATATTGCTTAAATAATATAGACGTTATATCAAACGCATTTAACTATTAGGCAAACAAAAATTATTTATACACTTGTGTGAAAAAAAAATAACTCTTTCCTCATCTCTGTAACTTTGTCAGCATCTAAATTTAATTAATGGAAAGCGATAAAATTATCAGCAATAAAATTAAATGCATTTTATTGTCGTTTTCCAAGCATATACTGTTTAAGAACAAAGTAAGATTCAGCTTTGTTAGGATAGAATATAGATGTATTTTACATATTTAACGTATTCGAAGAGACGCGATCACTCTTGAGCACGTTAAGCTAAGGACTTAATTCTATAAGATACAGAGAAAGAGAGTTTGTTGACGCGTATGCATGATATTGTGCAATAATGTTACGATAGAATGGTAACTACGCGTGCCATTTGTGGGATAACTAAAACACTTCCAATCGTTGTCTCTTGAGAGCTTCCCGAATAGAATCCTAGTCCATCCTTTTCTATTCTTTTATGCGAAATATGAGAAAAGTCTTGCAGATGCTGTAAAACAGTAGTACGGGCTGGAGCTTTATCTCTGATCAATTCTCTCTTTTCTCGGTTTTGGAAAAATTATACACTTATGAAAAACAATACTTCTTTCAAGATTCTTATGCAACGTAGATACATTACACTTTATTGCTTTCGTGTTACGTATTGGTCATTTATTCGTTGTTTGAATTTGGATTTATTTTCAATTTATATAATTTTTACTTAATAATTTAATATATATATTGAAAAAAGGAAGGTAGAGAAAAGAATGATTAATCAGAGATATTGCTTATGCAATGCGACTGTAAATTCACAGCGAACATCTCGCAAATGTCACGAGCGGAAGAGCATCGTAATAGAACAAATTCGAGTTCTCTTAATTCCTCGGAATGTTAATCGATGACATAATTTTCGTGATATGTAATCCAATGTATCGACTGAAATAATTCTTAAATTTCAGGTCGCCTGTGATTGTGACTTAATAATTTTTTGAGAGAAAAAATTTTGGAAAGAGTTATACATTTACACAGTCCGGCTTGCCAGTAGAAATCGAGCCGGCCGAGGACGAGGCTGAATGTCTTCTAAGATAGCCGGCGAATAGTTGTCTCGCCTGATTAAGCACACGGATCACATTGTGACGGCGAATCATCTTGTCAAAGTGCATCGCCATCTCGTTGTAATCCATCTGATTGCGCATAACAAAGTCTCGGTGCTGCAGCAGAAGGGTGATACATAGGAACATCAAAAAGGGGTTGCCGCCGCCGAATTCGTGCGGAGGGGGCAAGGAGTTTTCACCCAGCTGATCCTCGCTCGTTCCCGCAGGTATGAGATTGGTCAGTTCAGTCACTTCCTCGCATTGCTCTTGAATAGACTGTTGCTGCTGCTGCTTTGTCGGACTCTCCGATACAGGCGGATTTTGATGCCAACTCTCGGTTCCTTCGCTGTCTGAAGCCGACTCGGACCTCAAATATAAACAAAGCATTTTGATAAAAAATGTAAAAGATACTTCTCTATCATATACAAGTTTTGTTTTAGACCACCCGTACCACCCATTTAAAAACTAGAGAAGTGGTTTCAAAAAAGTAAAAATATTTTCTTTATAAATCGGTTGGAAATAGGCTTCAGAACGGAAGTGCATTTTTTTAAATGGAACCCCCTATTTTTCATTGCATATTCTTGTAGCTTACCTCGAGAGCTTTTCAAAACACTATAAAAAATTATTTTTTCATGAAGTACTTTTCGAGTTATGAGGCTTGAAATCATTTCTTAATTTTACATAAATGGAATTGTTAATTGCAAGTTACATATTTTTTCTTAAAAACAACTATGTGTTTTCTTTACATCAATTGATTCCTCTCATTATTTTGTACATAAAAGTATTAAGGTAAGATAATCGAAAAATGAATATTTTACAAGATATTTTATGATTTATGTAATCCTGTATATTAGCATCGATTTTCTTTTATTTTTAACAATAGGATTTATATCCACACATTTGAATTTTATTCATTGCCTTCAGACTTAAATCTTTGCAAACGAAAGTGCATACACATACCTGGTGGTACATTTGAGCAATCTGATCGGCGTAACGGATTTTACACCGTTCTGATCTTCCAAAATTTCACCGTCGTACTCCAATTCCGCCTGCTCGTCTGGAGTCGTAGGATGATGCTTTTGTTGTAATGTGTGTAACGGATTCTCCCATACGAAGACATCCGCCGCTGGACTGCATCTCGCCAATTCCGTTTCGGTTTCGCTCTCCGGTAAGTCACTTTCTCTTTTCGAGAGTACACAATCGCACTGTAGCTCGCTAGGCGGCGAAAGTCCAAACACTTGTCGATCCAACGATTCCAATTCCAGTCTTAATTCTCTGGTCATCGACGTAGTCATCGGAAAAAAATCCGTGGAATCGTCCGGCGAGCTTGGTTCGTCCCTCAACACTCTGATGACGCCGCTTTCGCTCGAGACACGTCTACAATGATGAAATATAACACTTTCGAATCGTCCATTCTTACAAAATATGATTCAGTTTCTACGGATATCTTGATGAAAAATTATTATTACCTGAGTTCAGGCTCGGCATCGCTTGGCGTAACTTTGCTACGATTAAGGCTAGTGAAATTCAAGAATTCGTTCAGATTTTTTACCACTCGCGCACATTTCTTCTCAGAATTATCGCTTTGCTCACTGTTTTTAATTTCTTTGTTAGAAGACAACCTGTCTTTCAATTCGAGAAGATTCGAACGTTTCGATTTAACTGGAATAGAATCTGTACTTAGGCACTTTTCCGTCGACTCTGTATTCTTCTTGTTTTTTGTACTCGTGAAATCGTTTTCCGAGTCAGAAAACGCTTCGTACGGCGAGTTGGATCTGAAAGTATACATTTTATTAATAGAATTAAAACCATTAAATGCATAATTTTTGATTAACGAGAAAAAGAATAAATAAAAGAAATCTATTTACTGCAAAATCGAAGAATATTCGTATTAGTTTGTCTACGAATATTTCTGACATTTCCATCTAAATCTTTCTTCATCTACATCTTGCATAAATCCGTTTGAACTTTATATTTTATTCGAAAAACGTATTTTTATAGTTTCAAATAACTTCAACTATTATGCAATTATGCAAACAAGAAACCTTTTCGTTTCTCCATTAATCTCGGTAGCTGATTGTTGAGTCGAGTCCTCCATGCTGAGGGTTTTCCGTTTTATGCTAGCGGCGATACTGGCCGAGGAACTTTGTCGTCTGATAGCGCAGACCTTAGTATACGCGTTCTCACGGATGTGCTTCACGTTTGGACTCGGCGGCGGTGACGGTGGCGGAAAAGGCACCTCGGCAAGACTCAGCTCGCCGGTTGGCGGTGATGCCGGCAAAGCAGCCCACAGAACCTCGAGCATTCTAAGCGCATCATCCAGTGCGAACTCACGCTTCATTTCCAACAACAGCCAACGGTAGCAAAATAGTAGATCGTCCGCTTGATGGGACTTTAAGTACGCATAAAAGTCGGGGTCGTAGTGCTGAAGACCTACGAGGAAAATCTCAAAGATATAAGACTAGAACTTTACAGAATAGACGAGTGCAAAAACATGCATTTTTCATGATTTCTTACCTTCTGCAAGATGAGCAAATTTGATGGTCATAGCGATACCGTCGAGCATAAAATTATCCTTCAATCTTCTCATTAGAGCGCAGAGGCAAATATAGGCTTGAGCTTCGTCTCGCATCGTGACGAGAAGGGGCGAGGCCAAGTCGCTCATGCCCTGGCAGTAACTTACACTCGGGTGATTTAAAGCGTACGTTGTCAAAATGTTGAAAAGACTCGCCGTGTTCTGATTGTCGTCTGAGCCGCCGTAAAATTTGTGATGCCTATCCGTTCTGAGGACGTCCTTCCTTACCATACCGGTAACGTAGCCGAGATCGCCGACGTTCTGACCCTTTTGCACCAGCACGCGCCACCGTTCGCGTAAATTCTGATATTCCTGCGCCTTTCGCTTCATGTAATCCATCCGCTCGCGACCCGACATCCCTTCCGGATACACATTCAGAATATGTTTCCAGACCACTTTACGCAGGCTGGGTTCGATTCCGCCAAAATAGATAACAGCCCTCAAATCCTTGGAGTGCACCACTTGGCCGATTGGATCCAAAAATCGGCGAAACTCGGCGTCTGTTAACGGCGGTCGAGGAGGATGAACATTTTGCTGATGAGACGATTCCTCGCCCAAGTTACCCAATGCACGTTGCACCATATTTAGCGTTCTTTCCATCTGTGACGAAAAATTAAACGGGAGATAGGATACACCAAACAACTGTAATAAAAATAATCATAACAAAATAATAAAATAATAAAATAAAATAAAATAATAACAAGAAAATCTCTCTAATAATTAAATAAGAGAAATAATAAGGAAAACCATAACAAAATAAAAAATAAAAAAGTAACAATAATATTTTAATTATAGTAAACATTCGTGTCATTTTTAATTGAATGAAAAGTATTCACTATGGGATTAATTAATTTTCCAAATTCAATCCTTTCCGATATTTCTGGAAAAATATCAGGCATCTTTGTAATATTTTCAATATTGTCTCGTAAACTGATATCAAAGATGCAATGGCACTTGCCTTATTCATGATAAGACCAGGCAGTTTTGGCGTTTTGTAAGGAAACCCAGTTTCCTGCTGACGTGTCGAAACTTCTTGTACATTTTGCTCCCAGTAACACTCGCAGTCTCCAGTTTCACCAAAAGGTTTTAGATTTACTTGTAAGTAGAGGTATGGCTCAGACGCGCTAAAAGAACTCATGTTAGATTAAAAAAAGTGCTTATGTTGTACTTATCGAGATATATATATATATATATATATATATATATATATATACATATTATCTGTCTAATATTATTAATGTAATGTAATCTATGATAATCGATCAACTGTTCAATCACCTGATAAACGCTGCGTCCAAGTCCCAGTCCGAAAGTAAGAACAGGTATGTTTCAGAGCCATAGTCATCGATCGCTCGATACGAAACGGTAAATTCCCTGCGGCACGCGAGCGATTTTTACGGCGTTCTGCTTAATATTTCATGACGCGACAAACACGATAAATTCAAGGAGGTTTGCACGTTTTTAATTTAAGAAGCTCTTTTATATAAAAATGTTAAGTGATATTTTATGTCTCTAAATGATTGAATAATAAAAAGTAGCACATACATAATACATACATCTTATGTAATTATTTTATCATGAATGAAAAGAGAATTATATTTGATTTTAAAATATATTATAGATTAATATTTTAGAGATTAATTATTACACATTTATACATTAATATTTTTTGAAATATTTATATTTTACATTAATGTTTTATATATGTATCTTTTTTTGTTTTGCAATCAGCTCATGTATTAATGAATTATATCTTTTTAATATCCATCTTATCTTTTTCAAAAAATAAGAAGATTGTTTTCTTAAGTTAATTTGTGAATATATAATATACATAACATCTTATATAGTTCATCTTATATAGCTTTGCCCATTATAATAGAATTATTTAAATGTCATCATTAAATTTTATTATATTAATGTGACTCACCCTTTTATGTCAAAAGCTTTGATGAGAATACTCTGTAATACTTCTATTGATGTTATTTGAGGATCTACACTAAATTTCCGGTATTCAGGTTGGTGTCTGGTTTCACACTTCTAAAGCAGGAAAGATACAAAAATTGCATTAAAAATATAAACAAAAATTGCATTAAAAATATAAACAAATATTGCATTTAAAATATATGCAAACTAATACTTTTTTCAATTTCTTTTTAATTAATTTTTTATAACTATATCATATATTATTATGTAATTACTTGTAATTACTTTATTATTATATTTTAAATGTTTACACTCAAATAATCTAAACCACTTGTACTTAAACTATATAAAAATCTCTGTCTTTTTATCATTTTGTCTTATTAAAAGAAGAGATTTATTTGTTTCAATATGGAAAGTTGGAGAAGAGGAAAGAAAAATTCCATTATACCTTCACTTTGACGCGCACAGCCTCTCTGGAACAACCAAACATGTTGTCACTGTATATTTTTTTCTTTTCCAAATAAATGTGATATTTCACAATAGATCTTCAGCCATCATGAGTCTTGCATATTGCAATTTTCAATTTCTTCTATATGTTCATAATTCATGTATGTTTCATCAAATTTGAGTAAAACTATCGTAGCAGCGAAACCAACTAAACTGAAAAATTGATAGCACAAGTTCAAAATAGCACCACCGTAATTAACGCACATTGATAAGGCAATATATCAAATAATAGAAAAAAATATTTCTTGCTTAGAAGAGTATTAATTTTTATAATAAAATAATCTATAAAAATATATATATACACATTAAAATAAATTATGAAATATCATTAAACCACAAATTATTACACAACAAAATATCAAAGTATATTCAAAAATTTGCTAATCGAGGCTCGAAAATTTCGTCTTACATGACACAAATACTAAGAATATATTTTCTTGTAGCACACAAATAAAGTTTACTGCAATTAGTGAAAATAGATGGAACAATCAATTTTATTCTTTGCCATAAAATACATAGCAATGTAATAAAACTATTTATAATTAATTATAATTAATTATAATTAATTCCTCATTATTATTTCTTCTTTACTGTTATCGATTCGTCAGAATTATTTGACACTTTCCGTCCTCGATTAACAAAGACCATGCGATATAAATATTAATAATTACTGCGACAGGCTGTGTATATTCAATCCACGGTGCCCACACCAGAGTGTAATAAAATACACTCTTCTTCACAACTGGTCATGCTCGTGTGCTCGCTTTCTAACTCGCCTTTTAATTACACGTTTTCACGGTAATCATGTGTGTCTGGCGGGAGTAGACGATCGGTGCAGTGCGGGAGGCACGACCTCGACGATGATCGGTGGAATCTCCGGTCGCGGGGAAGATCAGGACAATTTGCCGCCAAAGCTCGGGCCTCCGGACAGTCCGCGGGGGCCGTTATTTACTGCCCGACGTCGACGTCGTCGTCGTCGTCGTCGACGTAATGCCGTGACAGATCCGTTACAACGTTACAAACGTCAGTCGCGCGCTCGCCGAGCGCACACTGTTCGATTTTTGCGTCTGCCACAGGAACGAGATGTCGACCTTCATCGCCCCGTCCCAGCGACACCATACACGACCTCGCAAAAATATCAATGCGATACTTCTGCATTTTTTTTAAATGCGTGGATAATATGTAAAATTACTTTTAAAAATTTTTCATAACTTTAGGAATTTATATTAATTCATATTGTTTTATTATTATTATTTTATATTATTATTTAGATTATGTATATTATATTATTTTATATTAATTTATATTATCTATATGTATTTATATTAATTTAATTTAATTATATTTTTTTATTTTTTACTATACTTTTTAATTATTTTTTATTATGTACTTTAATTATTCAGTTGTATGTTTTTATGCAATTTAATTTATATGTATATAAAGCGAGCCAAAATGCAATCGCTCGATTCATTAATTAAATATTTATATATATTATATATACGATATAATGAAAGGGATCAAATTAAATAAATATAATGAATATTAAATTTAAACTAATATAAACTATTGATTATTATATCAATATATTTTATTTAACAATATATTTCAAAATTTAAATATTTGTACTATCTCTCTGCATAAAGTGGATTCATAAGGGGTCTGTTCTTTTCAGCTACACTGCTACACTAGTGCAATAAGTTAGAAAGAGACAAACATACTTTTTTTCACTCTAACTAATTGCACTAGTGCAAGAGTGCAGCTGAAAAGAACAGACCCCAGCTGATGCAGAGAACCGGTTGTCGTGTTGTTTACTTCGCCTCGTGGCTTCCAATAACGCAGCCTGACATTTCACACTGGTGAACGATTACATCTTACGCGTTCGCGTAATTTCACAGACTGATCGAGACCGATTCTGTAAGATGGAAACGAGATTCTGTCGGTGATTTATCTCCTCGACGATCGGGATCAGGTTATGTTCGCCATCGTCGTCGGCTGGTCGACGGCATCATCGAGGATATTCAAGAGTGCACGCATTTTACCGGCTCGCGAAAGCTCACGCGATGAGAACTGGGGGTATGTTGGATGGACGCGAGTTCGGCAAACGCATTCGTCGTCTCCTGGACGGCAATTACTCCTACCGTAAGATCTTGCTGATTGTCCTGGTTTGCGGTGGCTTGCTATTGTACTTCGGTCCATCCTTCGCGCAGTGGCTCTTCTCCACCGCTAGGGAACCCATAGAAGGTATTTTTATCAACTTCAGAAGCTCAAATATCTCAGGACGCAATTAACTGTCAAGTTGTCTTTAGAGCCTTTTGTATTGAAGATATTTTTATATCAATGATACAACTTTTTTTAATTTTACTTTAACACTAATGATTAATGTTAACTTTTTTTTTATGTGAATATAAATTGTTTTCTTACGCGTAAAAATTATACATGAGAAAGTATGCTTTGCGAAACAATGTTTCCTTCTAGAGAAAAGTGTTTTTTAATTTTTTGAATTTATTTCAAAGCTCACATGCTATATAAATGTATTCAAGTCGAATTTTCTCTCTCTCTCTCCTGTTATATAAAATTCTATCAGATCTATAAAATTCTATAACATTCATATATAATGATTTCTATAACATTCATATATAATGATTATTCATATATTTTTTCACAGCATTTGAGGATCATTGCATAAATGAGAGGTTGGCCAGTTTTTATTTTGATGCTATTGAATATAATGCAAATATTCTGCACAATCCACCTAAGAAGAATGAATATTCTTATCTGCCATATATTGGTAATGGTATCTTTGGAGTCCCCATTTCTCCAGAAGGCTGGCTGTATATTAAACACGGAAGAGCTCTTTTACTGCCTGTACAGTGGCAACCATTGATCTCACATCCTATACCTAAGGATAGCTCCTATCGAGAAGCTACTATTGTTCACTTTACAAATGGAATTGTTTATAAATATCAGTGCCTTAGAGAGGGGTACCACGTAGACTTTCAATATTACGCTCATAGAGGACTTGAGGGGATTTTAGTGCAGTCTATAAAACTTTCCAATCCATTTCTACTTTCTCAAGAGATTTCATTGAAACCACAGGAATCCACTCATTGGAGTAATTCTCATATAGAACCCATCAAGTAAGTAAAAGCATTGTTTTACAATTTTAAAATTAAATAAAAACTTAATAACATTTTATTTTGTCTATTAATATTCACCTTTTGTCAGGATTCAGGTAGATGGGCTTAATCATGAGTATAGTCTCATATCTGGATTTATATCAGTACCCAATTCTAACAAGATAATTGTCATATCGATAATTTACAAAGTTCCACCTAAAACAGTTCAAGTGAAAGCGCTCAGTTCCGTTAAATTGGAATTTTTATCAAGCATTCAATACAGTGAACCGATCTCGTCCGAACAGTATCATGTGGAACGCGATGCCACCAAGAAGAAGGCGATTGATGTAAGCAAACAAAAGATTTTTTTTAATTTAAAATTATTTGTTGAAAAAAAAATATATATATATATAATATCTTTTTTTCATTTTACACAGTTAATGAAAAAGGCGATCGCACGCCAGCAACGAAACCTGAGAGAGGAGCACGTGAATCTCTGGCAAAGTTATTGGTATACAAGCCTGAGGATAAGCGATTCCAAAGCTGATGGTGCCATTAATGGCCACAAAATTAATTCTACTATGTATTATGTGCTATCTCAAATACCGCGAAGTGCTCAAGATGTGGAAAAAAATGTTGCTATGAACGAGGGCTGTTATCGAGGTCATCACACCTTGTAAGCATAATTAAAATTGTGTGTATTGTCTTTTAAAATAATTATTGCATGTTTATTGTTATATAAATTTCTTACTTGTAGAGACGCTCCTCGTTTGTGGAAAGATACATCGTCTATCAAAGCAGTGAATGAAATAGTCGAGGCATGGTTGATTACATTAGAGAAACAAGGCTGCCATCATTTAGTGACTGGTGGTCCTGCGGCTGTACAGCAAGCAATCGTGCTGAGTCTCGGTAGTTTAAGATTCAGTAATCAACATCTTGAATTTAATATCGATCCACAGTATCTTCATCGCGACTACTTGTTTAGGTATGATTTGCTTATATTATACTCAACTAAATTAGATATAATTTAAAAATAAAACCAAATAGTAGATTATATCAAGAAAACGCAATTTAATAAAACAAAATTAAACGTTTTTTTTAGAATTATTTCTATAAAAATATTGTTTCTTTTCGCGATTCTATATATATTATCTCTTTACTTGCATTATTTATAAAATAATACTGGATTATGTCTTTTTCAGGCGTATAAGTTATGGAAATTTAACGCATGTTAATATATCCGTAACAGTTGGAGAGGATAATCGTGCAATATTAGGAGTAGCTTTAGACAAGAGTGATAGTGTTTATTTTGGGTGTGACGCTGGCTGTTTGGATGCACCTGTGCCTCTCAGCCAGATCTATACAAACTTTCCCGTCAAGTTAACGAAACCATTAACCGCAATACTTTACATAACATCTGATCACCAGCATATGCAGGATCTTCGCAATGCTCTGCATGTGCACGAAGTAGACGACGGTACGTTAAAAGAAGTTGACATAGATATTAATCATTAAAGAGCTAATATTTTTTTTCCTGTTTTTTTCAGCACCAGCGCATGATCATCAAGTGATGGCCTTGCATAAACATGGACATCAACTTGGAGGCTTGCCCACTTTATTCTGGGTAAGCATATGTTTTCTGATAATTGTGTTCCATTTATTTCTGTGTAAGCTAATTTGTAATGAGTATTACAGTCATCAGGATCGGCAGCGAGTCCGATATAATAAACCGTAATATGATTGTATACAATTTTCTTAATTAATGCAATGTGTACATATGTATATTGTTGTAATGTGTATATACATATATTTTTTTAAGTGATGTATGTAGTAGGCTGATCATTTTTTAAGTGACATAAATACGCATCACTTGAAAAATGCATCTGTGTAATATATAAATCATATTTTTTATAGCAATAATCATATAAAGAATATGTATTTTGCAATTGTAACAAATTATTTGTTTTAGCACAGTTAAAAATCAGATAAAATATTTTTACTGCATTTTAGTGCTAAAAGTGATTTTATTTAATTTTTAGTTCAATGATATAATATATTGTATAGGCATTATATATATATATATATATATATGAAGTAAGAGAGAAAATACTACACATGTATAATTTGATTCTATAAAATTTTCAATTCAACGTCTTCTATAATAGAAGTTATATAAAAAAATTAATTATATTAAATTTTTTTCTTTCACATTCATACAATTTCTATTTTTTTCTAAAATTTTATACAATTCCTGTTTCTTCCTATTTTAAGTTAGACAATTGAAATAATAATAACTGATAGCAGAAATTCCTCTTTTCTTAATATTTTTTAAAAATATTTTATATTTTACATCTTGCTTAAAATGGCTAATGACATTTGTTTCTATAATATATTCTATTATTTTCGTTACTCTTTAATCTCGAACTTAATTCGGAATATATGAAAGGGCAGATTTTTACTTAACTTATCATTAATAATTTTCTTTTCGATGATATTTTTGATTGAGCATTCAAAATCCATTAGAGTTCAGTCAATTTGCAGTTCTAGAGTTTTTTTTTACAATGATTGGATGTAACGTGATAAAAGGAAGAGGTTTTAAAATTTATCAGTCATTTAATGCTGATTACGAAAATGATTTCTGTTGACAACATTTATTATAGAATATGTTAAATGTATAATAAATTATGCTACAACATAAGTGTGAACGCGTACATAATTAATATATCACAACGTAGGATGTATAAATATTAATTAGAAATCTATGTTGAATGATATTCGTTTAACGGCAAGATAATAAATATGGCTGAGTATTCCGAAATATTTGTGAATGATTACTATCATTAAAAGTCACCGTTGATAAAACCATGATGCATGATAATTAATATCAGATTAATCCTCATCTCACAAAAATATATCTAATAAATAATAATCCTTTATTTAATGAATAATAATTTTTTATTATAGAAAATATCATTGAAAAGAAATAAAGTATTTTATATTGTTGTATTGTATACTGCATATGCTATGCGCGTGTTATTTTAAAATATAAATAAGAAAAAGTATATTTGCATGTGAAATGAATTCTTTATAAAAGATTTAAAGAAGTGTGAAATTGTGGAATCGGACAATTTTGAGCGCAAAACAATTTTTGAAAATTTTAAATTAAATGTGAAAAATTATTAAACGAAAAATAATTATTATTATGTAGCTAAAAAATTGCTCTTTTATTTTTATATAAAATATATATTTTACAAATGAAAAAGTAACATTCGGAACTTCGTCTGTTATTATTTCAGTCAGTGAGGATTAATATAATGGGAATAAACTTTTTAAGGAATTTAATATAATAATTGCCTGAAATGATAAGCGAAATGAATTGACAGCGACATATTAAATCATAGTAATTGTTTCTTAAGCGTAATCAAAAACGTATAGTAGATCCAACATCACGCAAATAATTCTAAAACATGTTCGCGTTAACTTAAGTTAAAGTTTTATTAATTGACATATATATGTAACGTGTTAATATGTCGCGCGTTTTCCGATACGATGCGACGTTTAAAAAAAAAATCTCCGCGAAGAGAGTGGCGTTAATCAGTCTAAGTTTGTTTAATCTATCAGTGACTTAATATATGACGAGATCGTACAGATGATATTAACATTATTAATTATTCTTACGCGACTAATCGCGTAAATTTCACTCTTTAATCTGGAAGCGAATGTCTACGTGACAGAAAATAGCGTAGATAAATAAATACATAATTAGGCCGATAGAACTAACGGTTTGAAAACTTAAAAAAAAAAAAATTTCTTTTCTTTAAAACTGAGGGAATCTTTCTGCGAATAAAAGAAATTCTCGCAATTCGAAGGAAGAGATATTTCAGTTTGAAAAATAAATAAATTGCAATACTTGTCGTTTTGTTCAATGTTACAACTCACTGCTGGCTTTTCTTCTAACTCGCAATACATTGCAATTTGCATGCGATGCGGAAAACATCAATTTCACGATCGAAATGATCCGGTATTGAATTAAGGACATGTAAATAGTTGAAAAAGAAGGCGATCAATAGGCGATATAATAGAACGTGATCTTTTTTAAAGTTCACAGGGTTGTCAGGAAATTTCCCATAACACGATTCCGATAAGTGGTCTAAGTTTGAAAGTTCTCGTTCTATGATATAACGTTATTTACATAGAAAATAATACGTCGCTAGAACGCGATAAAAATTTACAATTTCGGAGTTTTATTGTATCTAATTTCTCGATTCACACACAATTATATATGATTCTAACGGAGCATCGACATCTCCCTGTTTGAATCTCTCGATTTTTAATTAAGGAAGAAACATCTTTAACTTGTATAACACACATTCAGTATGAAATATAATTATATAAATATAAAAAGTAATCTTATTAAGCTTAAGTAAAATTACTCGTAATGTGGAATTCGAAAGGAACCAGAGTTTCAACTCTATTTAGATTTAATTCGAATCTTATTCACGAAGATGTATTAATGTACAAGCGGCTTCTTCAAGCCGTTTCACATACGTTTAATATCGCGCACTACGTACATAGTGTATTATATATTATGGCATCTATTATATATATATATTTCTCTTCTTATATTTACAAAATCTTATTTAATATATCGATTTAACGTTTTTTAAAAGATGACGATATTCTCTCGCTCTGTTTTCCATTAATTCTACGGAATATATATGAGAGAGTTCGTATAATATATATATATATATATATATATATATATATATATATATATATGCAGGGTGGCCCCGAACGTTCTAGCCAGACTTTAAGATCTTATAGGAAATTTAATTCTAAACAAAAATTTTCCTATAAACATAGGTCGAAAAATGCTTCTTTAAGAAATTATCGCTCAAAAACCTCTGATGAAGGAAGAGCAAAAGGTGAAAAGAAAATAAAACTAAATAAACTTCTTGAAAAAAACAATAAAAATAAAAAATAAAAATCTTTTTCTTTTATAAAAATAAAATAAAAGTTATTTAAAAAAAAATTATTTTATTTTCATAAAAGAAAAAGATTTTTATTTTTTATTTTTATCGTTTTTTTCAAGAAATTTATTTAATTTCATTTTCTTTTTATTTCATTTTCTTTTCATCTTTTGCTCTTCCTTGATCAGAGGTTTTTGAGCGATAACTTGTTAAGGAAGCATTTTTCGACTCATGTTTATAGGACATTTTTTGTTCAGAATTAAATTTCCTATAAGATCTCAAAGTCTAGCTGGAACGTTCGGGGCCATCCTGTATATGTATAATTATATATCTATATAATATATCCGTTTTTCTTTTGTGCACGCTAACATCGATTTGGCACCATGATATAAAACTCGACTTAAAATTGAGACTCTTCTGCGATCATGTAGGTTGTTTACGCGATAAATTGAGGATTCTCGTTCGCAACGTCATCTGAGAGATGGTATACTCATTCTTTCCACGGTATCCTCTTGTAGCTAATATCGATTTCAAACACGTAGATACAAACTACTCGATAATCACATTGTTCACTAAACGAATACGTGAAATTCCGTCGTAGATTACGTATACCGCGCAGCGGTATCGCTAGTTCATTAATTAATCATTCTAAGGTACGTGTTTCATGTACGTTTCGAGTACATTTCTGCCTTTCGCAAACGCTGAACAATACATATATTAGTGTTCTTGACCCGTTTTTTTTTCTAGAATTAATACATTTTGTTTAGAGAATAGAGTTTTGTTAAAAGAAATTTGGATATTTCCTTTTTTTTGTTCTTTTTTTTATTTTTTTGACAACATGCTGTCGTTTAAGTAAAATTCTCCATGACGTGACAACGACGAGAAGATATAAGATATGATACGATCTATTAGGATCGAAGAACTTTTAACTAGGGCAAAGTTAGAATGGCGTCTATCCATCTGTGTGGAGAGCTTTAGAATGAGATATCGCAAGGATTTGCACTTAAACGAGACGTTACCGTTAGACCTGTGCGAATAGGTCTCTCCTTAGACTAGCACTGTTATATACAGAGTCCGTTAATGTCTTCATTCGTTAATCGGTTTATTATCGCAGGCAGTTGTATGTGAAGTTACTTACGTACCCTCCCTTTCGATAGTTCAATATACAGTTTTGTCCAGTTAATTAAATAATGTTTGTGCATCCCACTACGTTATTCTATTAAGTCGAATAACGACTATTCATTGATGTGAACTTTTTATTCACAAAAATTATTTGCTCTAAAGAAAAGAATAATTAAAGTGGTTATTAAGATAAAAATCTAAGAAAAGAAATTAAAAAAGAAGGCATCTAACCACAGGCATTGATGTACGATGCAAGATATACAAAAAAACTAATATATTAAATAATAATAATAATCATATTATTCAAGAGAAATGATGAAACTCGCATAAAAATTACATAAAATTAAGCGCAAACGTTTCGATCTCATCCAGATCCTTCTCAATGCTATACATAACGATAATAGTATAAAAGAAATATGTACAGCATTGAGAAGGATCTGGATCAGATCGAAACGTTTGCGCTTAATTTTATGTAATTTTTATGCGAGTTTCATCATTTCTCTTGAATAATATGATTATGATTATTATTATG